TTCTACAGTCTGAGTCCTGGATCTACAGCCTGTTTGTCCTCGTTCTACAGTCTGACACCTGGATCTACAGCCCGTCTGTCCTCGTTCTACAGTCTGAGTCCTGGATCTACAGCCTGTTTGTCCTCGTTCTACAGTCTGAGTCCGGGATCTACAGCCTCAGTCCTCGTTCTACAGTCTGACACCTGGATCTACAGCCTCAGTCCTCGTTCTACAGTCTGAGTCCTGGATCTACAGCCCGTTTGTCCTCATTCTACAGTCTGAGTCCTGGATCTACAGCCTGTTTGTCCTCGTTCTACAGTCTGACACCTGGATCTACAGCCTGTTTGTCCTCGTTCTACAGTCTGACACCTGGATCTACAGCCTCAGCCCTCGTTCTACAGTCTGACACCTGGATCTGTAGGCTGTACCCTTCTCAGTCTCTGCTCTGATTCTCTGATCTGTGTTGGTGAATCGACAGTTTTGTGAAGTCCTCAGTCTAAGTAAAGACACTCAGACTTCCCGCACGCTTCCTCCATCACATCCGGGGTAATCCTGAAGCGTTCCCAGGCCAGCTGACAGACTGTCCCTCCAACGTGTCCTGGGTCTTCCCTGGGGTCTCCCGCTGATGGGACACGCCCGGAACAACTCCCACAAATACTGTATACACCATTCAATCATTTCTCAAAAGGTTACATTCATCTTCATTGTTGCACATTTTGTCACTTTTGAAACAATATTATAAATAAGCATGTCATGTTTTTACAAAAATAGGCAATTCAAAAAAAAGGTTTCTGGAGGGCCTGATTTGGACCCTGGGCCGCTAGTTGAATAGAGCTGGTCCAAACTTTAGAATCAGAATCAGAATTAAAATCATGTCTATGCCGTTGTAAGTAACAGGAAAACACAAACTAGGATTTTTCTTTGGTGAATGGTCCAAACAAATTATGAAATGGTGACAAAATGGATGTTATGGCGATTAAAAAAAGCTGCAGTAAAGACAGATGAGGAATTAATTAGGCAGCACATTTCAAAGCAGTATTTGAGACTTTTATTCTTAATGATAGGAGACGTCAGGTTTAACCACATTGTAATGGTGGAGTGTGAAGTACCAGGGGTCAGACGTCAGGGACGACGCAGGGACAAAGGCTCACAGCGGGAGGCGGAGTGCGTCAAAAGCAGCCCCTGCATTTAAAGCCGAGTCGGACAACATAATAGGCCAATGAAAATCACTCGATCAAAACACACGTAAACCCAGGGATTTTATTGCTTTTTTATTTGATACTTGCACTTTTTCACACAAACATCATTTATGGACCTCTTTTCATATATTTGGACATTGGTCTCTGCCCCCAATGGCTGGCTCTATGTGTTTTTTATCATTACATTTTCTGCGATTGAACGGTTTGATTCTCTGATCTGTTTTGGTGAATCGACAGTGTTGTAAATTCCTCCGAAAAACTAGTGCTGTGATTTAGAGCTGTGCAAAAGTTGAATTAAATTAAAAGATATATATTCCATACATTGCAACTGAGAACCCATCTCCAGAGCTGAAGGATTTGACCTATTGTACATGTATTCAGTGGGAGAAAGCAGTCACAAGGAGAACATGCAAACTCCACACAAAATGGCCCTGTTCAGACCGGGATTCAAACCCAGGACCTTCTTGATGAGAAGCGAAAATGCTAGCATCTACAGCTAGTTAAGCTAGTTAAGATGTCTGTGCGCTGCAACATCAAAATTTCCCCACTGTGGGACGAATAAAGGAACTCTTATCTTATCATGTTAAAAATCAGACCATAACATTTGTCGATTGTTTGTAGTGGGGAAATTTCAGTGTTGCATCGCCAGTTACAGAACATTAGGAATGAGGAGCACACAGGCCCCGGCAATCCAAGATGGCGCCCTATTCAAATGAATGGTTGTGCTCAGTGGCGCTTTGTGACGGCATGGGGGCTGAAAGATTAGCGGAAGTCGCCTGAAACTCGCAAAGATCTATGGGAAACTCTCAAAGATCTATGGGAAACTCTCAAAGATCTATGGGAAACTCTCAAAGATCTATGGGAAACTCTCAAAGATCTATGGGAAACTCTCAAAGATCTATGGGAAACTCTCAAAGATCTATAGGAAACTCTCAAAGATCTATGGGAAACTCTCAAAGATCTATGGGAAACTCTCAAAGATCTATGGGAAACTCTCAAAGATCTATGGGAAACTCTCAAAGATCTATGGGAAACTCTCAGAGATCTATGGGAAACTCTCAAAGATCTATGGGAAACTCTCAAAGATCTATGGGAAACTCTCAAAGATCTATGGGAAACTCTCAAAGATCTATGGGAAACTCTCAAAGATCTATGGGAAACTCTCAGAGATCTATGGGAAACTCTCAGAGATCTATGGGAAACTCTCAAAGATCTATGGGAAACTCTCAAAGATCTATGGGAAACTCTCAAAGATCTATGGGAAACTCTCCTGTATTTGGGCATCGTCTGGTCCTCCCGGTTCTGCGCAGTGGATGATCTCCCATAATGCTTTGCACCAAACACGCGTGTGTGGGTCTCACACCGGGTCTCACGCACGTGCACAGAGGGGCTCGGCTGTGCTCTGACCAATCAGAGCAGTTCATCAGAGCGGGAGTTAGAGCGAGAGCCAGAGGAGCAGAGTTTGTGGCACTAAAGTGTGGATTTAAACAAAACCGAAGGATTTAAAGCCTGGTTCACACGAGACGATTTTAAAATTGTCGGCCGATTTTTCTCCGTGTTAAACCCCACACGGGGAGATTAAAAATCCTGCGTCTAACCACTTTGGTCGTGCAGTGTGTGGTGCGTAGCCACACGGCAAGATCACGCAAGCCACAAACATCACACACGAACCGACACAGCCCCCCCCGAGCATTCCCAGGTCAGACGGAAATCTCACAAAATCTCTCGAGATCAAGCGTGACTTCAGAGTAAACAGTCATGGCGGACGAAGAGGATGCATTGGCGATAGTGTGCAGTTTGTTGTTAACAGAGAAGACACGTAATCCAAAGAAAAGGCAATGGTCAAAGCCATGCTGCTGTGTTTTGGTTTTTTTCCGGTGTTTCCTCACCGGCTTGTCACCTCGTCTTCTTATTGGCTACACGCCGTAGTCATGGCAACGCGCTCGCTTGTCCTCGGAGAACACCACACACGACGAGAAATCGGGCCAAAACAATCCAACATGTTGGATATCCCCGATTTGAGATCGGGAGCAGTCCCGATGTCCTTCCGAGCGACGAGTGCAGTCTTAACACACCACACACGGCAGGATAATCTGTAAGATTTTGTTACGGAAATCGGAGCGTTTCTTAAGATTGTCATAAGGGGTAAATCGGGTCTAAATCGGCCTAAATATCCTGCCGTGTGAACCAGGCTTTAGAAGAAAAAAAGTTCAGGATGACAAGGGACACTAAAATCCCCACAAAATCCGACCTTTATTAAAGCTGTAGGTTCTCTGTCAGCTGAGGTTGAGCTGTTTTAATATGCATTGAGTTCTATGGGGAAAATTTCTGGGTAGCCCACGAGAATTTAGTCTGGTTCAGTCTGCAGTACCGCGAGAATCCCCTGAGCACATGAGTTATTCAGCTACAAGCTAGTAATACCCTATCCAGTTATTATAATAGATCCATGGGAGCACACAACACAAGACAAATGAACAGTAACTTTATACTAAAATAAAATAAATCTCTAGCTTTAGCATAATAAAGAAGCTAGTATAAAATCTCTAGCTTTAGCATAATAAAGAATCTAGTAAAAAATCTCTAGCTTTAGCATAATAAAGAATCTAGTATAAAATCTCTAACTTTAGCATAATAAAGAAGCTAGTATAAAATCTCTAACTTTAGCATAATAAAGAAGCTAGTATAAAATCTCTAACTTTAGCATAATAAAGAAGCTAGTATAAAATCTCTAACTTTAGCATAATAAAGAAGCTAGTATAAAATCTAGCTTTAGCATAATAAAGAAGCTAGTATAAAATCTCTAGCTTTAGCATAATAAAGAAGCTAGTATAAAATCTCTAGCTTTAGCATAATAAAGAAGCTAGTACAAAATCTCTAGCTTTAGCATAATAAAGAAGCTAGTATAAAATCTCTAGCTTTAGCATAATAATCTTAGCATAATTTCATAATCATCAGCTGAGTGAGGTTGGTTCTCCCTCTTTTACACTTTTCTGTCTGAAAACATTGATCTACATACAAAGTGAAAAACTTATCACATGCATTTGATTACACAGTGTCATCAATTGCCGTTTTAAAAATCAAGTACCCCAGCTTTAAACCCTACCGATAACACGCAGAGAAGGCCCTTTAATCACGTCTGCGCCTGTGATTGGACAGAATCTACTGCGACTCATTTTAATTGGCTCAGCACCTCTTGAGTTACAGGACACTGCGATGCGTTCACAACTTTCGGGTAATAAAATGCTATCTTCTCTAAGCAAACCTTCGCGTGGACTTTTAAATACACACAATCCTTCTACTTCACAATTTCCTATACATACACACCCCTATTCATATCTAAAACTGAAATAACAATGCTTATTCATTATATATGATTTGATTTGATTGCTTTCTCACGCGTGGGGAAGTTTTAAACGAGTTCCCGGCGTGTGCTTGAAGGCGGCGGGCTGGAGAGCGAGTGCCCACTACAACAATGAACGTCCATCGTGGTTTTTTGGGTTTTTGACTTTTAACCCCCGAAAAAACTGGCCTCTACTTTCACTTCATGACTTGTGGGGTGAGTGCCAAGCCTTGCCAACAGCCCACGACAAAACAAAACAAATAAAAGTCGAACTTGGATGTAGTTAAAAGTTGCTTTCTCTGTTTTCTCGCTGCACAATTATTTCTCGTAGTTGAAATTACGCACGGGAACTGGTCCATTCTCTGTCTGTGCGGGATTCGCTGCTTGTCTCGTGTGTGCATATGGTTAGAAATGGAATTAAAATGAATGAATGATGTTTTTGCACGTGTTTTTCTCAGAGGTGACCAAGTCCTCGCGGATCAATGGAGTTGGAGGACCAATGGTGGAAGGGACAGCTGGCAAAGGACATATACCAAGCCCTGCGCTGCAAGGTGAGAGGACTGGCATGGGACTGGCCACCCTGATGTCCTGCTATAGAGTCAGACTGCTGCAAAATTGTCTATTTAATAATCATAATAATAATAATAATAATACATCAAACTGGTATGGTGCGTTTGGACGCTCAAAGACGCTTCACATGGGTAATATAATAAAAAGGGGGTTTATGGAAAAGCTTGTTTGAACAGATGGGTTTTGAGACCGATTTAAAGTTTGGTAGTGACTCTGAGTTTCTAGTTGGCAATGGGAGTGAGTTCCAGATGGTTGGGGCGGCAATGACAAAGCCTCTATCCCCCATATTTAAGTTCAATTCAATGCATTTTTGTGTATAGTTTTAAATCACAATAGTAGTCGTCTAGGAGCGCAATAAGATAAGTCTTTATTGATCTCACAATGGAGAAATGTACACGTCACATTTGGCTATTATTCTAACTATTTATGTAAATGTATTGATCACTCAGGTTGTGTACTGTACATTAAAACATAGCAGTGCTAGTTTACAAAGGTTGAGATTTGTCAACAACAGATCGGAGATGGATGGAGATCAGAGAAGCAAACATAGGAAATGCACTAATGACAAACGCGTAGAAGACATTCCTCCATAAATGTCCTGGATCCTCACTGTTCTCAGCCTTTTGGAATCTACAAAATACTTATCCCAACTTTGTAACGTTTTCCGTGTTTTGGGGCTAAACATATTTAAGTTGAAATTGAATCATTTTTAAAAATATACCCCCTACAATTATTTTAATGAGATCGGCCTTCAGCAACAATCTGAAGGCATTTGGCTAAAACTCTAGTTTGACTTTGACTAAATATATTCTAGTTAAATTGGTGCGGCCTGACGACTTTAGGTTCAGAATTGCTGAGGATCAAAAGCGGTTAAGACCTGACTTTTATGGGAAAAATGTAATGTTTTTGTGTTAGATCGGAGTTCCAATGAAAGGTCCTCCTTAAAGCTGCACTAACTGACTTTATTTTTGTATTCATTACGAAAATGCTATCCATGTCCATGTAGTGCATTGGGATATACATCATTTTGAAGAAAAAGTAGCGCAGATTTGTGCTGGCGTGACATTATATTTTAGATCGAGTTTTGATGAAACAAGGAAGAGAATGTGTTTCGGGTCGCGGATTGTGACCAATCACAGTGGACCACTAGCCCCCACTTTCGTGAGAAATCTACAGGTCCGTTAGCATAGACGGCTGAGTTAGCACAACAAGCCGAGGAGCTAACCTGAAACTTCATGTCTTCGTCACCGGTTACTGCTTACACAGCGAGACAGCCATCCAAAAGAAAGCCCCGTTCCTTCGCTCTTCCCGGTTCTATCGTTCTGTGGTCACGCCAGCCACGTACAAATCCATATCCATGTGGTATGCATATTGGGAGACGCTAACTCCGTCCCAACAGTGGGTGTGTGTGGGGGGCGATAACTTCGTGGGTGCGGGGAGGGGAGCGGAAAGAGCGAGGCCAGCGAGTCCACGGCTTCAAAATCCCAAAGTCAGTTAGTGCAGCTTTAATAATATAAACAGCTGGAGTACTTGACTTTCAGGTCACAAAACTTATCCTAAATAGTTCCTCGCTCTGGCTTTCTTTTAGATCAGTGAAAAGAAAAATGATGCAAAAGATAAAATGTTTTCTATTAACTGCGTGTTGTCTGATTTGTTCGCAAAACTTTTATTGAATTATTCATGAAAAAGGTTGTAATCCCACTGTTCAGTTTGCATGTTAATGGTAAAACTGAAGAGAGTATTTTAGTTTAATATGATTTTATATTCTGACCAGGAGCAACTTCTGGAGTGGTGTGGGCAGTGATGTGTCAAAAAGAATTATTGGCCTCATCTTCTTTTTAAGAGATCCATTATTTGTCCCACAGTGGGGAAATGTCATGTTTGCAGCGCACAGACAGGACAGTAGTACGCGCACACAGGGAGCACACAAAATATACAATTTAAGGCTGCTCTGTTTCTTAACTATGCTTACATTTCTATATCAATATATTTCGATATATATATTATTAGTGCAAAGTTATATATAGGGAAGATTTTATAATTCAACATTTGGACATGACTACATAACATAGTGACGTAAAGAGAGTTCAGGGAGCAGCGTCTGCAGACAAAGCTCTCTATTTACTGGTCAGTCCTTGTTCCCTCCCTCACCTCTGGTCCTAAGCTTTGGGTAACGACCGAAAGAACAAGACCGCGGATACAAGCGTCAAAATGAGCTTCCTCCGCAGAGTGGCTGCTCCCTTAGAGCTGGAGGAGCTCAGAGTAGAGCCGCTGCTTCTCCACATCGAGAGGAACCAGTGGAGGGACTGGATGTCTCTCAGCCTCTGGGAATGATGAGCTGGAGGAAGTGTGTGTAGATAGGAAAGTCTGGGCGCCTCTCTGCTGCCCCAGCGACCAGGCAATGGATAAAGGGGAAGAAAATGGATGGATGGCATATGGAAGTGTGATCTTGTGTTAGTGACTTGCCAAGAGTATTACTTTTAGTGCCTCCAAACAAAAAACTAGAAATGTGTTCCAACTTCAACACTCTGACTCAAATCTTTTCAATTAAATGCAATTCTTGTATCGCCCTGAATCACAACCGTAGTTTTCTCAGAGGACTTCACAAAAAATGTTGAATTCACCAACACGGATCAGAGAATCAAACACAACTAATTCAATGATAAAAAAACACATAGAGCCATTGATCCATCAGCAGCAGAGACCAATGTCCGTTCATGTGGTTGGATGTAGAGTGTCCTGGATCAACCCCTGCTGTGGCGTGAAATGCTGAATATCATCAAGAAAGTATTCACGTGCAGGTCATTTATATAAACATTTAAAGTCCTGGATTGAGAGCTGCCTGTGTCGGTCTGGTGCCACACACTCGGGTTGAAATTCCTCTGTGAAAAATGTCAGGAATGCCCCCATGTTTTGGAGCTGCATCTGTGTTTGGAGGAAGATAATGATGGTATGTACCTGACATGGTTCCACTTGCAGTTGTTTTCTAGTGTCTCTGTGCCCTGGGCTGCTTTTAATACATTTATAATTCTGGTTTCCATGACCAGTGTTGGGTGTAACGCGCACCAACAAAACTACTTTTTTGGTAAAAATCTAAATGAAAAATCTAAAATATCGCGTTAACTATCGACAATATAGCAACGGAACAGTTTCTTTTTTGACCCTCAGAAATGTTTTTTATTTACCACTAGCAGCTGTGACCACTCACGCGCAAGTTCTCATTCCACCTGGTATATGACACATGGTGTGAAGCAAGAGGCTAACGCTAGTGCCGCACTTTAGCCGACACTTTCTTTTCGCTGCGGTACTTGAGTAAATGAGGCTCAGAGTTTGATCCTTTTTAGAAGGAGACGCTGTGACAATAAAATAGGGTTGGGTGTCGGTTTGGCCTCCTGCTGCGGCTAATGCTAAGTGTGCTTCGCTAACGGAGGAGGATTCTACTCATTCGTCCAAACCAAACCACAGCTGTAGTTTCACTTTCCATTCTCACTGAACAATGTTGGTTCTTTCCCGTCTTTGGCGTGAGGAGGATGTTGTTGAGGAAGTGGTTTTACTGCTGGGAGTTGCGTGTGTCATGTTTTAAAGTTTCGTTTTCTGTGGCGGTCTAAATCTTGCGGACTTCAAATAGAGCCTGGTTGTTTTGCTAATTGCTTTGCAGCGTCTCCGTCTAAATGGGGCCTTAGAGTCAAAGTATTTCCCCCGAGGGAGAGCTGTGTGCGTGCTCTGTGGTGTTTTTGATTGTAAAGAGCATGAAAGAAACATCTGTTTTGATTTTAGAACTTCCACAGCACATTTAAGAACAGTTCTGATCAAAGTCGAGCATAATAACAGTAATGCTAAAGTAAATAAGTTACGTTCTTTAGAGGGTAATCAGATAGACAGACGGGCTGTAGACCCAGGACTGAGGCTGTGTAGACCCAGGACTGAGGCTGTGTAGACCCAGGACTGAGGCTGTGTAGACCCAGGACTGAGGCTGTGTAGACCCAGGACTGAGCAGGACTGTGGCTGTGTAGACCCAGGACTGTGGCTGTGTAGACCCAGGACTGTGGCTGTGTAGACCCAGGACTGTGGCTGTGTAGACCCAGGACTGTGGCTGTGTAGACCCAGGACTGAGGCTGTGTAGACCCAGGACTGAGCAGGACTGTGGCTGTGTAGACCCAGGACTGTGGCTGTGTAGACCCAGGACTGTGGCTGTGTAGACCCAGGACTGTGGCTGTGTAGACCCAGGACTGTGGCTGTGTAGACCCAGGACTGAGCAGGACTGTGGCTGTGTAGACCCAGGACTGAGCAGGACTGTGGCTGTGTAGACCCAGGACTGAGCAGGACTGTGGCTGTGTAGACCCAGGACTGAGCAGGACTGTGGCTGTGTAGACCCAGGACTGAGCAGGACTGTGGCTGTGTAGACCCAGGACTGAGCAGGACTGAGGCTGTGTAGACCCAGGACTGAGCAGGACTGTGGCTGTGTAGACCCAGGACTGAGCAGGACTGAGGCTGTGTAGACCCAGGACTGAGCAGGACTGTGGCTGTGTAGACCCAGGACTGAGCAGGACTGTGGCTGTGTAGACCCAGGACTGAGCAGGACTGAGGCTGTGTAGACCCAGGACTGAGGCTGTGAAGACCCAGGACCAGGGGTAAAGTAAGGCCAAGTTGGGGTGGCGGAAATAAGGCTTACGTTTGTAAAGTTACGGACCCCAGCTTTAAACGTAAATCTCTTAATAACTAGAGCTGCAACTATCGATTATTTTTACGATTAATCGAGTAATCGCTTGGCTGTGAATTGTGTAGAAAAAATGTATTTTTTCATCACAAAAAGCTAAAGTGGCAACACTCGAGGACGTATTGAGGCGTAAACTTAAAGTAAATGTTTGTAACACGCTCTTTGTGCTAATTCTGCTCTGATTGGATGAGACAGACAGATATTCATGAAATTATAAAACAAAAAGTCGGTTTTAATCAAAAATACTACATTTTCATGTCATTTTTGCTCTGTTTGAGTCCGTGTGAACCAGAAAACGAATCGATTACTAAAATAGTTGTCGACTATTTCAATAATCGATTAGTTGTTTCAGCCCTATTAATAACCTTTAATTCCGGTGACTCTTTTTCGTCAGGAGGTGAAGCTGCCGTCGTTCAAAGGCCAGTCCCCTCAGCTCAGTCTGCGGCGGTACTTTGCGGACCTCATCGCCATCGTCAGTAACCGCTTCAGGCTTTGTCCCGCGGCTCGCCACCTCGCCGTGTACCTCCTGGACCTGTTCATGGACCGATATGATGTCACCGTGCAGCAGCTCCACGTGGTCGCGCTCTCCTGCCTGCTCCTCGCCAGTAAGACACCGCTTTGCCTTCTGTGGAAGGGTTTTTACTGAAGCCTGGTGGTCCTCATATGGAGGCGGGAACTAGGGCTGCACGATATCAGAAATTAGAGCGATATTCGAGTGTTTAGTATTTCCATAACGATGATATTGCAATATTTTTGGCTTTCACCTAAACTTGCACAAACTGCATTGGGACGCAAGAGACGCATAACAAAAAATAAGCAGAACATTAATGACCTCCAAGTTCATATATCTATATACTTTTCTGTTTGTTCGTTGTTCTTGTTGAATGTTGATGTGTCTGCCTGTTAAAGAAAAATTTTTTTTATAAAAAATATATATAATTGTTATTAAAAAAAAACAATTATTGCGCATCTTTCCCATATGGATATTGCACGCACCAATATTGCGATTTAAAAAAAATAATCCGATATATTGTGCAGCCCTAGCGGGAACTGTATGTGATGATTAGATAGTAGATGGATAGATGGACCTTTTTATTCTCCCCTGACACTTTCACATACATAGAATGGAGAGGAAGGAGGTTACAGTACACACAGTACACGCAGTACACGCAGTACACGCAGTACACACAGTACACACAGTACACACAGTACACACAGTACACACAGTACACACAAGATACACAAGATACAGCAGGAACATGGACAGCGTTACAGGTCTTTAAGAGTCGCTATGGCTGAAGGTACACAACTTTAATAATGCCATATTCGGACCACATTTTGATATGACTGCGGTTCTTAACATATTGCGATATGTTGTTAAGTATTGTGATTTGATTCTCGTCCCTCATAACATTCAAAGGCAAAACATATTTCTGTAAAATAAGACTCAAGTCAAATGCCACATTTTGTTTTTGTCTGAACATGAACTGAAGCAAACACGGAGAAGGAAAACGTTATCCTTGAACAATCAAAACACAGGACATTTTTATCCTCTGAAGGCGTTCCTGAGATAACACAAGTGAACATTAGTCTGTAAATATGCGCTAGATATAAATATAAATGACTTAATTACTTACTATATTTACTTCAATAGCACTTTTTACTTCTGCTGCATGAATGTAAGTGCAGAACAAATACTAAATATTTTTTTTTTATCATTACATTTCTTGTATTTGAACTGTTTGATTCTGATTTCTTTGGCGACTCGACAGCTCTGATAAGTCGTCAGAGATAACTGCTGTTGTGATTTAGAGCTATACAACAATACATTGAATTGAACTCAAAGGAGGTGATTTTTAAAGTGATAGTCTAGAACTCTAAATGAATTACAATGTTTAAGATTTGTATTAAATTGACCTCCTGGCCTTAAATGTTGATATAAAATAAGGCATTTTATTAATTCTAATATTACAGGTAAGTCCCGCCTTCCCTGCTCTTAGCTATAGTTCAGAATCCACGGTGCCGTCGAGGTTAACCAATCGAGTCATGCCAAGGGCTGTCAATCATCTGCGCTGATGCTCGCAGCTGCTCATGCTCAGTTGTTTGTTTTCACGGAGCCTCTATTAGGCTCTGAACCTATATCCATAATCATTTATATACTGAATCTATATCCATAATCATTTATATACTGAACCTATATCCATAATCATTTATATACTGAACCTATATCCATAATCATTTATATACTGAATCTATATCCATAATCATTTATATATGAATCTATATCCATAATCATTTATATATGAATCTATATCCATAATCATTTATATATGAACCTATATCCATAATCATTTATATATGAACCTATATCCATAATCATTTATATATGAACCTATATCCATAATCATTTATATATGAACCTATATGTATAATCAGATCCTCTGCAGATGTGTCCTATAATTTTTTTCATTAAAACATAAACAAATAATTCTGAAAACCTCCGTGCATGTGTATTAATAATGTATATGTATAATGTGTTTTCTGATTAACATTTCAAAGTGTTACGGAAACGTAGGTGTAGACCAATCAGAAAGGAAGGGGGAGGAGCTTGCGTCGTTTTATTTTCAAATCAAGCACCTCTCTTCTGACAAACTCCAGACAATTACTTTAAACCTAAACCTTTCATATTTTCAGATCGATTTCCTCCATGTTGTGTTATAAATCTTGGCGTTATTGCTTCTTTCTGTGGTCATCCCTCCTCCTCCTCTTTCCGCAGGTAAGTTCGAGGAGCGCGAGGACAAGGTGCCGAAGCTGGAGTCGCTGAACTCTCTGGGCTGCATGACGTCCATGAACCTGGCTCTGAACAAACAGAGCCTGCTGCACATGGAGCTGCTGCTGCTGGAGACCTTCCAGTGGAACCTGTACCTGCCCACCGCCGCCCACTTCATCGACTACTACCTCTCCGTGTCCGTGCACCAGGCCGACCTGCACGACGGCTGGCCCATGACCTGCCTGGACAAGACCTGCCTCTACATGGCCAAGTACGCAGAGTACTTCCTGGAGGTTTCCCTGCAAGGTACGGACTTCACTAGCCTGGTCTGTGCTACATTGACTCCGTGAACAGGTGGGAGGGGCTAACTCCTTTTGTGGATTGAAACGATTGGATCTGAGTTTACCGTGACGATTGTAATGAGCCTGAATGAGTCTCTAGCATTTACCCTAGCTTTAGCATTTACCCTAGCTTTAGCATTTACCCTAACTTTAGCATTTACCCTAACTTTAGCATTTACCCTAGCTTTAGCATTTACCCTAACTTTAGCATTTACCCTAGCTTTAGCTTTTACCCTAGCTTTAGCTTTTACCCTAGCTTTAGCTTTTACCCTAGCTTTAGCTTTTACCCTAGCTTTAGCTTTTACCCTAGCTTTATCTTTTACCCTAGCTTTAGCTTTTACCCTAGCTTTAGCTTCTACCCTGGCTTTAGCATTTGGTCTAGCTTTAGCTTCTACCCTAGCTTTAGCTTCTACCCTAGCTTTAGCTTCTACCCTAGCTTTAGCTTTTACCCTAGCTTTAGCTTCTACCCTAGCTTTAGCTTCTACCCTAGCTTTAGCTTTTACCCTAGCTTTAGCTTCTACCCTGGCTTTAGCTTCTACCCTAGCTTTAGCTTCTACCCTGGCTTTAGCTTCTACCCTGGCTTTAGCTTCTACCCTGGCTTTAGCATTTACCCTAGCTTTAGCTTCTAGGCAAGGCAAGGCAAGGCATGTTTATTTGTATAGCACAATTCATACACAAGGCAACTCAAAGTGCTGAACAAGATAGCATTAAAATCATAAATAATCACAGAACATTAAAAAGAAAGATAAAATTATAAAATCCCTCAGTTGTATGCACAGCTAAACAGAACTGTCTTTAACCTGGTTTTAAACATTGTCAGAGAGGAGGCCTGTCTCACATCTTCAGGAAGAATGTTCCAGATTTTAGCAGCATGAATCTGAAAAGCAGCCTCCCCATGTTTAGTTCTGACTCTGGGCACTAACAGGAGTCCAGTCCCTGTGCTCCTCAGAGTCCGGGCTGGTTCATATGGGACTAACATGTCACTAATATATTTTGGTGCGAGGCCATGGAGAGACTTGTACACAAGCAGAGCTGTTTTAAAGTCTATTCTCTGAGCCACAGGAAGCCAGTGCAGAGACCTGAGGACTGGACTAATGTGGTCGTACTTCCTGGTTCTAGTCAGGACTGGAGCTGCTGCATTTTGAATGTACTGCAGCTGTTTTACAGCCTGTTTGGACAGACCTATGAGCAGGCCATTGCAGTAGTCTAACCTACTGGAGACAAATGCATGGATAAGAATCTCCAAGTCTGCTTTAGACACTATGTTTTTGATCCTGGAAATGTTTTTTAGATGGTAAAAAGCTGCTGATGTTACTGATTTGATGTGGCTATTAAAATTTAAGTCTGAGTCCAGTATTACCCCTAGATTTGTGACCTTGTTTGAAGGTTTTAGGGAGAGAGACTGTAGATGACAGATGACGCTCTCTCTTTGTTTCTGGGGACCAAAGACAATCATTTCAGTTTTGTCTGCGTTTAGCTGAAGGAAGTTGTTTTGCATCCACTCACTGATCTGTTGGATACAGTGAAGGAGTGAGTCCACTGGTCCATGTTCTCCTGCAGTCAGTGAGACATAGATCTGAGTGTCGTCTGCATAGTTATGATAGGAAACTTCGTTTCTGCGTATTAACTGACCTAACGGCAGCATGTAGAGATTGAAAAGAAGAGGTCCCAGGATCGACCCCTGTGGTACTCCACAGGTCAGGGCCATATGATCTGAGACACAGTTTCCAATCTCCACAAAGTACTTCCTGTCTTCAAGGTAAGACCTAAACCAACTTAGGGCGGTGCCAGCGACGCCAACCCAGTTCTCTAGTCTCTGTAAGAGGATCTCATGGTCGACAGTGTCAAAGGCAGCACTCAGATCTAACAGGATTAGGATTGAGACTTTGCCTGCGTCAGTGTTTAGCCGGATATCGTTTGTAACCTTGACGAGAGCAGTCTCAGTGCTGTGGTGGGGTCTAAAGCCGGACTGAAACATATCAAATGAGTTGTTGATTATAAGAAATCTATTTAGCTGTTGGTAGACAACTTTTTCAAGGACTTTCCCCATAAATGGCAGATTTGAGATGGGACGGTAGTTGTTAAGTACCGTAGCATCTAGACTGCTCTTTTTAAGCAGGGGCCTGATGACTGCAGTTTTCAGGGCCTTTGGGAATATTCCAGAATGAAGGGACATGTTTACTATCTGTGTGAGTGAAGGTAACAGACTGCTCAGAACAGACTTTAGAAATCTAGTGGGTAGTACATCCAGGCTACATGTGGAGGCGCTCAGACTGGAGATTATCTCTTGGACAGTTTGATCATTTACAGGTGCAAAGTAAGTTAGCTCAAAGAGCCTTTTAGGCTGTTGGATGGTTATCTGTGGATTGGAGACAATGGCGTTTTTGATGCCTTGAACCTTGTCATTGAAAAAATGTGCAAACTCATTACATTTACGTTTGGAAGTTAGCTCTAATGGCATCTGAACAGGGGGGTTTGTTAATCTATTAACTGTTGAAAACAGAACACGCAGATTGTTGCTGCAGCCTTCAATCATTTCAGAAAAATACCTTTCTCTCGTACTACGTAGCACCTGGTTAAACTCGCACAACTTATCTTTGAAGATCTCGTAGTCAACCTGGAGGTTGGACTTGCGCCACTTCCGCTCGGCCCTCCGGCACTCTCTCTTTTGTGCCCTGACCGAGTCTGCTTTAGCCCACGGCGCCTTCTGCTTATTTTTCACTGTTTTAACCTTCACAGGAGCGATGGTGTCCAGAACATTCAAAACACTAGAGGTGACAGAGTTAAACAGTTCATCTACAGTAGAATACGATGCATTCTCAAAGTTTATCATTCCCATAAATAGTTCACCCGTATTTTCATTTATGTGTCTTCTTCGTACAGTTGCAGAGTCCACTGGTGGTTTGTTAGTGAAACACATGTCAAAAAATACACAAAAATGATCCGAAAGCGCAACATCGACCACGTTTACATTTGAAATATTCACCCCCTTAGTAACTAACAGGTCTAGAGTGTGCCCTCTGCTGTGGGTGGGGCCACTCACATGCTGAGTGAGACCAAAAGATTCAAGAACAGAACTCAGCTCTTTTGCCTTTCTGTCAATAACATTATCCACATGAATATTAAAATCCCCTGTAATAACTAAGCTATCAAAATCTGTGCATAAAACTGAAAGAAACTCCGTAAAATTATCAATAAAACTGTGACATGACTGCGGTGGCTTGTATAGGACAATGAAGAGTATTGGACTAGATTGTTTTTGTTGTATTTTAAAAGACACATATTCAAAAGACGGAAACTTCCCAAGAGACATTCTATGGGAGACAAAGTGGTCTCTGAAAATGGCAGCTAAGCCTCCTCCTTTTTTGTTTCCCCGTATTTCAGATTCAAATTTGAAATTTGGTGGTGATGCTTCTATTAAAACTGCATTTTCTGTATTTTGGTCAATAATAATAATAATAATAATAATGCATCGGTTTTATATAGCGCTTTTCTGGACACTCAAAGACGCTTCACATGTGTCATTATTCATTCACTCCATACACGGTGGTGATAAACTACTACAGTAGCCACAGCTGCCCTGGGGCACACTGACAGAAGCGAGGCAACCAGTATGCGCCATCGGCCCCTCCGACCACCACCAACCATTCACACACACACCAGACTCATTCTAGGCAATGGGGGTGAAGTGTCTTGCCTAAGGACACAACGGCAGTTTGGCACTTTACAGCCGCAGCCGTCAAGCCATGTTTCAGCCATGAACATAAGATCTAGATTATAAGAACAAATAAAATTATTGATTAAAAAAGACTTGTTACAAAGAGATCTGACATTTAGCATAGCAAGTTTCAAAGTTTCAGTATCAGCGGTTGTGGTCGGCTGATTCTTACACGGAACAAGAATTAGATTTTCCAGATTAGACTGATTAACTTCAGATGTTTTTCTGTAATGTATTCTTTGTGTTATCACTAAAGGAATGGCACAGGTGGCTTCATGACAGGGCCCCAGCCGGGTCTCTCCTCTAACTAGACTGCCAGTGGCTGCGAAGCAGAGACCCTGTGCATCCTAGTGCTTAGAGAGAAGAGGGGAAGGGGAAGGTGGGGGAAGAGGATGGAGAGGCAGGTGGTTCTTGGGAGTTGGACGGGGGGGGGTTGAAGGTGGATGGGTTTTTGGTGATGGGTTAGGGGAGGGGCAGGCTGAGTTGGGTGGTGGACGAGGGGGGAGTGGAGGTGGAGGGTTTCTTGGTGCTGGGTTAGGGGGGAGGTGGGCTAAATGAGCAGGAGGGGGGGGTGGAATACTTATGGGGTTAGAGGAGGGACGGGTGGATTTTGTGGGAGAATTTGAGTTGGACGCCCTAGGTAGCTTTGGAGGTACGTATGGGGAGTGGTTTTGAATGTTAGATAGGACTCTTGATCTGGCTACAGTGGGTGTGAGAGGAATAGTCTTCATCGCCGATCTTATCATGCCTGCCGAGTGTTCCGGTAATTCCAGTAGTGAAGGCGGGGATAGAAAACAAAGGGAAAGGTCGTCCTCATTTTCCCTAGATGGAGTGGATGTAGCGGGGGGGACCCAAGCCGGGTCCATGGAAGGTGATGAGGGAGTCTTTGGTGGAGACAGAGGTGGTTGAGGAACCCCCAGTACAGGCCTGACTGTAGCCTGGAGCAGTGGGGGAAGCTTCACGGGAGCTGTAGGTGGGGAAGGTGCTGCTGAAGATGATGGAGCAGCCACTGCTGCTGCTGTATCCACTGCTGCTGCTGAAGATGATGGAGCAGCCACTGCTGCTGCTGAAGATGATGGAGCAGCCCACTGCTGCGGCTGTATCCACTGCTGCTGGTGGTGCTGTATATGCTGATGGCGCTGATGAAGATGTGGCAGCTGCTGATGATGCTGGTGGTGGAGGCGTTGAGCTCTTTTGGAACCTTGGAGGTGTTGAGTTCTTCTTGAATCGTGGAGGTGTGGAGTTCTTTTGAGGCGGTGGGGGTGCAGAGACCTCGGGAGTCGGTGGAGATGGTCGTGATGTCTGTGCCCTTTGCTTCTTCTTTCTCCCTTTCGACGGCTGCACGCGCTGCGCAGGCTGAGGTCTTAGGGCAGATGCAAAGTTATCCATCAGCACTTTTACTCCGTAGTTGTTCAGATGTGGGCCTTTTTCTTCAAAAAGCTCGTGCCTATTCCAGAACAGGTTAAAGTTTTCAATGAAGCCAAGTCCTCTGCGTGAACACTCATTGAGTAGGAATGTATTTAGTTGATACAGACGGCTAAACTTCTCCATTTTTCCATCTATATTTGGAAGTGGGCCACTAAGGAAAATTGTTATGTCCATTTTCTTGAGGTCATCCAGTAACAGCGTTAAATCCATTCGTAACTTCTCGCTTGCCTTCTCATAGATATCTACCGCCCCCGTGTGGATCAATAATGTACGCACACCACTGTTCTCAGATAACACTTTAGGCAGAAGAGACCTTATCTCAGCAACTTTTGCAGAGTGAACTGAGATAGTGAGCATGGACTCCATGTTTACATTTTTCACCGAACCATCTCCGATAAGGACACAGTTTGTCCTTGGTGGAGGCGCTGCAGTTGTTAGCGGCTTTGTTGTTTCAGAAAGGGGTAAAAAGCGGTTTGAAGTCTTCAGAACATTTAGTTGTGGCCTTATTTCACTCCTATTGTCATTCTTAGCTTTGTCAACTTTGGGTTTAGCTCCACAATAGTTCCAATAATTCTCATTGTTGATTTTGGGAAAAGAAATGACGTCATAACTTACATTTCCAGTCTGTCCATTCATCCCATTTTCACTCATTGGAAGAGTCGGGTTAAGTCCCATTTCTGTTTCCACAATAGATATCCGTGTTTGAAGAGATTTGAGCTGATTTTCCAAAGCACAACAGCCGTCGCAGACGTTTCTCCGTCTCTTTCGTCCCGACATGACTAAAGTTGATAAATTCCACAAAGCTGAAGTGTGTAGAAGGAGTAATCCTCGTTTTGTAAATAAAATGATTAAAGGAGAAACAAAAAAATGTAAATAAAATGATTCAAGGAGATTAAAAGGCGAAGCAAAAGCAGAGCCGAGAGACACACGACTACCCTGGCTTTAGCATTTGGTCTAGCTTTAGCCATGTGGGGAGTAGCGCCACAATCTTTGCAGTGATTACATTTGTTAAACATTCCTCTTGCTCCGGCTTCAGTTTCTTGATAGAACCAGACCAGAATACTTTACTGTCGCATTCTTCGCCAAACTACAACCTGTCACCCACATCTACCTACAACACCCGCCCCCCGCGCTCTCTGATTGGTCGGATGGGATTTAACAGATGTGTTTGCAGACACTGGGACCAGACCCAGACCAGGGACATGATAACTGACCAGAGTTTACGGCTGGCTAAGGCTAATTCTTCACCTGAGGTCTCACTCGAACATGTTTTTCTCTGGTCATCTAGTATACAGGGCCGGAGTAGGTATTACTATTAGGGATGTACCGATCCGATATTCAGTATCGGTATCGGGGCCGATTTGGGTATTTTGTAAGGATCGGATTTGTTAAATATCAGGGAGTTTACATTTACAGAGTTCACACACAGGTTAAGTACTGGCTTTTTGTGGTCATTCAGTGATGTACCAGCTCTTTTCTTTTAGGCCCTGTCCACACGAAGTCAAGCTCAGGCCTAAACGCAAAAATACTTTATCAATCCAGTGTATCGTCCATACGAGGCCGGCGTTTTGGGGGGGTGTAAACGAACATTTTTGAAACTAGGTCCCAGAGTGGAAAGATTTCAAAACTCCGTATATGCCGCTCCGTGGTTACTGCCTCTCCGCAATGTATCTGAGACGCTTGCGTCATCGCCCCGCCTCTTGTTAAAGCACGCATGCGCCGCACTCAGAAAATAATGACAACAACAATGTAGCTTGTTGGTTTTGTAATCCAGTGCGACCCGAAGCAACAGTTCAACCTCATCGTCCGTCCATACTAATGTAGTACCAGCTCGCCCACTCGCCATGTTGTCTGTTTACAAAATTCCGCGCATGCCCACGGAAGTTTGGGCTTGATCCCGTCATTGCGTCACAGCGCCACCAACAGGTCTGGCATAGTTTCACAGCGTTTTCAGGCGTATTGACTACATTCATATGGACGCACACATTTACTGAGCTAACTCCGTGTTTACAGAAAAAGTTTCTGAAATTATAAGCGTTTTGTCTTCGTGTGGATATAGCCTTAGTTATACTGAATGTTGAGGGCAGCTTTTTGATAAATGTTCCTTTGATATTTCTTTTATATCAAGTTTATTTTAAAGGTGAAATATTCAATACTGATGTGATTCTTACCTATGACCTAACTCAGTAGGTCTGTTAAGCAAAAGCCAAACAATATTTTTGATCATGTTATAATAATAATAATATAAAAAAAACATTTTAAAGTAATACCGGTTCCAAAAATTGTAATGCTTTGAAAATATTAGAAAAAATTGGATCGGGATCGGCAAAACAATAGTTAAGAATATCGGAATCAAATCGGATCACAAAAAATCTGGATCGGTACATCCCTAATTACTATGGAGCTAAATTTGAGGCCTTCGATGCTTTGGCCTCCCATAATTCTGAAACTACTAGTACTCCCAAAGTTGTCGTGGCCCCTGTTAAAATCCAAGGAATTCTGAGATTTTTTTTAATTTTTTTTATTATTCTTCTTTATTCTTTACATGTGTTTAACGATATACCAAACAATACATCAAATGATCGAAATGTACAGTTCACATGTCAGAATAGGAGCATGTTGAAGACCGAGTCTTATTGTTCATGCCCCTAAAGCAAAAAAGAAAAAAATAACACTTATTTTGATGATGATGAGCGCCTCAACAAAAAAAAAAAAATACAATCTACACACATTTGCTTATATACAATATACACACATTTAGTTTCCTCACAGTATAATTACTATTGTTATTATTCTCTTTTTTTATCTAAATTGTTTTTTGAAATATGTATTGGTCAATGATTAACACACATTTTACTTTATTTTAACCTCTAATTCCAAATATTTTGTACATGCATATACACACACACACAAATAATAGAAATTCCCAGAAAACAGGCTTGTAGTTCATCAAAAGCAAGACATGAATGAAGTTAACGATCACTGTTATTGTTGTTAAAAGTGCTTAAACTGTCTCTCGGGCCTCTCCCTCTGGTGCAGACCACATGTTCCTGTGTTTCGTGCCGTCTCTGGTCGCCGCTGCTTGTGTTGCCGCCTCTCGCCTCGTCCTGCACCTCTCGCCCACGTGGCCCCAGCGTCTGCAGCTTCACACCGAGTACTCCTGGGACAACCTGGTCACCTGCGTCGAGAAACTGCTCATGTGAGTCTGTGCTCCTAAATCCTCCTAAACATGGAAAATACTAAAATGTTCCACCTCAATTCACACATTTAAAAAGCGCTTTAAGGCTACTGTTCAAGAAAAGTATAAATCACTAGAATAATAATAATAATAACCTGTGTGTATGCAGGTACAGGTATAGGTGTATGTTTGTATGTGTTTGTATGTATATGTATGAATGTGTGTATGTGTATTTAAATCCATGTATAGATATATATATATTATATACATAAAAGGAAGAAAATTAAAATAAATAAATAATAATAATAATTAAAAAAAATTATATATATATAATGTCATACTCTGTGTTTATGTATATAATGTGATTACAAGGAATATTTCTTTGAATTAGTACGAACTATTTATTTTACAATGAAAATTGTATTTGGAAATACTGTAAGCTCTGTGGATCCGCTACATTGTATATAATTTTGTTACATTTGTATAAGTAAGAAATGTAATTTTGTTATTTTTAATAGGGTTAGGCGAAATAAGTGTTAAACTTCAGCCTAACCCTTTCGGTCAGTATATAATTTATAATTTGTGAATGTCAAATGTTTTCTTATTTTCTGCTGATGGCCGAAGAATAAACGAATATATATAATTGTATATATTGATAATTCGTACATAACCAAAACAAACATACAATATATTTAAAGGCCGATTGAGGAAATAAGTACCGTCTGCTTCCGCCCTGAAGGTACTTATTTTCCGATAATGACCTGCGTATTATACGTTATCCCGCTTATTATACGGCTTTATACCAACAGAACACACAACATAAACTTCAGTCCACTATTAGGAATGCCGAAAGGTTTATTTAAAATAAGAACGAAAATAAAATGGTTCCCAAAGGCTTTCCCGTGGCTATGCTAGCAACAGTTAGGCTAGCAACTTCCAAACTAGAACTCTCTGGAACTGCATGAAAACTGAACAAATAAACTTAACCTAAATCCATAATTCCATCCTCTGCAAATGTTCCTAAAATGTGCCGGTATCTACTTGCAGGTTTTTCGGGATCGCCTTTTCTCGTATTACATCAGTGTTTTTGTCATGAAAACGTAAACAGAAAATTCTGAAAACTTCCGTGCACTTGTATTAATAATGTATTTGTATAATGTATTCTCCGATTAACATTTAAGTGTGTTTATTTGAGGCTGAGTTTACACGGAGACAATGTGGCAGTAAAACGGTATAGTTGGATGTCGGTTGCTACCAACCGTTCATACGAAGACTGTGTTCCAGGTGAAAACGTAAGTGTTCAAATCCAGCCTGCAGAGTGGGACAACTCAGAAACGCTGCACAGCGGGGGCTCTCTTTCACACCCGTGAGAGGGAAAAGGTGTGAAATCCCCCTCTGCTCTGACCCCCACCTCCGCGCTGCTCCCCACACGTAAATTTGGACATGCGCAGTAGCGGAGAACAAACATCAACAATAATGGCGCCGCCCACACAAACTAGCTACGTGGGCTTCCAGCGCGGGACAGAGGATAATTCTACTCCTTCGTTCGTCCAAACGAGACCACGCGAAGCTCTAGGTTCAGTTTCCATTTTCACAGCTGCTGTTAAAATGCAGAATGATGTTGGTACTTTCTGAGGGTCTGGCACAGGAAGTGAATATACTGCCGAGAGGGGGGCTGGGCACGGAGCTGGGGGTCGTGTGTCGTGTTGTAAAGTTTCTCTGCCCACTACTGGCCGGGCGCTAGAACTACATCGTTTTTCAACCTCATGTGAACGCAGAGAAATTTGCATTAGGAGCCAGGTCGTTTCTGTTAATAGCCTGGAAACGTCTGCGCAGCGTCTCAGTATAAACAGGGCCTGAACGTGGCTAGCTCCGGAGTGGCCGGAACTACTTGCGGAGTTATCCACGCATCTGAAAGACCAGCAGAGAGTGCGTTGCCAAAGGGCAGCGGTCATTATTGTTTTGAGAGGTCCGTTATAGAAAATAATGACCGGTAGAACGTTTTGAAATTACATTAAAGTCAATGGAGCGTTCTACTGCTGCTGTGAGGAGCCGTGTAATAAATACATTTATAATATGTACTTATTTGTTACAGAGCAGATTAAAAGTCCTCACCTTGTGTAAATATCTTATAATAAATAGTTTTGGTTCTTTGTCCAGACATGAAAGTGAACAGAGAAATGGTTATTGACATTTTCAACTTTACAACACTCAATAAATATTTTTATCTCATGATTAATGCGAGCACAAAAGCGCTGCAGCTGTTCCAATATTCACAGTGATGAAATGACTCCATGTTAGCCGTAGGCATTCCAGTACGGCTGCACAATCTCGAAAAAATCTCGTCATTGCGAAATCCATATCAAAAAAGATGTGCCATAATTTTGTTATATTTATGTATGCATATCTTGTACACACACTTTGACAAATATGTTGTGATCTGGTGCCGCCACACGATAGAGCAGAGTGCGCTGGGAAACGAAACAAACAAATGGAGAGAAATGTACCGCCGGAAATTGGGGCTACTTTGGATTTACAAGAAAGGACCAATCAGAGACTAGTTATTCGCAAGTCATGCCAAAAAATAGTCGCTACGTCGAAGAGAAACGCAAAAACTCTCCAGAGCTCCACCACTGGGTACTTCATGCTGTATTTACAAACTCAAACTCCACAGCTGCCTCTGGTCAAACCAAAGGCAAATGTGAAAATGAGCATTAACCGTGATAAAGCAAAGAGCACACTGTTGATACTGAGTGGATGGAATCTGCAACTTTAGGAAAGATCTGAGGTTAATGTGTCCCGTACTGCATTTGAATGTCATTAATGCTGTGCTTCATTTTTGTTTGACAAAATTTTGTTTGTTTTGCGGTTTAATGCAGATTGATATTGCTATATTATTTCTGATGTTTATTCTGCTCATATTCTCATATTCTCCGCTGCTAATGTATAATATAGACATCTGTAAATACTCCGAACCAAGTGCAATTGTAGCCCAGATGTTCTTGTTTTTTTTTATCTTAAATTTATTGTCTATTATCTTAAATAATAGACTTTGATGTGTGCAATCTGAGTGCTCTTATTTCCTTTCTCTGCTGTAATGTGCAACGATGACACTGAAATTTCTCCACTGTGAGACTAATAAAGGTTTATCTTATCTTATATCATTATCAAAATACTGAACCCCCATATCAAATATCGCTGTAATTTACAATATTGTGCATTCCTAGATTCTAGCGTTTCCAGCATTTCAGTTACTCGGAACATGTGGACCTGGTTGAGTTCGATTGTGTCGTCAGTGTAAACATGTCTCAGATTATTTTTATTCAAGACATCAGGTTTTATCCAGTCCTGTGACATGGCATTAATATGATTCATGTGTTGCAAACTCACAAACCAGTGTGCGTTTTGTGTTGCTCTTTGGGATTATGGCTGAAATCACATCGTTTTAGTCCCACAAATAATTTTTATGATAATTTACTGTTCAGACCAATTTTCCAGATAGAAAATAAAATCCAATCATATGAAACGTGGCTTCTCCCAACAGCTCCACGGCTGCGGGCTGAGTGTGTGTGTTCTGAGTGTGTGTGTGTGTTCTGAGTGTGTGTGTGTGTTCTGAGTGTGTGTGTGTGTTCTGAGTGTGTGTGTGTGTGTTCTGAGTGTGTGTGTGTGTGTTCTGAGTGTGTGTGTGTGTGTTCTGAGTGTGTGTGTGTGTGTGTTCTGAGTGTGTGTGTGTGTTCTGAGTGTGTGTGTGTGTTCTGAGTGTGTGTGTGTGTTCTGAGTGTGTGTGTGTGTTCTGAGTGTGTGTGTGTGTTCTGAGTGTGTGTGTGTGTTCTGAGTGTGTGTGTGTGTTCTGAGTGTGTGTGTGTGTTCTGAGTGTGCTCCGAGTGTGCAGAGTGTGCGCGTGTTCCTAGTGTGCGCGCAGAGTGTGCGCATGTTTCCTAGTGTGCGCGTGTTCCGAGTGTGCTCAGAGTGTGCGCGTGTTCCGAGTGTGCTCAGAGTGTGCAGAGTGTGCGCGTGTTCCGAGTGTGCGCGTGTTCCGAGTGTGCTCCGAGTGTGCGCGTTGTTCCGAGTGTGCTCCGAGTGTGCAGAGTGTGCGCGTGTTCCGAGTGTGCTCCGAGTGTGCAGAGTGTGCGCGTGTTCCGAGTGTGCTCCGAGTGTGCAGAGTGTGCGCGTGTTTCAGAGTGTGCTCCGAGTGTGCAGAGTGTGCGCGTGTTCAGAGTGTGCTCCGAGTGTGCAGAGTGTGCGCGTGTTCAGAGTGTGCTCAGAGTGTGCAGAGTGTGCAGAGTGTGCGCGTGTTCAGAGTGTGCGCGTGTTCAGAGTGTGCGCGTGTTCAGAGTGTGCGCGTGTTCAGAGTGTGCGCGTGTTCCGAGTGTGCGCGTGTTCAGAGTGTGCGCGTGTTCAGAGTGTGTTCCGAGTGTGCGCGTGTTCCGAGTGTGCGCGTGTTCCGAGTGTGCGCGTGTTCCGAGTGTGCGCGTGTTCCGAGTGTGCAGAGTGTGCGCGTGTGCCGAGTGTGCGCGTGTTCCGAGTGTGCTCCGATTGTGCAGAGTGTGCGCGTGTTCCGAGTGTGCGCGTGTTCCGAGTGTGCGCGTGTTCCGAGTGTGCGCGTGTTCCGAGTGTGCTCCGAGTGTGCGAGTGTGCTCCGAGTGTGCAGAGTGTGCTCCGAGTGTGCAGAGTGTGCTCCGAGTGTGCAGAGTGTGCGCGTGTTCCGAGTGTGCGCGTGTTCCGAGTGTGCGCGTGTTCCGAGTGTGCGCGTGTTCCGAGTGTGCGCGTGTTCCGAGTGTGCGCGTGTTCCGAGTGTGCGCGTGTTCCGAGTGTGCGCGTGTTCCGAGTGTGCTCCGAGTGTGCGCGTGTTCCGAGTGTGCTCCGAGTGTTCCGAGTGTGCGCGTGTTCCGAGTGTGCTCCGAGTGTGCAGAGTGTGCGCGTGTTCCGAGTGTTCCGAGTGTGCGCGTGTTCCGAGTGTGCGCGTGTGCCGAGTGTGCAGAGTGTTCCGAGTGTGCGCGTGTTCCGAGTGTGCGCGTGTTCCGAGTGTGCGCGTGTTCCGAGTGTGCGCGTGTTCCGAGTGTGCGCGTGTTCCGAGTGTGCGCGTGTTCCGAGTGTGCGCGTGTTCCGAGTGTGCTCCGAGTGTGCGCGTGTTCCGAGTGTGCTCCGAGTGTGCGCGTGTTCCGAGTGTGCTCCGAGTGTGCGCGTGTTCCGAGTGTGCTCCGAGTGTGCAGAGTGTGCGCGTGTTCCGAGTGTGCGCGTGTTCCGAGTGTTCCGAGTGTGCGCGTGTTCCGAGTGTTCCGAGTGTGCGCGTGTTCCGAGTGTGCGCGTGTTCCGAGTGTGCGCGTGTTCCGAGTGTGCGCGTGTTCGGTGTTCGAGTGTGCGCGTGTTCCGAGTGTTCAGAGTGTGCGCGTGTTCCGAGTGTTCAGAGTGTGCGCGTGTTCCGAGTGTGCAGAGTGTGCGCGTGTTCCGAGTGTGCAGAGTGTGCGCGTGTTCCGAGTGTGCGCGTGTCCGAGTGTTCCGAGTGTGCGCGTGTTCCGAGTGTTCCGAGTGTGCGCGTGTCCGAGTGTGCAGAGTGTGCGCGTGTTCCGAGTGTGCAGAGTGTGCGCGTGTTCCGAGTGTGCAGAGTGTGCGCGTGTTCCGAGTGTGCAGAGTGTGCGCGTGTTCCGAGTGTGCGCGTGTTCCGAGTGTGCGCGTGTTCCGAGTGTGCGCGCGTGTTCCGAGTGTGCGCGTGTTCCGAGTGTGCGCGTGTTCCGAGTGTGCAGAGTGTGCGCGTGTTCCGAGTGTGCAGAGTGTGCGCATGTTCCGAGTGTTCCGAGTGTGCGCGTGTTCCGAGTGTGCGCGTGTTCCGAGTGTGCGCGTGTTCCGAGTGTGCGCGTGTGCCGAGTGTGCCGTGTGCCGAGTGTGCGCGTGTTCCGAGTGTGCGCGTGTTCCGAGTGTGCTCCGAGTGTGCGCGTGTTCCGAGTGTGCTCCGAGTGTGCAGAGTGTGCGCGTGTTCCGAGTGTGCGCGTGTTCCGAGTGTTCCGAGTGTGCGCGTGTTCCGAGTGTTCCGAGTGTGCGCGTGTTCCGAGTGTGCGCGTGTTCCGAGTGTTCCGAGTGTGCGCGTGTTCCGAGTGTTCAGAGTGTGCGCGTGTTCCGAGTGTGCAGAGTGTGCGCGTGTTCCGAGTGTGCAGAGTGTGCGCGTGTTCCGAGTGTGCGCGTGTTCCGAGTGTGCGCGTGTTCCGAGTGTGCGCGTGTTCCGAGTGCGTGTCCGAGTGTGCGCGTGTTCCGAGTGTGCGCGTGTTCCGAGTGTTCCGAGTGTGCGCGTGTTCCGAGTGTGCAGAGTGTGCGCGTGTTCCGAGTGTGCAGAGTGTGCGCGTGTTCCGAGTGTGCAGAGTGTGCGCGTGTTCCGAGTGTGCAGAGTGTGCGCGTGTTCCGAGTGTGCGCGTGTTCCGAGTGTGCGCGTGTTCCGAGTGTGCGCGTGTTCCGAGTGTGCAGAGTGTGCGCGTGTTCCGAGTGTGCAGAGTGTGCGCATGTTCCGAGTGTTCCGAGTGTGCGCGTGTTCCGAGTGTGCGCGTGTTCCGAGTGTGCGCGTGTTCCGAGTGTGTGCGCGTGTGCCGAGTGTGCGCGTGTGCCGAGTGTGCACGTGTGCCGAGTGTGCGCGTGTTCCGAGTGTGCGCGTGTTCAGAGTGTTCCGAGTGTGCGCGTGTTCAGAGTGTTCCGAGTGTGCGCGTGTTCAGAGTGTTCCGAGTGTGCGCGTGTTCCGAGTGTGCGCGTGTTCCGAGTGTGCGCGTGTTCCGAGTGTGCGCGTGTTCCGAGTGTGCGCGTGTTCCGAGTGTGCGCGTGTTCCGAGTGTGCGCGTGTTCCGAGTGTGTGTTCCGAGTGTGCGCGTGTTCCGAGTGTGCGCGTGTTCCGAGTGTGCGCGTGTTCCGAGTGTGCGCGTCGTGTTCCGAGTGTGCGAGCGTTTTCCGAGTGTGCGCGTGTTCCGAGTGTGCGCGTGTTCCGAGTGTGCGCGTGTTCCGAGTGTGCGCGTTTTCCGAGTGTTCCGAGTGTGCGCGTTTTCCGAGTGTTCCGAGTGTGCGCGTGTTCCGAGTGTGCGCGTGTTCCGAGTGTGAGCGTGTTCTGAGTGTGAGCGTGTTCCGAGTGTGCGCGTTTTCCGAGTGTTCCGAGTGTGCGCGTGTCCCGAGTGTTATGAAATCCTCACTCTTTGCTCGTACCCGTCCTCAGAGCCCACGACAGCGATGTGAAAGAGGCCAACCAGCCGAAGCCCCCGACCCCGGCCCCTCCTCCCACGCAGCAGCAGCAGCAGCAGCAGCAGCAGCAGACTTTCCTCAGCTCGGGTCAGACCTACCTCCACCACCCCTCGCTCCAGTACACCCAGACCGTCTCGCAGCCCAGCCTGGTCTCCTCGCTCCTCCCTGGGACCGCCTACGTCAGCCTGCCGGCCTCCTCCAGCTCCTCGGGGCCTCAGCACTCCAGCACTCAGGCCCTGGGAGCTGCCATCGACCCCAAGACCAGTCGGGCGTACCAAGTCAGCATGCACTACCCCTGTCCCGCCCCCTGCTTCGACCGATGAAGCAAGAGTCCCAGTCCTTTTTTGTTTTTTTTTCTTTTTGAGGAAAATGTGGTTTTATTAAAGCTGGGTTACCTGATTTCCAACAGCGAAAGGAGCAAATCTAACTTCTAATTTTTGCCTGCTCAGCCCAAGAAGGCGTTTAGTGACTCACATGGTTCCTCCTTTTCAGTGATGGTTCAGATAAAGACTGTGCAGACACAAAGAAATGCAAAACTTACCAAATTCTAAGAAGTTAGGTACCCCAGCTTTAAGGGTCCGGCTATGTTTACAGCTTTCGTTTTTGTGTGCATTTTTTCGAGCTAAAATTACACTACTGTCTTTTTTTGTAGAATGGCTCTGTTTCTGCCTTTTGTCAATGAGACGCTTAATTTTGCTTAGAAATGTTTACAAATTGGATCCAAAAATGGTGATTCTTGGAGCTAAAACTATGTAGAATACTGTACAAAGAAAGTAGATGATTTTTGCAAAGGGAGAAAAATTGACGAGTGATGTTTGAGATTAGATCGAAAATGTTAACTTCTTTGTATTTTCTTTCTTAAAAAAAAACAAGTGGAAGTTGTATGACCCAATGTAGAATAGTTTCCTTTAAGAATTTTTGGGTTGTTACCAATTCAGTGTTTACTATTGCTGTGGACAGACGGCCAGGGCACACCACTCCGCCAAAAGAAGTGATATTAGAAAATTGAATGCTAAATTGACAGAACGAAAACAAAACATTCTGATTGCCATTAGCGAGGTTGTCGGATCAAGCTCTTAGTTTGGTCTGTAGTTTCAGCAAACCCAGTCACTTTGCATCCTCACTGAGCATGGACTGTGTATAGCTGGACGATGCTAACAACGCTAGCTCAATGAAGCCCAATAGCTCAGTAACTGTTGGTGTCACACTCACTATTTTTGGGCTTAATAAATCTGGTTTAGCGCTCTGAGATTCTGGAGTTTATACTTTGATATTGTGTTTGTAGATCCAGATATGAGCCATAAGGATTGACCAACCATGCCTTCATTCTCAAAGGAAACTCTTGCAATCTTGCTGGCAACACGTCTGCTCCTGTAGCCATGCAAAGCTAACTCAGTCGGAACAAATGCCCATATAAGGAAATGGGTTTCAGCTAGCTTATGCTCAAATCAGCTTCTCTCCTTTCCTAATATACAGTCTGTTGTAAAAGAAGTGGTGTGCCCCGGCCTTAAGTCCCAACCTGAGGTCTTGTGATGTGGACGTTGACATAAATGCACAGTTTACTTAAAAAACAGTATTTTTTTGGTGCTGCGTCGACACAGAAAAGCTCGTTTTGAAATGACCCGTTCCTCGAGACTTCTGTGTCGTGTCGGCCATTTTTAATTTGACCAAAATGGATGAGCTAACGCGCTGCACTTTGAAGCAATGTGCAATAATGGGTGTGAGTCAAGTGCTAGCGTTAAATGGTGCTATGAAGATATCAGGGATTCTGTAACGACTTTGCGCCATTAGAAAAACCTCATATCGTTTTGTTACAAGCCAAAAGCGGTGTTTAGTTTGAACCGAAAGGACCTCCGTGGTTTTGAATGTACTCTTTGTGCCGCTGTGACGTCGACAAAAGAAATGATTGATATTGAAGGTAGCACAGATTACGTAGGTGTTCTGAACCTAGATTTTTTCTTTTTCTTTTCTTTTCTAGATGAGTGTGTGAGAGAAAACTAATGTCAGTTTATTTGAAAAGAAAAACATGGAAAATGGTTGCTCTTCTGGATTCAGAGGATTTCAGTCGGTGCTGTGCACTTGGAACATTATAGTTTTAATAAAATACATTTCTGTCTTGAACTGATGCACTTCCTCATTTTAAAACTTTGTTTTTATTGTTATGGACATCTTACATTGGACCAGATGCACTGCCTTCAGTGTCATACTAAGACCATGTCAACACTTTTAGGACATAAATGTTGCAATCAATCAATTTTCCTCTCTTTAATCCATTTCTGGGTTGGGGAGGCAGTCAGAGCTGCCCCCAGTACACGGAGCAGGCAAAGTGGCATTAAGGCCCTGTCCACACGAAGTCAAGCTCAGGCCTAAACGCAAAAATACTTTATCAATCCAGTGTATCGTCCATACGAGGCCGGCGTTTTGGGGGGGTGTAAACGAACATTTTTGAAACTAGGTCCCAGAGTGGAAAGATTTCAAAACTCCGTATATGCCGCTCCGTGGTTACTGCCTCTCCGCAATGTATCTGAGACGCTTGCGTCATCGCCCCGCCTCTTGTTAAAGCAGCATGCGCCGCACTCAGAAAATAATGACAACAACAATGTAGCTTGTTGGTTTTGTAATCCAGTGTGACCCGAAGCAACAGTTCAACCTCATCGTCCGTCCATACTAATGTAGTACCAGCTCGCCCACTCGCCATGTTGTCTGTTTACAAAATTCCGCGCATGCCCAGTTCCCGTCACGGAAGTTTGGGCTTGATCCCGTCATTGCGTCACAGCGCCACCAACAGGTCTGGCATAGTTTCACAGCGTTTTCAGGCGTATTGACTACATTCATATGGACGCACACATTTACTGAGCTAACTCCGTGTTTACAGAAAAAGTTTCTGAAATTATAAGCGTTTTGTCTTCGTGTGGATATAGCCTAAGTGTTTGCCCAAGGACACAACAGCAGTGTACATCAGTGGGAGTCGTGAAGTAGGTCTTGTGGTGGGCTTGAACCCACGAACTTCAGGCCGTGGGGCCAAATACTCTACGAACTGAGCCACTGTCGCCCTAAATGTACACCTACTGTATACAATTCATACTATTTACAATTTCTTAAACTTGTGAACCACACCGTCCCCACTGACTGAGACTCTGTGTGAGGTCTGCGAGAGCCTTGAGTCTGGAGCCAGGAGCCAGACCAGAGGACAGCAGTGGCACCATGTGGGGGATAAACCAGATGACATTTGGTCCAGTGTCCACGTCGAGAGGAGCCAGTGGAGGTGGCTCTGGGGCGTCTGTTTGGGATGCCTCCTGGAAAAAGATGATTCAAAATTAGTCACTGTGTATACAACTTAACAGAGCCAGTTTAGTCAAGTATCTGAGCAGTCGTCATAGTAACAGCGATTGAAGCGATGTTAAACAATTGTGTCATCCATGTAAACATGTAAGTAAGTAAGTAAGAAGTAAGTATTTATTTATATACCGCCTTTTCACTGCAGATCTGAGTCTCAAAGCGGTTTACAATTGTTAATTTTTTGGGCATTTGTCTCTCACTCCACACAGAGATGGGAGCGGGGCCAGTACAGGAGGCGCATGCTAGAACTATTGGACATATTTTTAGTGGTAGGGGAAACCGGAGTACCCGGAGGAAACCTACGCAGACACGGGGAGAACATGCAAACTCCACTCAGAAAGGCCCTGGTCCGACCGGGATTCGAACCCAGGACCTTCTTGCTGAGAGGCGAGAGTGCTATCCACTCAGCCACCGTGCGCCGTAAACACATTAAATTCACACAGATTCGATATTTTTATTGTTTATTCGTTTTTATTCATGACATCACGTCAAGACAAAGTCCTATGACGTTATGGCATTAATGTGATTTACGTGTTGCAAACTCACAAACCAGTGTGTGTTTTGTGTTGCTCTTTGGGCTTAGGCTGAGGTCACATCCTTTTAGTCTCTCAAATGATTTTATATGATTATTCACTGCTCAGACCAAATATCAACATACACTCTAAACCCTGACAAGTAAAGTTTACTTGAAAAAACATATTTGCATGCTTGCTCTGGCTCATTAATTCCGTAAATGTTCATGAAAAAACAATATCCACTTGTAAATAAGAAACCTTTATTTACAGTATATAACGCCTTTCACAGACCAGAGTCGAAGCGGTTTACAATTGTGGGCATTTGTCTCTCCCTCCACACAGAGATGGGAGCGGGGCCAGAACAGGAGGCACAGACCTATTGTACATGTTTATAGTGGTATGGGAGACCGGAGTACCTGGAGGAAACCTACTCAGACACTGGAAGAACATGCAAACTCCACTGAGAAAGGCCCTGTTCCGACCGGGATTCGGACCCAGGACCTTCTTGCTGAGAAGCGAGAGTGCTAACCACTCAGCCACCGTGCTGCCCAATTCCCAAGATATAGTCCATTCTTGAGATGTAATCCAGAAATGTGTCTTTTTCTTTAGCAGAAAAAACTGTCTTCAAAGACAACACAAGTTTATTTTTCCCACTTTGCTAAAACTACGGTGGATTTACTCATTTTAAAATGCTCCCACCTCTGCACCTTCTCCATCGACTCCCACTGATGAGTGCTGTCGTTGTGTCCTTGGGCAAGACACTTAACCCCACTTTGCCCAAAGCCCCCACTGAAAGATCAAGGCTATGCTCACACTCAGAGAGCAGCCGTCCTCCTGTGGACTCACCACCTGCAGAGGGTCAGTGAGGGGCTGGTGCTATGAGACTTGGGTGGTATCTCTGATTGCCACCCCCCTGACCCAGAAATGGATTAAAGGGTAGAAAATGGATGGATGGATGGACAACAGTTGCATTGGACCAGATGCACAGCCCATAGTGTTACTGTTTATTGGCCGTGCTATTTTTCAACACTGTTCAACACATTGGAGGCTTTTAGGTCATGAATGCACACATCAATATACAAATACATAATTCATCTCTTTTACAATTCATTAAACATGTAAGCAACGTTTCTCCATTTTCAGGCACAGCTTCGGATGTGTGGCGACAATGTTTAAGTCTGTTGTTTGAGGTCAGTGAGGAGAAAAAGAAGGCACCGTGTGTAGTAGTTCCGATATGATCCAGTAGAGGGCACTTTTCACCAGTAACGTACAGTGTAGATGTACAGAGTCTGCTCTGCGCTTGTAAAGTGAAGTGTGTTTGGTTCTTACTGTTTTACTGCGTCTGAAGTGATTCTCAGAAGATCGACTGTTGCTAAAAGCATTATTTATAAGAAAAAATAAATAACAGTATACAGTGTGGAATTAAGACATGTGAGATTCATGACATCATAGTCTGAACGCACCGAAAATCTGCACCTGTAGTTCATGGGTTTTCTCCTGCTCCTCCCTCCCACCTGGAGTCTCAATCCTGCTCCACACAGCCTCAGTCCTGGATCTACAGCCTCAGTCCTGGGTCTACAGCCTCAGTCCTGGATCTACAGCCTCAGCCCTGGATCTATAGTCTCAGTCCTGGATCTACAGCCTCAGCCCTGGATCTAACAGCATCAGTCTTGGATCTACAGCCTCAGTCCTGGATCTAACAGCCTCAGTCCTGGGTCTACAGCCTCAGTCCTGGGTCTACAGCCTCAGTCCTGGATCTACAGCCTCAGCCCTGGATCTATAGTCTCAGTCCTGGATCTAACAGCATCAGTCTTGGATCTACAGCCTCAGTCCTGGATCTAACAGCCTCAGTCCTGGGTCTACAGCCTCAGTCCTGGATCTACAGCCTCAGCCCTGGATCTACAGCCTCAGTCTTGGATCTACAGCCTCAGTCCTGTGTCTACAGCCTCAGTCTTGGATCTACAGCCTCAGTCTTGGATCTACAGCCTCAGTCTTGGATCTACAGCCTCAGTCCTGGATCTAACAGCCTCAGTCCTGGGTCTACAGCCTCAGTCCTGGATCTACAGCCGCAGTCCTGGATCTAACAGCATCAGTCTTGGATCTACAGCCTCAGTCCTGTGTCTACAGCCTCAGTCCTGGATCTACAGCCTCAGTCCTGGATCTACAGCCTCAGTCCTGGGTCTACAGCCTCAGTCCTGGATCTACAGCCTCCGTCCTGGATCTAACAGCATCAGTCTTGGATCTACAGCCTCAGTCCTGGATCTACAGCCTCAGTCCTGGGTCTACAGCCTCAGTCCTGGATCTACAGCCTCAGTCCTGGATCTACAGCCTCAGTCCTGTGTCTACAGCCTCAGTCTTGGATATACAGCCTCAGTCTTGGATCTACAGCATCAGTCCTAGATCTACTGTTGTGTTTTAGCACTATATAAAAACAAGTTGAATTGAATTAAGATGAGGAACTTTACAGATGATATATACCTTACTTATTTCCATGAAGCCGAGTTAACTTTTCCTGAAATGTAAGAAATATGTTATGAAATGATTCAAACGTTCACTCACACAGGAAATGAAACTGCGTGAAGATGGCGTAAGAAGTCAAACAGTGGGAGGATGGATGTATTTTAGGATTTGAATGTGGAGGCAGCCAGATGGTCCAGGTCTGAGCCAGAGAGAAGGATGACACCCAGAGCTCACTATTCAAAAGACATGCAAAGACCAGCACCTTTCCCTGTCTCTCAGTCCACATAGACATAGGAGCACCTGGAGGAAACCTACGCAGACACGGGGAAAACATGCTACCTCCACACAGAAAGGCCTGGCAGTGGAATCAAACCCAGGACCTTCTTGCTGTGAGGCACTGAGCGGCACGGTGGCTGAGTGGATAGCACGCTCGAAGGTCCTGGATTAGAACCCCAATCGCAACAGGGCCTTTCTGAGTGGTGTTTGCATGTTCTCCCCCTGTCTGCGTAGGATTCCTCCAGGTGCTCCGGTTTCCCCTACCACTACAAACATGTTTAATAGGCCTGGCATGCAACCCCACTCCCATCTCTGTGAGGACTGAGAGAGAGCTTTGTGATTCTGGTCTGAAAAAGTATTACTTAGTTCAGATTCAGATTCAGATTCATTTATTTGCCATTTGCAGTAAAACCACATTGGAAAAACTGTGCAAGACTACCCCAGTGTGCACCAGTTACTTACACTGTTCTGTCTGTTGTATTGAGGCATCCAGAAACCAGGAAGTCCAGTTTTCTATGGTCTTTTCTCATAAATCGCCGTAGAAAAGTATTTGGTTTTCATTTGCTCGCTGCATATTGGCAATGGCTCTTTCTATAGACTTGTGCAAAGCCAAACTATCAAGTATCAAGTTCAGCAGCTGTAAAAAGGGAAGGACTGGGCTTGTATCAGGTGTCACCATCTCATAATTCGTTTGTGCTGCTGTAGATTATTTTTTCAGATCCGCAGGTTGCAAAAGTTGTTACAATAAATCAAGCAGAATTCAACCAGTGGGGGCGGGTTTCAGCTCCAAAAGATCCATGAGCATGTGCGCTGAAATGCTGCAATCTCACTCCGCGCAGGTGGGGGTGTACCCGGAATGAGAATTACCCAATGTTTTTGTATGGCATCTTCTTTCCTCCTTGAAACCATCTTTACAGTATCGTCTAAAAGTTGCTTTTGGCCTAACGCTGCGTTCCAGATGTTTGTCAATGCTGAGGGAGGGTATTATTTTGGACAAGTCTAGTTTAGTCGCTGTGGACTTCAGAAGGCACTCATAAGATGAATGGGTCTCGTGCCGGCTGACACATACGCAAATTTGTTTTTTCACATTTTCCAAATATGCCTGACTACGTCTTCACAGTCTATGACCTTATTGCATGAGGTGCAATAAGGTCAAAGTTGTATAATATTAACCATGTATGATCCAGCCAGGAGGGCAGCAATAGAAGCCAGTAGTGAAGTTTGGGAACCATAGGATCTCATCTCTGTTGTTTTCGGTCTTTGTTGTCTGGCCGAGTCCCCTTGAGGGCGGATCCCACTCTCACGTTGCCGATGCAGGAGGGTTTGATCCAAGCCACTCGACATTTAACAATATTTATGGACTTATCCAAAAATTATTTGAATTGAACTGAAGTTAAGAACAGTGATGATTTAGGACATTTAAGGACTAGGGAGAGACCAGAGAAACATTAAAGACAGAGACCAGAGAGAGTAAAGAGAGCAACCAGAGAGAGAGAGAGAGAGAGGGAGAGAGAAAGAGACCAGAGAGAGAGAGGAGGGAGAGAGAGAGAGAGAGAGATTGTATAATATTAACCATGTATGAGAAGCCAGTAGTGAAGTTTGGGAACCATAGGATCTCATCTCTGTTGTTTTCGGTCTTTGTTGTCTGGCCGAGTCCCCTTGAGGGCGGATCCCACTCTCACGTTGAGAGAGTGCAGGAGGGTTTGATCCAAGCCACTCGACATTTAACAATATTTATGGACTTATCCAAAAATTATTTGAATTGAACTGAAGTTAAGAACAGTGATGATTTAGACATTTAAGGACTAGGGAGAGACCAGAGAAACATTAAAGACAGAGACCAGAGAGAGTAAAGAGAGCAACCAGAGAGAGAGAGAGAGAGAGGGAGAGAAAGAGACCAGAGAGAGAGGGAGGGAGAGAGAGAGAGAGAGAGAGAGAGAGAGAGAGAGAGAGAGAGAGAGAGAGAGAGAGAGAGAGAGAGAGAGAGAGAGAGAGAGAGAGAGAGAGAGAAGAGAGAGAGAGAGAGAGAGAGAGAGAGAGAGAGAGAGAGAGAGAGAGAGAGAGAGAGAGAGAGAGAGAGAGAGAGAGAGAGAGAGAGAGAGAGAGAGAGAGAGAGAGAGAGAGAGAGAGAGAGAGAGAGAGAGAGAGAGAGAGAGCGAGAGAGAGAGAGAGAGAGAGAGAGAGAGAGACTAGGGATTTAACCAAACTGTTTTAGAGAAACTGGTTAGATGGATTTTTGATATTTAAAAAAAAAAAAGTTTTATAACAATATCTGGTTTTAAAAGTGGGTTTACCAGCTTTAAAGCTGAGAAAACACTATGAATAGGGAGAACAGATGGCTTGAAATGCCTGAATGGGCTTTCTGGCTTGAATACTGTGAACATTTGCCTATAGCTCCATGACATAATATTTGGACACAGACATCTCTCTTCTTTTTTTCTTTTCTTTTCTTGCATTGTGATTGGCTCTCTTTCACAGTTGAAACGCTGCCTCTGATTGGCTGTTTCCTCCAGGCTCTAGCCAATGAACGCGGACCGGCAGCAGAGGAAGGAATAAATGCAAGATGGCTCCTCATATAAAAACAGTCTTCTGGCTTCCTCCCGACGCGCATCAAAATAACTATTTACACATTATCCGCCTGAAATATCTGACTGCAAGACCTTCTGAAGGGTGAAGAGACCTGTGCGTGGCTGTGCTGAGATAACACGTCGGGACTGGCTGGCAGCTATAAACAAATGATCAAAACTTTGAAATGTTGAAACGGGGCTGATCTACCAACTCGCACCAGCGGCGGCTAACAAGCTAGTTAGCATATAGCGGCTAACTAGCTCATGAATCTAGGCTGTTTTTACGCCTCAAGCTGTAAAGAGTGGACTAGTGCGTGGTCTTCCTGGTTGTCTGGTTTACTCTGGGCGTGAATGGCACTATAAATCCAGAACAATGGCTGTAACAAGGTAAGATAGTCTTTTATAATGTGTTAGCTACATGTTAGCTACCTGTTAGCTAACTAGCAGCGGTGTAAAATCGCATCGCGTGGGTGACGTCTGCCTCCTTTAGCACGCCCGTGGTTTTAGTTTACAAATGTGTACTTTGGTGACTCTAAATTGCCTTCAGGCCCGCAGTTCAGACCAGAGATTTAACAATATCCCAGTTCCCTGCACACGCTGTAATGACAGTGAAGGAAAGATATTGACTACATCAGAAGTCCTCGCTTCATTATGGTTGACAAGGGATGTGGATGTAGTAGTAGTAGTTAGTAGTAGTAGTAGTAGTAGTCTTAGTAGTAGTAGTAGTAGTCTTAGTAGTAGTAGTAGTAGTAGTAGTAGTAGTAGTAGTAGTAGTAGTAGTAGTAGTAGTAGTCTTAGTAGTAGTAGTAGTCTTAGTAGTAGTAGTAGTAGTAGTAGGGGTATTGGTAGTTGTCGAGAACTCCGGGCTAGGATAAAAAAAAAAGTCATAGAACTAATAATAGTAGTAATAATTGTAGTAGTAGTCATAATAATAATAATAATAAAAATAAAAATAATAATAATAATGATAGTAGTAGTAGTAGTCATAATAATAATAATAATAGTAGTAGTAGTCATAATAATAATAATAATAGTAGTAGTAGTCATAATCAGAATCAGAATCAGAATCAGAATCATTTTTATTGCCAACGTAAGTAACGGGAGGTCACAGACTTGGAAATTGCTTTGGCTCAGTGCAACAGTCAAAAAGAGATAATAAAAATAAGAATAAAAAACACTTCTAAAGAATAAATTTAAATTTAAAATAGAGTTACAGTTACTATTTACAATATACAAGTGCACATGGTGCACACAATGTAAGGTGACAGCAGTACAGTGAAGTAAAGTGACGTATGATGGGCAGTAAAGTGACTTTATAAAGGGCGGGGGGACAGGTTAAGAAGTGTTCAAGAGTCCAACAGCAGAGGGGAAGAAACTGTTCTTGTGGCGGGAGGTTCTAGTCCTGATGGACCGCAGCCTCCTGCCTGAGGGGAGTGGTTGGAATAGTCCATGTGCAGGGTGAGAGGGGTCGGCTGTGATACGACCAGCCCGGCCTCGAGCTCGGGCGACGTACAGGTCCTGCAGCGATGGAAGGCTGCGGCCGATCACTTCCTCTGCAGAGCGCACAATGCGCTGTAGTCTCTGTTTGTCCCTGACTGTGGCTCCAGCGAACCACACGGTGATGGAGGAGGTGAGGATGGACTCGATGATGGCCGTGTAGAACTGCACCAACATCTGTGCAGGCAGCTTGGCTTTCCTGAGCTGCCGCAGGAAGTACATCCTCTGCTGGGCCTTCTTGATGAGGGAGCTGATGGTCGGCTCCCACTTGAGGTCCTGGGTGATGGTGGTGCCCAGGAAACGGAAGGACTCCACAGAGGTGATGGGGGAGTCCATCACGGAGGGTGGGGGCGGGGGGACAGTGCTCTTCCTGAAGTCCACAATCATCTCCACTGTCTTCTGGGCGTTCAGCTCCAGGTTGTTACCACTGCACCAGGACACCAGCCGGTCCACCTCCCTCCTGTAGGCGGACTCATCGTTGTTGGAGATGAGTCCAATGAGGGTGGTGTCGTCCGCGAACTTGATCAGCTTCACGGAGTCGTGGCTGGAGGTGCAGTGGTTGGTGTACAGGGAGAAGAGCAGGGGAGAAAGAACACAGCCCTGTGGGGCTCCTGTATTTATAATCCGAGAGTCCGAGACATTCTTCCCCAGACGCACTCGCTGCTTCCTGTCCGTCAGGAAGTCAGTGATCCACCTGCAGGTGGAATCGGGCACGTTGAGCTGGGAGAGCTTGTCCTGGAGCAGGGATGGCAGGATTGTGTTGAAGGCAGAGCTGAAGTCCACGAACAGGACCCTGGCGTAGGTCCCCGGGGAGTCCAGGTGCTGTAGGATGTGGTGGAGGGCCAGGTTAATGGCGTCGTCTACAGATCTGTTGGCTCTGTAGGCGAACTGCAGGGGGTCCAGGAGGGGGGAGGTGAGGGACTTGAGATGGGAGAGAACCAGGCGTTCAAATGACTTCATGACGACAGACGTAAGTGCTACAGGTCTGTAGTCATTGAGTCCTGTGATCCTGGGCTTCTTCGGGACGGGGACAATGATGGAGGATTTGAAGCAGGCCGGGACATGGCAGGACTGCAGAGAGGTGTTGAAAATGTCCGTGAACACAGGAGTAAGCTCACTGGCGCAGTGTCTCAGAGTGGCCGGAGACACGTGGTCCGGGCCAGGAGCTTTGCGGGGGTGCAGCCTCAGGAAGAGTTGTTTAATCTCTTTAGCGGCTATTGTTAGGCTGGGGGCAGGGCTGATGGGTGGGTCGTTAGAGTAGTGGGGGGTGGGGGAGGGAGAGGTGTCAGGGGCAGCATCAAAGCGACTGAAAAATAAGTTCAGATCGTCAGCTAGCTTGTGGTCATCAGCACAGGGGGGGGCTTTGGGTTTGTAGTTGGTGATCTCCCGTAGGCCCCTCCAGACAGAAGCAGTATCGTTGTTACCAAACTGCTCCTGTAGTCGTTCTCTGTGCCGGGACTTGGCTGCTTTCAGTTCTTTCCTGAACTGATATTTAGCTGCTTTGTAGCCGCTGCGGTCCCCCTCCCTGAAAGCAGACTCCTTTGCTTTCCTGAGCTGCCGGAGTTTAGCAGTGAACCAGGGTTTGTCGTTGTTATAGATGACCCTGGTCCTTGTTGGAATGATGCTATCCTCACAGAAGTGGATGTATGACGTCACAGTGTCCGTATATTCATCCAAGCTGTCTGTGGCAGCTCTGAAAAGGTCCCAGTCTGTAGATTCCATGCATGCGCGTAGCTCTTCCACAGCTTCATCAGACCACACTTTGGAGCTCCTCACTGCAGGTTTCGAGAGCTTTAGTCTCTGTCTGTAAGCAGGAACCAGATGTATCATGGAGTGATCTGAGAAGCCGAGGGCTGGCTTGGGAACAGCGCGAAAAGCTCCGCGCACGGTGGTGTAACAGTGATCCAGAGTGTTCTCCTCTCTGGTCGGGCATTTGATAAACTGTCTGTATTTGGGTAATTCCTGGCTCAAGTTTCCCTTATTAAAATCCCCCAGGATAATAATCAGAGAGTCCGGGTATAAGCGTTCCATACACAGTACTTGCTCTGCGAGTGCGCGCTGAGCCTCGCGCGCGTCCGCGCATGGCGGTATGTAAACAGAGGCAAAGAATGAATGAAACAATTTCCCGCGGGGAGTAATATGGTTTACAATGAATGAAAAGATATTCCAGAGCAGGAGAGCAGTGCTTGGAGATCACTGTCACATCGTTACACCAGTTTGTATTGACGTAGAAACAGAGCCCTCCGCCTCTGCTCTTCCCTGAGAGCGCACAATGGCGATCCGCGCGAAACAGCCCAAAGCCCTGCAGCTCCAGAGCGCAGTCCGGGATCCGCTCATTTAGCCAGGTCTCAGTGAAGCAGAGGACACAGGATGTGGCGAAGTCCTTGTTTCTTCTCATGAGCAGGCTGAGTTCGTCCATCTTATTGCCCAGTGAGCGTACGTTGGAGAGAAAAATGCCGGGGAGAGCCGTGCGCGCTCCTCTCCTCCTAAGACGCACGAGCAGGCCTCCTCGCTTTCCCTTTTACGGGCCCACACTTTTTTGGCTAGAACATGAACTAAATCAGCCGCAGATGCCAAGAAAAACAGGCAATAGGTCCATGGGAACGGTGGGTCGGATGTTCATAAGTTCCTCACGGGTGTAGGAACAGCCAGATGCACAGTTAAAAAGTAAAAACAAAAGAAAAAGAGAGCAGCAAAGAGCCATGTCGACCGTACGAGGCGCCATCTTGAATCAATCAATAATAATAATAATAATAGTAGTAGTAGTCATAATAATAATAATAATAGTAGTAGTAGTCATAATAATAATAATAATAGTAGTAGTAGTCATAATAATAATAATAATAGTAGTAGTAGTCATAATAATAATAATAATAGTAGCAGTAGTCATAATAATAGTAGTAGTAGTCATAATAATAATAATAATAATAATAATAGTAGTCCTAATAGTAGTCATAATAATAATAATGATAGTAGTAGTAGTCATAATAATAATAATAATAATAATAGTAGTAGTCCTAATAGTAGTAATAATAATAATAATAGTACAAAACAATGTGTTCTTGTATAGCCCTAAATCACAACAGTATCATCTCAGAGACTTAACAAAACCATTGAAATCACCAACACAGATCAGAAAATCAACAGTTAAAACACATAAAGAATATAGTAGTAGTCATAATAATAATAATAATAATAAATAATAGTAGTAGTAGTAGTACTTGTTCTTAGAAGCTAAGCAGTGTGGGACCTGGTTAGCAGTTGGATGAGTAATATTTTGAATGACCAACTTCTGCTGTGATGTCAGTGCCTGGACAGATGTGGTGTAATATGAATGGATTACTACAGTACTAACTTTAGTGAAGTCTTTTTCTCTATACATGTTTTTTCTTTCTCTCTTCTTGAACAGTAAAATGCTTTTAATTGGGAAAAATGCAACTATTTTAGATGACATTTTTGGTTCATCGTAAATTATATTCTAACAGGTTCTCCCACAAGGCTAGATGGTCAGAGTACTTGAGACTGGAGACCTGTACTGTATATTGGGATGCTTTTTGAGGTCTGAATTCATCATAAATCACTACAGAAAAGTATAGTGCAAGCTTTCCTGCACATTAACTTTGGCTTTTTCTACAGATTTGTACTTAGTCTATGAGTTAAATGTGTGATTTCACTTCACAAGTTTCTGCAAAGGCAAACTTGCAGTATCAAGTTCAGTAGCTGTAAAAAAGGGAAGGACAGAACTTGTATCATGTGTCACCATCTCATAATTCTGTTTGTGTTTGATGCTGTTGATTTAGAAAGTCATTTAAAATCAGCAGGTTGCAAATGTTGTGACCAAAAATGCAAACGGATCATCTTGCATGAGAAATTCCATGTTACAGGATGTGGCTCTCATAGTTCACGAAAGAGCAGTGGAAGAACTAGTTTGTTTTAAGGTTTTAGGTTCTCTCCACACTTCCTTATTTCAAATTATAATTCTTTGTGGAGCCGTTTTATTTATGATACAGACTCTTTACAAACACAGCGACATACACCAAGCCAAGTCATGTGTTAGGATGTGGTTGATTTTGGCTTAGTTATTTTTCAAAATATAAAAACAATTCTGAGATGTTGTCTTTGGGGTTTGTACAAGCTGTGAGACAATTATCAACATGAAGGTGTTCTAGTGTGTTCACAGTAAAGTGTCAATGGAAGTATCTCGACTTAAAAACTAAAATTACTAGCATAGATTGGAAAAAAAGATTTCAAACAGACACATTGAAGAGATAGTTTGGATAAAATCAAAAGGAAAGATTGTCAAACATATTTTTGGCGACATTTTAAACAACCAAATCAGCCTCTTTTTTGACCATTCTACTGTGACGCAGTTACATAGAAAATAAATAAATAAAATGTCCTCAGTCTGAAAAAGTGGCGGATGAAATCCCACAATATGTACATGGTTATCACAACAAAAGTAAATCACTTGATTATAAAAAGGAATCGTTAAAAAATAAAAGATAGTTAATTAATTAAATGAACCTTAAAAAATGTCTAACGGACGTGATTTTTTTTCCCTCTTTTCTCAAAAAATTAAACTTGAGAAAGAGAAAATCTGGTCTGGTTTCACATTTGATTGGTAGACAGTATGAAAGGATCACTTTGTTTCTACTTTGTTTTTTTTTGTTTTTTTTACACAATCTCTAAATCAAAGGTGGACATCTGAAAATACCTATCAAACTTCCGCAAAGCTCATTCCGTCAAATCATCACGATCACGTCCGTTACATAAAATAAACAGGGCCGCTATAGGAAACTTGTCTAATGTATTACAGTTATGTTCTAACAACTTCTAATGAACAGAGGGGTTTGGAAACATGAAAAACATAAAATATCTCCTGATTATTAAAATCTAATTTTTGGCCTTTTGTCAAACTTTTGTGCCCTTTAGTGTGACCAAGCCTTTTTTTCTACGATATTTTTTTGATATATCGTGCAGCCCTACAATAAAGTCTGTTGTTTATTAGTTTCACATTGTAAGTTAAATTATTTATGTGTTTTATTCTTTATTTGATTTGATAGAGATACGCGTACACAATCAACATATGAAACGTCACAACATTTATACCCATGGCTAATTTGCAACGTCTGTCCCTAGAATTAAAGAAATAACCTGAATTTTCCGACTATTATCTATGGACCAAGATGCAGCAAGTCAGAAGTGTTGGTGCTTAGAAGAAAAATGATTGAAGCAAAAAAAATACGATAAGATCAAACAAAACCTTTGTGTGTGGTTTGAAAAGGAATTGATTGAAGAAAAAAAGCTTATTAACCCAAAACCCGTTTGCCCTGTATCATTCTGTAGTTATTGTGTCATTAGGCCTCTCCGAAGCAGGTTTGAGTTTGGTTAATATTTAGTATGTATAGATGTTTCAAATACCAAATTTAGTGAACTATTTTCAACCGTCTTGTTTTAATCCTAAATTTTAACTCAATCAATGAATTCTATGTCTTTGCGTACTGAACTAAATCACAGCTGCAGTTGTCGTAGTACTTTACAAAGTTGTCGATTTGCCAACAGATCAGAGAATCAAACCGTTCAAACACAGGAAATGCAAAGGTATCAAACGCATATCAGGTAGAGGTTAGGGATGTACCGATCCAGATTTTTTGTAATCCGATCCGATTCCGATATTCTTAAATATTGTTTTGCCGATACCGATCCGATAAAATGTTTTCTAATATTTTCAAAGCATTAAAGATTTTGTATTTTTACCTGAATAAATAAGTTTGTTGTGTCTGCTAACACACGTTAGCAGCCCTGTTTACAGTCACAGGGAATGAGGCTCGAGGAATATGTTCACAAGCAGTCTCCCCCATAGTTAGTCCTGGTGTAATCCTGGTTTAGTCCTGGTTTATCTCCTGTTTTGTGTCCCCATGACGGCTTTGTGCGGCCGCTCTCTGATAGCCGCACGGAGGAAAAACTTCATCTCTTGCTTTCGCCGCATCACCAGGTCTCTGTCCACTGCCTCTGCCACACCGCACATGCTGTGCCTCGCACAGACGTGCAGAACCATTGACACGGCATTGAAAAACAATCTTTAGATCCATGTATGCTACGCATGGTGCGGTTGATTTTGCATTTCCCAGAAAGTTTTGCGGTTCACGCTTGGCTGTGATAGGTCGAGAAGTCTCTGCCTACATCCCCCAGAATGCCGAGCGCCTCTGACTCTGCTTTACTTCCTGTGTTTTCGTCCTGTTTTTTCTTACGGAGTGACGTCAAACTAACATTCTATCGACCCCGTTTTCTATTGATATTGAACACGTGTCTATCACAGTATATCTCGTTGTCGTTTTATGAAAAGTGACGTAAATCGGCTTCATATTTAACAAATCCGATATTATCCGATCCTTACAAAATACCCATATTGGCCCCCGATACCGATACTGAATATCGGATCGGTACATCCCTAGTAGAGGTATTACCATAAATCTGAATAAAAGTATTTTTCAAGTTTTTTTTAAATTACTTTTGACGATAGTTCTGAAGAATGGGAATGTAAGCAGTGTGAGCTTTAAGCCGTGGCTCACAGCGACTGGAGCTAATCCACTCTACCTTTTTTATTATTAGACTACTAATGACCCCAGGACGGCCAGCTCAGTGTTGTGTGATATCATTGTACCAAGATACAAACTAGTGCAGCAACAATGAGAGTAAGTGTTAAGACAAAACATAACAAGAAGCTAGTACTGCTTACTTTTTTATTTACATGTTTTGTCTTGCTAAAAGAACCTTCTAATTCTTATACATAAGTAGACAAAATTAACTTTTTACATTTGACTGCTACCCCCCTTCTGTATTACAAATGAAATGTTAAACCAGGTTGCAGATTCTGTTTGCTGCTAAGAGCCATGTGACAAGATTTCAATGAGCTTTTGACATCCCAGTGTCCCAGAAGATCAGTTTGCACACAAGAAATGCAATAATAACAAACTCATAGGAAGCAGTGGTCACATCTGTTGGCGTTTATTAGTTATTGATATAACAAATTTATTGGTTAAAATAATTCTGCGTCCGTTATGACAAGTATTGGTTTCAACACTGACAAGAAAGCAGAATAATCATAGCTGTTTTTCAGTAAACAGGGATCACGTTTTCAATGAGTCATAAATGAGGTGTAAGCGATGCAAATCTCCATGCTAATGTTGTACACATGAAAGGAAGCTATCTCACTTGTGCAAATACTATTAAAAGTTATGTAACTCACAGGCGTATTGCTGGACTGACTACTGAGTAATGGTAGCGACAATAATTATTGTGTTCATTGGTTTGTAAGTCTTCAGATAGCAAATAAACTGAACCTTCCTGTGTTTTTACCGTATGCAATAAGAAGTCCTCCTCCTTCTCACACCTCACTGACCTCCAACATCACCGTCACACCTACTGCCTCAGATCCACAGACTCCAACCTCCCCACTAAACACCTCAGTATAGGGCTGGGCAATAAAACGATATATATTGCGATAGACACGTGTTCGATATCAATAGAAAGCGGCGTTGATAGAACTTCGATAGTTTCACTTCAGTCCGTTCGAAAAAAAACTGGAACAAAACACAGGAAGTAAAGCAGAGTCAGAAGCGCACAGCATTCTGGGGGATGTAGGCAAAGGCGTCTCGACCTCTCGACCTATCACAGCCGACTACAAACTGCAAAACTTTCTGGGAAAAACAAAAAAACAACCGCACCATGCATAGCGTCCATGGATCTAAAGCCTAGCGTACATCGGACTGGCAACTGATTATATCCGTCGCCTCTGAGTTGCTGCCCCGCACACATCGACAATCTGGCGAAAACGAGCAACTCTGAGTCGCAGGCCAGTCTCTTGAATAACAGCGCGTACATCGACAGCAACTGGCCTCACCTACAGTGTGTTTTCTGACAACAAACTGTTGCAGGCTCGCAATACACGCAATACACACACGTTGTTGGAGCGGCGCATGGAGCGCGCACATCGGAGCAACTGAGGACAACTAGTTGCCGAAAAGTAGAACACGGGCAACTGACTGGAACTGGAGACCGACTGATCATCTCCAGTTGTAAGAGCGCGCACATCGACCGATTTCGGCAACTGATCATCTCCCACCATCTCCTCTCAGTTGCCAAAAGCCGCCTTGCAACTAGTTGTCCCCAGTTTCTCTGTCGATGTACGCTAGGCTTATTGTTTCAGTGCCGTGTCAATGGTTAAACACGTCCGTGCGAGGAACAGCATGTGCGGCGGGAGAGGCAGAGACTCGATGCATTCGGCAAAAGCAAGAGATTAACTTTTTCCGGAGCTTCCACAGGGACACAAGACACTCAAACAGCCAAAACAGGAGCTAAACCAGGACTAAACCAGGACTAAAGTGGGGGAGACTGCTTGTGAACATTTGGCTCCAGCCTCATTCCCCCGTGACTGTAAACAAGGCTTCTAACATGTGTTAGCCGACACTAAATGTATTTGTTTTTAATTTATTTTTAAAAACGTAAATAATCAATATATGTCGTTATCGACCGATATGAATTACTTATGGCTGAAAACTATATCACAATATATCGCCCAGCCCTACCTCAGTACCAAATCTTGGGGCACCGAGCCTTCTCCGCTTCTGCCCCCACTCTCTGGAACTCACTCCCACAACCATCAAACTCCCACTCCCTACAAAACTTTAAGTCACTTCTCATAGGCCACCTGTTTCAGCCTTTCCTAATTTTGTTCAATGTTTATGTTTGTATTTTGAGTGTCCAAAAAGCACCTTATAAGTTTGATGCATTATTATCTACCACTTCTTATAGTACTGCTGTCCTATTTATGCTGCATTCTTCTCGTTTTACGTTTCAGGCTCGACAGACTGTTCATTTTGCTGGACACTGGGACGACTCCGGTCACCAGGAAAGCGGCAGCGCAGCAGCTCGGAGAAGTAGTGCGGCTCCACCCACACGAGCTGCACAACCTCCTCGCAAAGGTGCTTAAAACAGGTCCCAGCACTTAGGACTTATGGCCAAAATATACATGTGTTTTGAATGATGGAAAACAGATTGGCCGTTCTCTCTCTGGTATTATATGATCAATCAACCATTTTTTTTATAAAGCACTTTTCTTACAAATAAATGCAACACAAAGAGCAGAGGGAGTGACAGACAGGGGGAGACCAGAGGGAGGGAGAGCGGAGAGACCAAGACCACACAGAGAGAGAGGGGGGGAGAGACTGGCCGACCAGAGAGAGAGGGGGGGGGAGAGACTGGCCGACCAGAGAGGGAGGGAGAGAGACTGGCCGACCAGAGAGAGAGAGGGGGGGAGAGACTGGCCGACCAGAGAGAGAGAGGGGGGGAGAGACTGGCCGACCAGAGAGAGAGGGGGGGAGAGACTGGCCGACCAGAGAGAGAGGGGGGGAGAGACTGGCCGACCAGAGAGAGAGGGGGGGAGAGACTGGCCGACCAGAGAGAGAGGGGGGGAGAGACTGGCCGACCAGAGAGAGAGGGGGGGGGAGAGACCTGGGCCGACCAGAGTTTCTACTGTTTTAGATTTCACAGTGACAATTGCTTCCTGTACTTTATAGCGCATTTTTATTTTATACATTTTTCTGGTGCACACTGGGGGCTTTTGCACATGTATTCCAATGTGGTTTTACTGCAAATGGCAAAAAAACCAAATCTTCTGTTTTGTATTTATTAAATAGTAAAAAGTCAAATCTCCTCTGACAGGTTTTGACGTATCTCAGGAGTCCAAACTGGGACACTCGAATTGCAGCAGGTCAAGCGGTGGAGGCCATCGTGAAGAACGTCCCGGAGTGGAACCCTGCGCCCAGAGCCAAAGACGGTGAGAGTCACACGATTACTGAAGCTAAGCAGGACAGGATCTGGTTAGTACTGTGATGGGAGACCTCTGGGAACACCAGGTGGCACAGTGGGGCGGCTGCGACTGTAATATGCCTAACGGATGTTATTGTTGGCTGGTGCTATGTGTACTGGGTGTAGCTCTGACTGCCACCCCCCCGACCCAGAAATGGATTAAGGGGAAGAAAATGGATGGATGGATGGATGGATGTTATTGTGTCCTTAGACAAGACACTTTACCCACGTTGTCTAGAATGAGTCTGGTGTGTGCGACTGGTTGGTGGTGGCACATACTGTCGGTCTGTCCCAGGGCAGCTGTGGCTACAGTAGTGGTTACACTCCACTGTGTATGGAGTGAAAAATGAACGACACATGAAGCGTCAGTGTCCAAGAAAGTACTGTATAAAACCAATAGATTATTTTTTTTCACAATTATAGTAATATTTTTGGTGGGTCTATATAAAACATAATTTACAGGCAATTTGAAAATAAGATTGCTTTGGCGTATAATCTTTCACTTTAAGGAGACATCAGCACTGGTGCATATTTGCCCAGTTGCAATCGTTGAGTTGTGTAGATGTTCTATCGTTAGTGCTAAAACAAAAGTGCAGAGATAAAGCGGGCGTGTCTCCTTTGGGCCTGTCATGTGAGATTACGCCTCATCGTCTCGTCCTGCTGCAGTTTTTCTCTGGTCTGGAACTCTCACCAGCTGCTCTGGTTCTGCGGCCTCTCGACTGTATTCCTTCTGAGTCCCATTTGCGAGAGTTGGAACAATTGGGTAATTAACCAACCCAAACGGGGACAGCCCCCTGGAGTCTGCCGCGGAGCCGGGACCTCTGTATGGTTTACGGCAGAAGACTTTTGACTTTGGAAAGACTCCGTTGACCGCACTGCTTCAGGATCCATAAAGTGTTCTCCTGGGGTTAGACGACAAAGATGGTTTTATTTATCCTTCTCCATTAGGGCTGCAGTGAGGGCCCTACAACATGAATCCTAATCAAATGTTATTATCACATCACTGATCCTTTCACTAAAACTACCTCCAAAGAAGTCGGTTTTTTATCATTTTTTAGATGGAAGAATTCTTTAAATAGAATTTCCTGTAACTTTAATATAGAGAGGACGGAGACATTAAGCTCATATAGACAAATGTGTTGTGCACCAGATTATTGCAATATCAGACATCATTGTCTGCGGAGAGAATGGAAAAATATCTAAACTCTAAACATTGTAAAGTGCTTTGGGTGACCTTGGTCTGAAAAATCCATCCACAGTCCCTGGTTACAGAGACATAAATTACATTACAAATGAAAGTACCTCCAATGTGGTGAACAAATCAAACAGAACACTCAAACACACTTTGACTTTTTGGGTTTGAGAGTGGATTTTTAGATATTTCTTTCCACACAGTTAGTGCCACTTTTTGCCAAACTCTTGTTAACTCATTGTTATGAGAATTATTTGGGTAAGTAAAATGGTAATATCTGACAAAGCTAGTCAAGGCCTGTGTATCTATTTCTTCTCTGCGGTTCTTCTGGTGTAGAAGGGCGTTGAGAGACTCTGCTGCATAAAATATTCCCCTCATCAGCACCTATTCTCCAGCGGGCTTCGTGATAGCGGCTCCTATTTGCAGCTCAAACACGTGTATGTAGGCTGGAGCTGTAGACAGGAGGCGGCTCACTCCCCACCTCCGCAAAGGAGCGCTTTGGAAAGAGACTTTCTAATGTACGGCTGTTCACGCACTTCTGATCTGAAATGAACAAAGTGGGAAGGGGAAAGGCAAAATGTAAATAGTATGGATGATAGATGTGACTGCTGGATATGAGAGTTATGGGGAAAAGGTTTAAGGGTTTGGTGTCCTGTTTATTGGGATAACGTTGGTGACATGAAGTATCTATAATCTAATCGAATGATCGCAAATGGCAACGACTGCTATTCATTTTATCTGTGTATAGAAGTTGGATTTTGTCCATATGTTCAGGCTGCTTTCCTGGATATTTCTGACTAAAAATGTGATTGTATTCAATTCAATGTATTTTTGTATAGCCTCGACAAAGCTGTATTTGGAAACAGATTAGATAACAAATGGTTCAAAGCTAATGGTCCATGGGGAGTGGATGGCCAATGTCTGTAAATGTCCTTAAATACCCTGGATCATCACCACTGTCCGTAGACCCTCCTGCAGTGGGAAGAGGCGAGAAACCTGGAGACCCACTTAAAGAGATGGAGCTGCTCCCACGACTCGTCGGGCTATAAATGCGATCTCTCATGAGCTAAAGGGTTTTTGTCTCCTGTTTGAGAGGTTCCATCCGATGCAGGAGGGTCTAAGGACAGTGATGATCCGGGAGATGTATGTTCATTTATTACCATTTCTGGACAGAGGTCATCCTGCTCCCTATGGCCCAATGGCTCCTATGTGTTTGTTATTATTGCATTTCCTGCGTTCTGATTTGATTGTTCTCGTCGTACACAAACTAATTTCTATTTTGGTGAATTGGTCTCTCCCTCTGTTACATGACAACTTCTTATTGTCCCAAGACTTCAGATATAAACTGAATATCTGCTCACATGTCCTTTAAACCTCGTCCCTCTTTTTTCTTGTCTTCTTTCTCCAGAGTTGTGCGAGGACTTGTCTCCGGAAGAATCCTCCTGTGATCGGCTGTGTTTCCTAAACTTTGACATTTCTAGATTACTCAAACACGGGGCGTCGCTGCTGGGGTCCGCCGGAGCAGAGTTTGAGCTGCAGGATGACAAAACCGGTTTGTTCTTTGATTTTTGATGAGAATCTTAGAAGTGCAAATACCCAACATGTTTCAACTCGGCTCCTTGAAGATGCCCTCAAGGCCGCTATATTTTTATTTAAATAACAATTAATTGAAATAAACGGCTAACTCATTGATTATCAAAGTAATGCTTAATAAAAGCCTCATTGAGAAGCCGAAAGTTACTATAGAAGTTTGAGTATGATATGTATATAAAAAACATTGCACACTATGCTCCTGCTCTGCCCTCTGACTGTGGATATGAGGCTGAACAGACAAAGCTATAATGGTAGATTTAACATGAAATAGGGCACTCCTCTCCAGTTAAAGTGGTTTACCTTAAAGACTTTTTATTTTAATGCAAATAAGTGTAATATCCATGATCAAGAATAAGTTTGTTTCCCCAGCGCGGTAACTGTGCCATATTATCACCTTGGGCTATTATTCTATTCCGTCAGAATACAGTACTATAATACATTTCTTCTTTTGACTTTGATGCGTCTTTGTGTGAAACCTCACACAATTTGTCTCTAAATATAACTTTTAAGGTGACTTTGAACGCACCTGAAACACTATATTTGGCAGCTCCACTAAACAACCACAGCTGATGCGAATAAGTATTATTAGCATCTTCTAATGATACAAATGATATTGATGACATGATAGATGTAGGACACAAATGACATCTAGTTTTTCATTATAGACCTTTTACCAAATTGTTGAGATGCAGTTAAAAGTGATGCCCCAATGAGTTAGATTTCTGTTATTGAGACTCAAAACATGATCATCCACAAAGTTGAGGAATCCATTAAAAAGTTAGAGCTTATGACTTGCATTTGAGTAAAGAATTCACTCTCAAGCTTTAACATCTCATTAGACCTTCTTCTGCTTGTTTGAAGTTGTTTTACGTGTGTCCTGGTGTTTTCCAGCCGAGATGGACCCGAAGGAGCGTCTGTCGCGTCAGAGGAAGCTGCTGCAGAAGAAGCTGGGGCTAGACATGGGCGCGGCCTTCGGGATGGACACAGACGAACTGTTTAACGACGAAGACCTGGACAACAGACCCCAGAGCCGGGGGGCCGCGGGGAGCAGCGCCCGCAACCACGTGGTGCGTCCCAGTACTTTCAGATGTTTACGCCGGAGATGCATGTATTTTATATTGCTTTTGGGCAAGATTTTGGAGATTCTTAGTTTGTTCATTGTTAGCGTTGCCAGTGAAGCCATTTATTCAGAGTCAGAGAAGCGTGTAACTCCTCTTCTGAGACTGATCTTGGCAAAATGAATGGACTGTAAATCACTGGGCAACTTGCATGTTTTCAGATCTCCCTAAACAAATATGTATAGAGATGATACTTTATACTTTATTATCTCACAATGGAGAAATTCAGTTCGATGAATAAACATCAAGGCTGGCTGCATACTACATTTCTGCGCTCCTTACGACAGTTATTCAACAGCAGAGAGCAAAACAAACGTACATTTCAGACAAACATTATAAGTAAGTAAGTAAGTAAGTAAGCTTTATTTATATACCGCCTTTCACAGACCAGAGTCACAAAGCGGTTTACAATTGTTATTTTTTTGGGCACTTATTATTATTTGGAGAGACACAGTACATGCGGAAAACATGCAGAGCTTTATGATGGGACATTGCTCTGACCCGCCTCGTCCAATGTGGTGTGTCAGGGGGGAGTGTGGGTGGGGGGTGGGACACAGACTGAAAGAGAGGCAGACAAAGTAATAATTTGACGATATGTTGTTTAACACGGACATTACACCGTGTGATTAGTCATTATCTCTAAAGAAATGGCCAAAATTATTTTTTCTATAGCCAATATCTACAAGGTTGTCAATTTGCCAACACAAATTGGAAAATCAAACTGTTGAAACACAGGGAGTGGTAAAAAAACACATGGAGCCATTGGTTCATAAGTTGGTGAATTAATGTCCTTAATGAATGGGCTGGACCATGACCACTGTCCTTAGACCCTCCTGCTTCTCCAAAGAACAACTCATGAAACCCAGTGGGGAAAATGTGAGGCAATTAAATCTCTGGCTGTGTGTAAACTTGAAAGCGTTACTGTTTACTACTGCTGTATAAAAAACTTTTACTGCAAATGGAAAATAATTCTTTAATCTTGGAACAAATTTGTATTCAGGGGTGTGACGATATATCGATTTTTCGATATTGCGATACTTTCTCCCGCGATTCGATTATCGATATGTATTTGCCAAGTATCAATATCGATTTTGAAGAAAAAAAAATAGATTTTGATTTTTTTACATAAAAAATAAATAAATAGTATCAATACTTAATATATGGCTACATTACGCATCTCCATTCCATTTATCATGAAATAAAGTGTAGTTTTACTTTTATTTATGCCATAAATTGGCATATTGTATATTTCTGACCAATATATCGATAAACGTCATATCGTGATATCGTCATCGTGAGCTTTGTATCGTGTATCGTATCGTGAGGTACCCTTAGGTTCCCACCCCTATTTGTATTTATACTAAAAACATTTCATCAACATTTGTTTTTGTTTTAGCCAATGCCAGCGGCCGAGCTGATCGACTCGGAGTTCAGGCCCGGAATGAGCAACAGGCAGAAGAACAAAGCAAAGAGAATGGCCAAACTCGTGGCTAAACAGAGATCCCGAGACTTGGACCCGAACGAGAAGAGGTAATGGATCCCTGTCAATAAACCTGACGACTGGGACCGCTCTCTGCTGATTGGAGGAGTTAAAAATGTGGTCATAAGACTTTATCTGAAAAACTAACGTCAAATCCGTTACGAATCCAGTCCAATTTAAACTTCAAAATCATATACATATTTGTATTATATATATACACACACTCGCAAATTACTTAGCATGTGGAGTCTGCATGTTCTCCCCGTGTCTGCATAGGTTTCCTCCAGGTGCTCAGGTTTCAGCATTAACACATGTACAATAGTCCTCTGTTGCACCTCTACCCACCCCCAGAGCGGTTTGGGGGGGAAAAGTTCCGAAATCTCAGTGCGACATTCCTGGGTCAATAATTTCTTTTAAAGCAGATAACTTGCTCACAATATTTCCATATTTATGCAAAGTAAAAGAAAAAACATTAAAAATATGTATACTTTGAACACATGCAAAGAATCTACTGCACTCATTTGTAACCAGTAGTTTTTTCTGTGTAAAAGTAAAAATACATTCCTCATTCTAAAACAGAAAATGCCAAAATCCACTTTCTCCACACATCTTCAATGGGTCAACAGGAACTCAAATACTGCATAATATTGGTTGTTTAGATGATAATGATTTGTGTTTTTTAAAGTAACGACAGCTTTGAGGGCGAACCTGAAGAGAAACGAAGAAAACTGACCAACGTTGTGATCAATCAGCCCGCCACGGACAGCAAGGTTCTCATCGACATCCCAGACAACTCCTCCATTTCAGAAGAAGTAAGAACCTCCTCTCTCCATATTTAGGATTCATCTTTAATTCAGACACATACACGCTACATACAAAACATAAAAAACACACAGTAACAAAAATATTTACAAATGAGCATGGACTGTATATGGATGTTGGCTCAATGCAGCCCGATAGTGGTGCTTAAGTTTTGGGTGGGTCTGAGTTAGATGGTTAATGTGGGTCTGAGTAAGATATAATGTGGGTCTGAGTAAGATGGTTAATATGGGTCTGAGTAAGATGGTTAATATGGGTCTGAGTAAGATGGTTAAGGTTAGGGTTAAGGGTGGGTTAGGGTTATTGGGGTTATTCTGTGGGAATGGCTGGTTAAGTGGCTACTAGCTCAAAGATGGATGGATAATGCTAACCTGCAAGCTCAAAGATAGATTTAATTTCATTTCAATGACATTTGGATTTTGCAAAAGTCCATATAGACACTGTTGATAAAGTTCCATAGTGGTGTTTCTGTTCAGTGCAAACTTTCTTATATTTTTATTATTAATTGAACCTTGTGTGTTTCAGACCAGCGAGTGGCCCCTGGAGAGCTTCTGCGAGGAGCTCTGTAACGATCTGTTCAACCCTTTGTGGGAAGTAAGTCCATAGAAACCTAACATTAACAAGAACCCTAAGATTGTGAACCTCCTGATTCAAAGCTGGGGAACTTGACTGTAGTCATCCAACCAACTTCTCAATCAAACTTCTACATATTTTTTAAAAGAAAACTCAAATATCAAATGCATCATTATAATGCATGGCTTCATGCCTTGATGCCTTGTGGTGTTTACGGATGCTGACTTGGCAATTGATCTAATTGATCTATCTGATCTATGCTTTTAACATTATGGTATTGAATTCATGTATTGTATTGAATAATGTACTGTACTAATGAATGTATTATTTTTTTGTATTTTTATTTTATTTTATTTTTTGTAATACAGTAGTCTTCACTGGGACCCCAGGAAGATTAGCAACCACTTTGGTGGAAGCTAATGGGGATCCCCAATAAACAAACAAAGAAACAAACTTCAGCTCCGCCAATATGAACTGAACACAGTTGGAAAGCACAGAACCTCTAACCTTATTTGACTATACTGACAATAATTCTATCAATGGCGCTTATGTATAGCTGGGGAGATGGTAAACCTTTGTCAACTAACCCCAACCCATTATTATTATTATTATTAGAATCTGTGTTGTCGGCCCCTGGACAAATCAGATGAACTAAAAAGGTCCTTTTACTAAGGTTTAGATACTTTGGACCTTAAAGTTTGGAACCCCAGCTTTATTCAGCCAAAGGATTCTATTCAACCAAATTTTCTCAACTTGCCTTGTACATAAATGCAACATGACAAATGTGTAACTCCTTTTGAAAAACAGTTCTGAGTTGAAATTCACCAGTTTTCCACTTAAATCTGTTTTTATGAACATTCTCATTAGGTGCGCCACGGTGCTGGTACTGGCCTTAGAGAAATTCTCAAGTCCCACGGAGCAGGAGGAGGGAAACTAGTTGGAAGCACTGCTGCCCAGGTAATGATATTTAATTACTTTCTTTTAATAAAACGTGTGTATTTTTGTAGTAGTAGTAGTAGTAATCTTTATTTATATACCGCCTTTTCACTGTACATTGGAGTCTCAAAGCGGTTTACAATTGTTATTTTTGGGAGTGGGGCCAGTACAGGAGGCACATGCCAGACCTATTGTACATATTTTTAGTGGTAGGGGAAACCGGAGCACCCGGAGGAAACCTACGCAGACACGGGGAGAACATGCAAACTCCACTCAGAAAGGCCCTGGTCCAACCGGGATTTGAACCCAGGACCTTCTTGCTGAGAGGCGAGAGTGCTATCCACTCAGCCACCGTCTTGAAACCTTTTCCTGTGCGCAGATGTCGCGTCAGCACCAAGAGTGGATCGAGGACCTGGTCATTCGACTGCTGTGCGTCTTTGCCTTGGATCGGTTTGGAGATTTTGTGTCGGACGAGGTGAGTCTTCAGTCCTAAGCTAACACTTTTACTTTGTGGGCGTTAAGCTTTAGGTGCTTTATTCTCCCACTTCTGATGACGCGACTCTCTTTGTCCTTGTTCCCTGTGTGCCCAGGTGGTGGCACCGGTGCGGGAGACGTGTGCGCAGACCCTGGGCGTGGCCCTGCGTCACATGACCGAGGGGGGCGTCTCCCTGACGGTGGAGGTGCTGCTGAGTCTGCTGAAAGAGGCGCAGTGGGAGGTCCGCCACGGGGGTCTGCTGGGCATAAAGTATGCTCTGGCCGTGCGGCAGGTACACACCCATTCCTGAACTGACATTACAATAACAGCCATTATTACCACAATTTTTATAAGCCGCAGCCGCTACTTTTTTCTAGTACTTTCACCATTGCGGCTAATGAGTTATTGTGCCACCATACAACATGAAAACCTGGAGCTTATATTCAAGTCCAGCCTATATGTGGACACAATGCTATTTAGCTGGTGCTGCTTATACACAGGTGCGCTTTTATAGTCCAGAAAGTATTGAATTTTTGTATTGTTTTTTCCCTTCCTGCTGTGTGGTGGTCTTGCATTGCTGAAGGCTTGGGACCCACCAGTGGTAAGATAAGATGGACTTAATTGATCTCACAATGGAGAAATTATCACGTCACAATTGGCATAAATAAGATCACTCGGGATGTGCAAATGACGGCAAATGTGCAACATGTTAAAGAAAAAAGACATAGGCTGGCTCCTACGTGTTTATTATTGCATTTCCTGTGTTTTAACTGTTAGATTCTCTGATCTCTTGTTGGTGAATTGACCACTGTGTATAGTCCTCCGAGCCAACTGGCGTTTTAATTTAGGGCTGTATAAAAAAAAAAGATTTAATGAGCAGAAGCTGACATCATTTTCAAACCATTGAAATTGGTTTAAGTACCATGATGGCAAATAGAAGTAATAATTTCTGTTCTCTGGTCTCTCTCTGCCTCTCTGTCTCTGTGTCTGTCTCTCTCTGTGTCTCTCTCTCTCTCTCTCTGTCTGTCTCTCACTCTCACTCTGCTTCTCTATCTCTCTGTCTCTGTCTCTCTCTCTCTCACTCTCACTCTGATAGCCTCTTTTGTGAAAGATACATTACATACAGTTGAATTAAAAGTGACTTTGGCAGTGTGAGTTTACAGTCCTAGTGCCTCCCGAGTATAAGCCTCATGAGTGAATGCCGTCTGTGGTCTCTGCTCAGGACCTGATCTCGTCGCTGCTCCCTCGGGTGCTCCCCGCCGTCACCGTGGGGCTTCAGGACCTGGACGATGACGTCAGAGCGGTGGCGGCGTCTGCGCTTATCCCTGTGGTGGACGGACTGGTGCAACAGCTGCCCACCAAAGTAAGACACGTTTTATCTACCCTCAAAACTTACAAGGAGGTGGTTATCATTTTCAATAGAAGTCTCCAGAGGCTTGGATTAATGTTTAACAAATGTATAACTTCAAATCAAACAACATTAATAATCCGTGAGGAACTTCATTTACAGGCAGAGCACCAGTGGGGGTACATAAAACACAAACACAAGATATAAATATAAATCCAGTAAAAGAGCACTTTAACGCAACCAATCATAAAGGCATTTTGTGTACCGTATTTTCTGATTATAAGTTGCACCAGCCGAAAATGCATAATAAAGGAAAAAACGTATAGAAGTCGCATTTTTTTTTTTTTCATTTTCACTAAGTCCAACACCAAGAATAGATAGAATTTCTTCTTGAAAAACAATTGCAATAAAATGTATAATAGAGAAAAACAGGCTGAATAAGTGTGTTAAATCCATAGACTGTATATAATAACGGACAGAGTCACGTCTATCTCTGCCATTCTAACTAATGGGCCAAAAATAGTGCTCTACTGGAGCTATCCAAAATGGCCGTGAGTGGTCCCACCCACAAGAAAATTGTGAAAAAACGCATCTGCGCATGCGTCAGCCGGCGCAGCTCCATTCATTTGAACGAGAGACTTCAAAAATTCACAGCAAGTAAACTAGAGTGGACCAAAAATAATCACCCCCCTCAGCATTGACACACATGTGGAACGAAGCTTTGGGCCAAGATCCAACTTTTGGTCCATCCTGTAAAGACATTTTCGAGAGGTTAACCAATGCTATATGTTAGCATTGGCTAATTCTTCTCCTGGATCCACCCCCATCGGCCCGGGGTGGTATTGCAGTATGTCAGCGCATGTCATTTTGGCCACTTTTGAGCCGAAACCCGCCCCCACTGGTGAAATCACGCGTAAACAACAAACTTATTAACATAAATATGGCAACATGAACATATTACGGCAAGAGTCATTCAATTAACTTTAGCAGAATCTTTACCAAAGAGTCAGTGTCTCTCCTCATCACTAGACTCCAGCTTCAGGTCGGTGTGCTCCAGTTTTTCCAATGAGCGTCTGCTTCTTCCTCAGGTGCCCTTCATCGTGAACACTCTGTGGGACGCTCTGCTCGACCTGGACGACCTGACCGCCTCCACCAACAGCATCATGACTCTGCTCTCTCGCCTGCTCACCTATCCCCAAGTCCGACAGAGCAGGTCAGTTCTCTCACAAACATCACAAAAACCCTTAAATTCACCGTGTTCTTATTGTAGAGGATTTAGAGTTGTGTCTTGGCGATACAGCAGGGACATTTATTTGGTCATCCCGCTCCTATGTGATTGTTGTTTTTGCATTTCTTGTGTTTTAAAGGGGACATATCATGAAAAATCCACTTTTTGTGCCTTAAATGCCTTATGTTGTGTAGTTGGAGCCTCTAGAAGTGCAAAAAAGTTGAAATCAGTCTCTTCATGGGTTGCAGAGAACACTTCATATTCTGTTTAGGTAAGATATTTCAACCCGTTCTGATTTTGCCATTCTCTAATACGTGTTTAGAATTATTACGTCACAGTATTTGCAGCGAGACTGCTATATAAGGGCATGGGCGTCTAACAAAGCACTTCGGCCCAGCCCTCCTCTACTGTGCATCACTTCGAATTTGTAGTCCAAGCTCAAGGATGCCAGCGAACAGGGCTGGACTGGCCATCGGGCGTACCGGGCAATGCCCAAAGGGCCAATGCCCATATTTGGGCCGGTCTGTCTGCCTCATACAAATCACATGTCTATGAGAAGTGTAAATCCGTTGAGAATTGTTCGAGCGGGGCGCGCGTATCCGCGGGGCACCTGCTGTATGTACTCGAACGGGATTCCGCCACCTCAGCGGCCGCAGTGTTCCGGGGCATCTGTGGCCGCTTTGTAATGAGCAGCTTCCGCGTCCAGCGGCTGCGAGAGGCTGTGAGCGTCCAGCCGCTTGCAGCCGCTCCACCGTGTTGTGGCTGAGCGCGCAGCCTCAACGTGGCCATGTACCCAACCCCATAAACGCGCACAGGGCCATGCATGTCTTTGAGTATTTGTGCACCCAATAAATACACTGCTGCAGGAAACAGTCCGCGTCTCCCCTCTCCTCTCGAAGCGCGATTAAACACCCTAAATAAAGCTCTGATACCTACATTTTGCATTGCATTAAAAGTTCATGTTTGAGCCCAAAAGTAATATGTTGTGAACAAATTAAAAAGATTTAGAGCCAGCAAATGGCTGACAATATGCATTTCAGTCTTTTTTGACCAATTCTCATCCCTGTAACAAACAATAGTGTTGTCTGTGTCCACCTCCCTCACTCTGAGACATGTTTATTACTCTCTTTAATGTAGACTATTGCATTTTATTTTATTGTTGAAACTGCACATATCCTGATCCTCTACAGTATTTGCTTCCACATACTGTATAAACTAGGAGTCGGCAACCTGCGGCTCCAGAGGCGCATGCGTCTCTTTCCTTCTGTAGAAGGAAAAACGTTCTTAACGTTTTTAAATGCTGTAAAATTATGCATAAGTAATATTAAATTTAAACATTTCTGTCAACGTAGTGCGTCATATCCTGCGACGTAGGCCCATGCCAGGCGGCTGCTGTTGTAAGCAAACCGGCGTGTGAGCATCATAGACTGTGCGCATGGATCCCAAAGCTAAAAAGAGAAGAGTCGATAATAAGACTGGACTAAGAATGAAAATTAACATTTGCTTTCAGTCAATGAGGAAGGACTGCTTCATGTTTGCGATGTAATGAGAAGTTTCTATGAGATAATTGTATCTGTGCTTAGAAACTACAAAAATGGCCGCTCGGGGTGGAGTTGAACCTGTGTCACCTGAATGGGGCGTGGTCAAAATCGCCTCATTTGCATTTAAAGAGACAGCACCAAAACAGGTTGCCCTCAGACGCACTTCAGAACAGGTGTAGAAGAAAGGCCCGTGGAGCTACAAATAATGACTCAGACCCAGGCATTGCAGTTACGCTTTATATAGGCCACAAATTAATGATTTAGATGTAACAATAAATTTTCTGAAAACACGATATGTCCACTTTAAAGATAAGACAAAAGATCTTTTCAGTGGGGAAATGTAAATGTTGCAGCGCACATACAGGACAGTAGTAAGAGCAGTGGGTAATAGCAATGTTTCTTAGCTAGCTGTGAATGCCTCAATACCCATCCATCCATCCATCCATTTTCTACCCTTTAATCCATTTCTGGGTCAGGGGGGTGGCAATCAGAGATGCCACCCAAGTCTCATAGCACCAGCCCCTTACCTTGCCTCAATACCAGTCTCTCAAAATATGTACCCTGAAATAATTACTTCCATGTTAAGTACCATAGCAGATGGAAGTAATCATTTCTCTGTCCATCTCTCTGGCCTCTCTCTCCGGCCTCTCTCTGATCTCTCTCTCTGGCCTTTCTCTCTCTGGCCTTTCTCTCTGTTCTCTCTCTCTCTCTCTCTGGCCTCTCTCTGGCCTCTCTCTCTCTGGCCTTTCTCTCTGGCCTCTCTCTCTCTGGCCTTTCTCTCTGGCCTCTCTTTCTCTCTCCGGCCTCTCTCTGGCCTCTCTCTCTGGCCTCTCTCTCTCTGGCCTTTCTCTCTGTTCTTTCTCTCTCCGGCCTCTCTCTGGCCTCTCTCTCTGGCCTTTCTCTCTGGCCTCTCTCTCTCTGGCCTTTCTCTCTGTTCTCTTTGGCCTCTCTGATCTCTCTCTCTCTCTCCGGCCTCTCTCTGATCTCTCTCTCTGGCCTTTCTCTCTCTGGCCTTTCTCTCTGTTCTCTCTCTCTCTCTCTCCGGCCTCTCTCTGATCTCTCTCTCTCTGGCCTTTCTCTCTAGCCTCTCTCTCTCTGGCCTTTCTCTCTGTTCTCTCTTTCTCTCTCCGGCCTCTCTCTCTGGCCTCTCTCTCTCTGGCCTTTCTCTCTGTTCTCTTTCTCTCTCCGGCCTCTCTCTGATCTCTCTCTCTCTCTGGCCTCTCTCTCTGGCCTCTCTCTCTGGCCTCTCTCTCTGGCCTCTCTCTCTCTGGCCTTTCTCTCTGTTCTCTTTGGCCTCTCTGATCTCTCTCTCTCTCCGGCCTCTCTCTGATATCTCTTTCTATGGCCTCTCTGTTCTCATGGTTGGCTTCTCTCTGTCCCCCCCTTCTCTCTCTTGCTCTGGCCTCTTTCTGTTCTCTCTCTGTCCCCCCCCTCTCTCTCTCTGGCCTCTCTCTGTTCTCTCTCTCTCGAATGGCGTCTCTCTCTCTGTGGTCTCTTTTTCCGGTGCAATCATGTCCCCTTTTAGAGTCAAAGTTTACACATTACCTTTTGATAATGCGATGCAATGGTATACATTTTTGGTATAAACTTCATAAATAATCTTGATGTTTTTACGACATAAACTCCAACTATGAAATGGATCTTACATGGACTAGTTTGAGCCGTTTGCTATTTTGCGGACCATCTTTTGGAGACGATCCGATCTGTTTGTGTCTGTGCTCTTAGCATGCAGGAGTCTCTGACAGTCTTGGTCCCTCGGGTCTGGCCTTTCCTGAGACACACCATCTCCTCGGTGCGAAGAGCCGCTCTGGAAACTCTCTTCACGCTGTTGTCTAAAGCAGACCAGGTAACACCACACACCAGAGCTAATGGTCTGTGTCCTTTTTGTTTCGTAAAGCACTGGGAATCTGCTTGTTGTGTATGAAGTGGGCTTTAAAAATAGCCTTGCCTAATGTAGCGTAATCTTGGGTCATTACAGTGCATTGGGTTTTAATGAATGGAATATGAACCAACTTTAACACAAGTGTGAATTCTTGTCTCCCTGAGCTTCAAAAAGTAATTCTAAAACGAACCCAATGATGCCTTTTTAAAGACGACTTGTCAGATTAACATAAAGCGGGAGATTATCAAGCAAAATCTCAATGTGGATCTAAAACGATTTTCGAGGAGTTTGCACACTTCTGTCCTCTTTACCGTTGCCTGTTTTAGTATAGTCAGAATTAATTATAAAAAGTCTATTCAAGCAATTATTACCTATAATTTTCTGCAGTGTATGACCTTCTTTCAACACAGTCATAACAATAATATTAGTTTAAGATCATAATTGTTTTTTCTTGACAGAACTGTTCCATTTGGATCAACCCCATCCTTCAGGACATGCTGCGCCACATTTTCCAGTGTTGTATCTTGGAGAGTAACGAGGAGATCCTGGAGCTGGTCCAGAAGGTAATGATTGCCTTTTGTAGACCTGCTGCTTTTTACAATACATGAATCTTGATTTCTAACTTGTGCGCATGTTGAGAGACTAATCAACACCTTCATAAAACTAGGTCTGTCTGTTCCCCACATGAGGCTGAGCTCTGTCTGAACTTGCACATTTGTTCAAGGATTATCACAATTTATCCATGGCTTCTGCAGATGACAAAATACCAGATTTTATTACACAATGCTGTAATCTCTCATCTTTGTGCAGAATACTTGTCTGCCGTTTTAAAAAGGCTTTCATCCTGTAATGGTTCCTCTTTATATCTTGTCTCACTGCTCATTTGTCCTTGTGCAGGTCTGGAAGAAGCTCTCAATTCAATATTTTTTTTGTATACCCCTAAATCACAACAGCAGTCTCAGAGATGTCTTAACTAATGGAATTTTAAATGTCAATTGCATTTTAAAACTACATAATGGCTATTTCAAAATTAAACTGTAAATCAAAACCCATGAACTGCAATGTTCACCCTCTAGGCCCTACTTAAACTTTGGCCTGGGTTGATCCTTTGTCTCACTGTCGTTGTGTAGGCCTGGGTTGATCTCTTGTTTCACTGTCTTTGCTTAGGCCTGGGTTGATCTCTTGTTTCACTGTCCTCCTGTAGGCCTGGGTTGATCTCTTGTTTCACTGTCTTTGCTTAGGCCTGGGTTGATCTCTTGTCTCACTGTCCATGTGTCCTCCTACAGGTCTGGATGGAGCTCCTGTCTCGGGCTCCTCAGCAGTTTGTGGTCGCAGCCAGCTGTCCCTGGATGGGCGCCTGGCTGTGTCTCATGATGCAGGCCTCTCACATCCCCATCGACCTCAACATGCTGCTGGAGGTCAAGGCTCGCAAGGTGAGTGTGTGTGCTTTCCTCTCTAAAGCTTTAAAGGTAAAAAAATATGGAAATCTGCAGTGAAACGCAAGAGACAAATAACAAAAACATTTATGACATTCATCCATCCATCCATCCATTTTCTTCCCCTTAATCCATTTCTGGGTCGGGGGGGGTGGCAGTCAGAGCTGCACCCAGTCCACAGAGCACCTGCCCCTCACTGATCCTTCTGCAGGTGCTGAGTCCACAGGAGCTGAGATCTTTCAGTGCGGGCTTTGGGCAAAGTAGGGTTAAGTGTCTTGCCCAAGGACACGACAGTAGTCATCAGTGGGAGTCGTGAAGTAGGTCTTACGGTGGGCTCGGACCCACGACCTCCAGGCCCAAAGGCCAATGCTCTACCAACTGAGCTATTGTCGCCCTTTTAATGACATTCAAATACAACAAACAAAAAAGTATATAAATATATGCATATAATGACATTCAAATGCATATATTTATATATTTTTTTGTTTGTTGTATTTGTTGATGTGTCTGTCTTGTTGTTTTTAATAAAGAAGAGAAAAAGTTTTATTTTTATTTTTTATTGCACATATTTTTGATTGAGATATCTCATGCACCAATATCGCGATAACGAAAGTTTTTTGTTATCGTGCAGCCCTTATTGTTTTCATAGGCTAACAAGTTACCCATGGTTATAGATGTCCTGGATCATGCCCTATATGGACCCTCCTGCATCAGCAAGGAATATTTAAAATTTACTAGTACATAACACAGTGGGGCAAAAAAGTATTTAGTCAGCCACCGATTGTGCAAGTTCTCCCACTTAAAATAATGACAGAGGTCTGTAATTTTCATCATAGGTTCACTTCAACTGTGAAAGACAGAATGTGGGAAAAAATCCAGTAATTCACATTCACAGGATTTTTAAAGAATTGTAAATCATGGTGGAAAATAAGTATTTGGTCACTTCAAACAAGGAAGATCTCTGGCTCTCACAGACCTGAAACTTCTTCTTTAAAGAGCGACTAAACACCAAATCAACTTTTTTTAACTCATAAACTGCATAAGTATGTTTATTGTAGTGCTGTCTACATATCCTGGTAATTTTTTTGACATTTTAGTTCAATTTAGTTTGGTCCTGGCCTCTCCATTGACTCTGAAGTTCTCTGTGACATCAGTTGTTTTGTGTGACGTCAGTCTGTCAGAGCCAGTGATGGGAACCCATTCAACTCTCACACACGCCCCAGCTGCAGTTTGTAGTATTCTGGCGCCATCTAGTGGATTAAAATTAAATTACATGAGTCATTCTGAGATTATTGAGTGTGATTAGGTTCAGGTGTGTAGCTTTACAATTATCTTAGTGTGTAAACAAGGGTGGAATGAGACTTTCTGGTCTGTAAACTATTGCTTTAAGCAGCAATGACAACTGTCTGTTTTTTTTTTGTGTGACAAGTGAGCTGTCAATCACAGCCCAGACCACGCCCAACTCTAAGCCCCCCTTCTTGTCCCTTGGTCTTCCAGGCAACGCCCTTTTTTAGAGAAAAATTTCAAATCTTCATGTGGGCGGAGTAAGGCTGGGCACAGGTGTTTAGTCGCTCTTTAAGAAGCTCTTCTGTCCTCCACTCGTTACCTGTATTAATGGCACCTGTTTGAACTCGTTATCTGTATAAAAGACACCTGTCCACAGCCTCAAACAGTCAGACTCCAAACTCCACTATGGCCAAGACCAAAGAGCTGTCGAAGGACACCAGGAAAAGAATTGTAGACCTGCACCAGACTGGGAAGAGTGAATCTACAATAGCGAACTATCTGAATGACGTCACTAAGACACGCCCCCGCCGCCTGTCAACTCCTGCCCACATGAAACATGACAAACACTGCCGAAATGAATCAAATACCACTTGTCACTTTAGACGAAAATGACAAACCAGGAGCAAAATTCCACCATCAAACCATCAGGGATCATAGTGTAGACCAATTAAAACGTTGGCTTGAATGTCGTGGTCTTCCAGTAACTGGTAGAAAGTTTGAATTGATAAAAAGGTAATGGTGAGGATTATGCTAACATTATCTTGTCATTTAAATTGCAATGCTAGGGCCTTCTTTGTTTATTTTGCTGTGATTAACTTCCATTTATCAAGTTGTTTTTTGCACTGTCCACTTTGTAATTAGTTTGATCATTTAGTTAACTACAGTCAGCCGATATTATAATAGATCCATGGGGTCACACGGGCTACACCACAACTGTCTTTGCAGAGAAACTATTGGAGCTAGCCACACTCAATAAACGCAAATGACAATCAATCGACACATTTAAATGTTATTGGGAGAATATATTATACATACATTCGTAACACAAGTGCACAAAGGTTTTCAGAATGATCTGTTAAGGTTTTCATGACAAAAATACTTTTTTAATGCGACTAAAGCGATCGCTTTTTTGAAGTAGGTGAACCAGCCTCACTGTTACTTGCCTGCCACGGGAAAACCTTTGGGAACTATTTTCTTTGCAGTCATTAAATAAACCTTTTGGCATGAATAAAAGTGACTGAAGTTAATTTTGTGTCTTCAGTTGGTACAAAGCCGCATAATAAGCGGACCCCGACGCGCTTCGTCTGTACTTATTTTCCGATAGTCACGAAGTTTAAAAAATCCCTGATCTTTCTTCAGGTGTGAGAATTGTATACATTCTGTTTGTGCTAACCACATTCAGAAGAGCTCAGACGGACCTGATACAGCGGTCCAGATCCAGTCCCAGCTAAACGTAGCTAGGACTGGATCTGGATGCTCCACAGTTGGTCCAGCTTCACAGATGAAGTGTTTTGAACAAATATGAGTCCTTTTTAACATTTTCATGAGAAATTCTGCCAAGCACAAGCACGTACCCACCTCTTGCACTTGTCCTGGTCTGGTCTGGTCCGATGGTGTGGTTTAACGAACGGGTTGAATGTTACTGCTTTCAAATAGTCCTTTTCAGAGATTCAATGATTTAGCTCAAATAAATACACACGTGTATGTGGAGAACACAGTAGTACTCAACGGAGTCTTACTCAATGTTTGTCCGAAACATGCGCGCATGCGCAGTCATCGGAGCTATTTTTAGCACATTTCGGAAACCAGACAGTGCCCTATAGGCAAGCAGCTTGGTGTGAACCAATCAACTGTGGGAGCAATTATCAGAAAATGGAAGACATACAAGACCACTGATAATCTCCCTCGATCGCAAGATATCATCCCGTGGGGTCAAAATGATCATGAACGGTGATCAAAAATCCCAGAACCACACGGGGGGACCTGGTGAATGACCTGCAGAGAGCTGGCACCAAAGTAACAAAGGTTACCATCAGTAACACACTACGACGACAGGGAATCAAATCCTGCAGTGCCAGACGTGTCCCCTGCTGAAGCCAGTACATGTCCAGGCCCGTCTGAAATTTGCCAGAGAGCACATGGATGATACAGCAGAGGATTGGGAGAATGTCATGTGGTCAGATGAAACCAAAGTACAACTGTTTGGTATAAACTCAACTCGTCGTGTTTGGAGGAAGAAGAATACTGAGTTGCATCCCAAGAACACCATACTGTGAAGCATGGGGGTGGAAACGTCATGCTTTGGGGCTGTTTTTCTGCTAAGGGGACAAGACGACTGATCCGTGTTAAGGAAAGAATGAATGGGGCCATGTATCGTGAGATTTTGAGCCAAAACCTCCATCCATCAGTGAGAGCTTTGAAGATGAAACGTGGCTGGGTCTTCCAGCATGACAATGATCCCAAACACACCGCCCAGGCAACGAAGGAGTGGCTCCGTAAGAAGCAAGAAGAGTTGAAAGTCTGTGTTGCTTGGCGACAGATCCGAAACATAGAGGAATGGGCCAAAATACCAGCTACTGTGTGTGCAAACCTGGTAAAGACCAATAGTAATCGTTTGACCTCTGTTATTGCCAACAAAGGTTATATTACCAATACAATACAATACAATTTATTCTTGTATAGCCCTAGGTCACAACAGAAGTCATCTCAGAGGACTTAACAAAACCATTGAAATCACCAACACAGGTCAGAGAATCAACAGTTAAAACACATGAAGAATACAGTATAAAGCACACACAGAAGAAAATGTCCATACATGTTGTAGAATGCTAAAGTGTCCTGATCATCACCAATCCTTTCTGTTGGACACTAACTGTCCAACAAGACCCTCCTGCATCGACAAGGAAAAACTCTTAAAAAACCCAGTGGGAAAAAGTGAGAAACCTTGGAGGAGAACTAGGGAAACCCACAGGGAGGGAGACCCATATGAGAAAGGGATCCGCTCCTCCGGACGGACAGACTAATGATCTAGGACCTAAGCTAGCTACAGAACGTGGACCAGTGGACGCTGAACGTGGACAGGTCCGGTGCAGGACCGAAGCACTCCCAGGCGGGTCGGGCGGGGCAGTCCGCAGGTGTAGATGGAAGAGGCCAGGCTCAGAGATCCCGTCATCGTACCATGAAACAGACAATGGGACAACGGGTGAATAGCAATGAACAAACTACAGTCAGAATCCTAAAAATGCTAAACAGATAAAGTAGGAAGGAGGAGAGGATAGTGCTCAAGTTACCATACTTCTCCCAGCAAACTGACTCCCTATGCAGCTTGACTAACACTCTGAGGAGTTTAACCTTCTCCGAGTCTTACCTTCCTAGCCATATGCTAAACTAAAGAGGACTGTTTTAAACCTAGCCTTGAATAAAGAATAACATACAGCATAATATATAACATAATATACAACATAACACAATACATTATTGAATAATATATAACATAATATATAACATAATACAGCATATATATATAATATATACACTACATATTATATATTACCTAATTATATGCTAAATTAAAGTAAAGTGCTTTAAGCCTGGCCTTGAATGTGGAGACCGTATCTGCTTCCTTAACATAAATGGGAAGCTGATTCCACAGTAAAGGAGCTTGGTAGCTAAATGCTCTGCCACCAACAGTGACCTTTGAGACCTTAGGGACCACCAGACGTCTGGCGTTTTGTGAGCGCAACGCTCGACTTGGTTGATACGACACTAACGTGTCTTGGAGATAAGAAGGAGCCAAGCCATTTATGGCTTTATATGTTAAGAGTAGGATTTTAAACTTTATTCTGTACTCCACAGGGAGCCAGTGGAGTGATTTTAACACCGGAGTTATGTGCTCCCTCCTTTTGGTACCTGTTAAGATCCTAGCTGCTGTATTCTGAACGAGCTGGAAGCTCTTCAAAGAGGCTTTAGGGCACGCTGCCAGTAAAGCGTTACAGTAGTCAAGCCTTGAGGTGACAAACGCGTGAATGAGTTTTTCCGCGTCACTTTTAGGAAGGAAATTCCTAATTTTAGCGATGTTCCGTAAGTGGAAGTACGCCGTTTTAGTTGCTTGGCTTATATAAGCCTTGAAGGAGAGTTCTTGGTCAAAAATGACTCCAAGATTCCTCACAGTGTTACTGGGTATTATACTGACATTATCGAGAGTAACCATCTGGTTAGTGAGGGAGTCACGCAGGCGCTTCGGACCGAGTAGGATCACTTCTGTCTTCTCCGGGTTGAGAAGTAGGAAGTTAAGAGTCATCCACATTTTAAGGTCCTTTATGCAGGCACTGAGCTTTTCTAGCTGATCTGTCTGATTAGGCTTCATCGACAGATAAAGCTGTGTGTCATCTGCATAGCAGTGGAAATTAATTCCATGCTTTTTAATAATGTTTCCCAGTGGCAGCATGTAGAGAGTAAAAAGAATCGGTCCGAGTACCGAACCCTGCGGCACACCGAATTCCACTCCAGAATAAGGCGACGAGTCCTGATTCACATTGACGAAGTGATATCGATCTGATAAATAGGATTTAAACCAGCCAAGGGCTGTTCCTCTAAGACCTATATCACATTCTAGCCTCTGCAGTAGAATGCTGTGGTCTATTGTGTCAAATGCAGCACTAAGGTCCAGTAGGACCAGCACTGACACTTGTCCATTATCGGCAGCTAGTAGTAAGTCATTTGTGACTTTGACTAGTGCCGTTTCAGTGCTATGATGAGCTCTGAATCCTGATTGAAAGACTTCAAACATATCATTTTCCTGCAGGTGGCAGCGGAGCTGCTCAGCTATAAGTTTTTCCAGGATTTTAGATATAAAAGTGAGGTTCGAGATCGGTCTGTAGTTTGTAAGTATTTCTGGGTCCAGGTTTGTTTTCTTCAGAAGGGGTTTGATTACCGCGGTTTTAAAAGCTTGTGGGACATAGCCACATTGTATGGATGCGTTTATTATATTTACGATAGGCTCAATTATCAAAGGAAGTATGTCTTTGAAGAGCCATGTCGGGACTGCGTCTAACATGCAAGTTGAGGCTTTTGAGGATGTGACCACAGAGATCACCTCTGCTTGGCTCACAGCCATGAATTTATTAAGGCCCACTGAAGAGTCTAAGTGGGAAGTCACGTATGCCGCTTCAACCTGTCCACCACTAACAGCAGGAGCAACCTCCTCCAGCTTGTCACGGATGGATGTAATTTTATTATTAAAGAAGTGGAGAAAGTCGACACTGCTCAGTGAGCTTGGAATTTTAGGCTCGATTGCGCTATGGCAGTTTGTGAGTTTAGCGACGGTACCAAACAAAAATCTACTGTTTTTTATTCGCTTCTATTAAAGTTGAATAGTATTGAGTTCGAGCCCCGCGAAGGGCCTTCTTGTAGTTTCGGAGACCTGCTTTCCACTCCCTGTGGACAGGCTCCGAGTGGGAGTGGCGATATAGCCTCTCCAATTTTCTGACGTCCTGTTTTAAAGTGTGGAGTTGAACACTGTACCAGGGCGACGATGATCTAATCCTAATGGTTTTCTGTTTTAAAGGAGCTGCTGCATTTAATGCAGATTTTAAAGACTCCATAGTGTTGCCCACCGTTTGGTCGATGACTGAGGGACTGCAGCTGCTGTGAACAGGTTCACCTGCAGCAGTATTCAACATAGGCTGTATTAGTTCTTTGAACCTTGTGATAGATTTATCATTTAAGGTTCTTTTCATTATGGTTTTATCTTGCGGGACAGGAAAGTCCTCCAAAGCGAGATCAAACGTGATCAAGAAATGGTCAGACAGCAACGAGCTTTGACGCTGGATGTCAACATTGGAGACATCACAGCCGTAGGTCAGGACAAGGTCCAAGGTGTGGTTATGAATGTGAGTAGGTTCCTCGACATTCTGAGTAAAACCAACACCATCTAGTACGGCGCTGAAAGCTTTGTTTAAGCTGTCAGTGCTGTCGTCCACATGTATATTGAAGTCTCCAGCTATAACTATGTTTTCCCATTCCAAAACTAGGTTTGAAATGAAGTCAGAGAATTCTGTTAGGAACTCGCTGTAAGGACCAGGAGGTCGGTATAAAACTATAAATAGTACTGCTTTTTGTTTTCTCCACCCAGGACAGGTGATTGAAAGTGTTAAGTTTTCAAACGAGTGAAAAGCGTTGTTGGTTTTGGGACTAAGAACCAAGTTGGTGTGTGATATAATCGCAACACCACCGCCGCGACCTGTAGCTCTGGCTTTCTGGTAGTTAACATGCGTCGGAGGAGTGCACTCATTCAATCTAACGTACTCGTCTTGTTGGAGCCAAGTCTCCGAGAGCGCTAACAGATCCAAGCCCTTGTCTATAATAAGTTCGTTTATGAGAAGCGATTTAGACGAGATTGATCTGACGTTCATTAAACCACATTTAACAACCCTACTGTTAGAACTATTTCTGTCTGTCTGAACTTTTATTAAGTTACTGTGTCTGACACCTAGGTCAGATTTCCTCGCATATAGTGCTTTAGACTTCAAGCGGGGAACACACACAGTTTCAATCTGACTAGGTTCTGAGGCTAGTAACTGAGCACACACAGGCACACACACACATGCACACACAGTTTCAATCTGACTAGCTTCTGAGGCTAGTACCTGAACAGATGGGGGCTCAGAGGTTGTGGCAGAGCAGCTCTGCACCCGGGCCTCAGTTCTGCATCGTCATTTGAGCCGAGCAGAACAGTTTAGAGCCAGGGCCAAATTCTTAGCCAAAAGGGATGTACCCGCCAACGTTGGGTGGATATCATCCGAGCGGATGAGACCGGGCTTTCCCCAAAAGGCACTCCAATTGTCAACATGAACAACACCACTTCGAGGGCACCAGCCAGACAGCCAGCGGTTGAAAGCCGAGTGTCTGCTGAATGCTTCTGCACTGCTAGTGCTAGGTAGGGGCCCAGAGAAGATGACAGTGTCGGCCATTGTGCTAGCCAGCTTGCACACGGCGGCGACTTGCAGCTTCAACACCTCGGACTGTTTCCGCCGAACGTCATTACCACCCGCGTGAATAACAATTCGACGGAAACGCTGCTTGTGGGTCATCATGAGCCTCAGATTCCCTTCAATATCACCAAGCCTGGCCCCAGGGAAGCACCGAACAGTGGCTCCTGGGATCTTAACACCTCTAACAATAGAGGAGCCAATTACCAGCGCATCAGCTACTCCATCGGCTCTCTCAGCAGCTCTCTCAGCGGCTCTCTCAGTGGGGCCTTCTTCCCCGCCCGGCCGCGCGGGGGCGCAGCCGGACAGAGCGTCCCAGCGATTGTAAATGCTAACAGGAGGAGGCCCAATGGGGAAACTACCAACAACACGTCGCCCTCTCCGAACAGTCACAAAGCCATCACTATCCTGGTCTTGTCCCAGCTGCGGAGGACGGGCTGGGAGGCTAGGCTCGCTAGTTCTCCTCTGCCTTTCCCTAAAGCTGCGCTCCGCTGTCCCTGAGGATACGGCCTGGCTGTAGCTAATGCTAGCGCTAGCTCGAGACTCCAGTGCTCGGAGACGCAGCTCTAACTCACTGACCCTGGATTCCAGAGCTACGACTACACTACACTTCACACATCTATCACTACCCTCAGAGAAGGATCCAGGGTTTAGACTCGCCATATGGCAACTCGAGCAGTAAAGGATTGAGGGAGAGACAGCAGCCGCCATAGTAGCGAGTTAGCGGCTAGGCTAGGCTAAGCTAGGCTAGGCTAAGCTAGTACGGATCCGGGCCCGCACAACAGACTCCGAGACCAGACAAACAACCGCTACCTAAACCTCAGCTACAGTACAGCTGACTCGGAGTGCTTACACAGTTAGCTTGGTGTACAATACGTGGATTTGTAATGTGTTTGTTAGAGCAAACAGAGAGCAGAGTGATAGCAGTCAAGAAACACGCTCACCGGATACAGGAAGACACCAAGTACTGAGTTGAATTTTTGTTTTTGACCAAATACTTATTTTACACCATAATTTACATATACATTCTTTTAAAAATCCTACAATGTGAATTCCCAGATTTCTTTTTTTTTCACATTCTCTGTCTCAAAGTTGAAGTGAACCTATGATGAAAATTACAGACCTGTCATTATTTCAAGTGGGAGAACTTGCACAATCGGTGGCTGACTAAATACCTTTTTGCCCCACTGTGTATGTTAACTTTTTAACAGTAATGCACATTTCCTGTCTTGTGCACAACGTGAGTGATTCTATTTAGGCCAAATGTGACGTATTTCTCTATTGTGCAATAAAAAAGTCTGATCTCATCGTAATACCAAGTTCCTCAGTGGGTTACTTTGGAACTAGTACAAACTGTTGTTGTGTCCTTGGACTTCATCCACATTGTCCAGCACCCTGTCGGTCTGTCCCAGGGCAGCTGTGGCTATAGTGTCTGTATGTATATTTATATATTAGAAATTGTCTGTCTTTTGAATGTATTCCCTAGTCTTTCTTTACTATATGTTGTTGACGTAAGATGGTGTCACCACATTTATTCCACATTGGTCTCAAACAGGATAAGTCTGGAGTGAAAGCCCGTCAGGGAGGAGCTCCGGTGAAGGAGACGGTGCAGGAGTACATCGCAGGAGCAGAGACGGTGAACGACGACTCCCTCACCAGAGACTACATGGTTATGAGGGCGCGGCTCATGGCGGCCAAGTGAGTGTGTGACTCCAAAATGACCAATAATTTCAAATAAAATAAAATGACTAATTGGTGTGAGGCCATGAAAGACTCTAAGGAGCACAGGGACTAAACATAGGGAGACAGTGTTTCAGATTTATGCATCTAAAATCTGAAACTGTCTTACTGAAAGTGTGAGTCAGGCTTCTACTCTGTTCAAATCCAGGATTATTCATGATTTTAATGCCTGATTACTGTTTCTGTCTTCTTAAGCACTTTAAGTTTCCTTGTGTATGAACTGTGCTATACAAATAACCTTGCCTTGTCTTGCTATAAATCTATTGTGAATGAATAGAAAACTTGGAAACTTTTGGAACACAATACAGCTTTGTTAACACTTAAAATACTGGGTGCTATTTCTACCATAGTGTAGAGTGAGTGGGAGGCTGCGTTTGCCCACAGATACCTGGGTATAGGCCAGAATCGTAGCTAATATTAACACGAGATACAAAATACAGACTACGGCATATAATAACTAATGTGTTTTAATGGTGTGTTTCTGCAGGTTGCTTGGAGCCCTGTGCCGCTGCATCTGTGACCCGCAGTTGAACAGCTCGTCTCAGGAGATGCGTCCGGCCGAGTCTCTGGGGCAGCTGCTGCTTTTCCACCTGAACTCCAAGTCCGCCCTGCAGCGAATCGCCGTGTCCCTGGTGCTGTGCGAGTGGGCCGCCACGCAGAGAAACGCTTCCCCCTGCGTGCAGGTGCAAAACCACTGTCGCCTGTGCTGCTGCTCTCGTATTAAGGTCAAAGATGTCAAAAAACGGTCCTCAAAGGGACGTGTGGCTGCAGGTGTTCATTCCAACTAAGCCAGAGTGCACCAGACTACACCCATTTCCTTTTATATTCTAGTCTTAACCTGGAGAGTTGATCATTTTGCTGCACTTCAGAAAGAGTTTGACGCCTGAATTAAAATGTCTCATACTGTTACTGCCACAGGGTTTGAGTCAATGTGATATTGACAAAAAGTTGCGGCCCCCGGTTACAGCCCTGGTTACGACTCAAACCATGTGGCAGTAACCGTATGAGGGGTTGAAAAGAACTTACTCATTTGATGTTTTTGGCTTAAAAAATCATTCTGAAGTTAGGCTATGCTTGTTGATGGCTCATCTCTTAACCCTCTATGCCTATGGGTCATTTTGGGGAACTTTCCTCGCCTGGTTTTCTTTGTGTATAATTGCTCATAAAACAGTCATCTTTTGATGCAGAGTCAAGCAGTATACTTTTTTTTTCAGTACAACCTGGGGTTTTAGAATATTCATATTGTAAAGCTGTCATATGAATTATATAAAAATGATGGAATCATAAAGACAAAGAAAAAAATCAAACGGAAAATCAATTTAACAAAAATGTATTGAAAAAACACAATGAAATGCTATAAACAACTTTTTACACTGCATAGAAATGTTATTTATGGTCTTGGGGATAATGGGGAAAAAAATTGAATCTCTAACTATTATACTTTTTACAAAATTCCACTATAAAAGCAAAAAACTCTGTACTCCTGATGCCCTTCTTGAAGCAGTTTGTCTATAATGCTGGGGTTGCTTCTGTAGTACAGCTGTAAAAAACGTAAAACATAAAAAACTGAGCCAAAAAAAAAAAAAAAAACATCAATTATTTATTTAATACATATATTTATATACATCATATACACATAATGTAATTTTACTGTATTATCGTCTTTATCAATAATGCGCACTCTTCAGCCGGTTTTTGCAATCGCAGCTGTAGTTTCAATTGTGGGAGAACAAGGAAACTCAGAGGAGTGAGAGATCGCACTCTCTGACGATCTTTGGCAGTCCCCGTGTGTTTGTATCTCACAGCTGTTTGTACCTCACGGGTCATGCTTTGGACACGGACTTTCAGACAAACGTAGTTTATCCTCCGTGCATCGCACAGACAAATCAAAACTAGTTTCGGAAAGCCCTGATTACGTACTTCACAGAGGAAGAAAAAGTAAGTTGCTACGTTTTACCGTTCGCAAGTAAATTGATTATTTGTAAAACATGTGCGCGTGCATCGGCACCGATGCACGCGGGCATATAGGGTTAACATCTATGGCTTTGTTTCAACCCCATAACTTTATGAAGTCACTTTGTCCAAGAGCCTCGTGCTGCTATGATGTAAATGTGCAGCTATATATTACTTGCACTATATAATAAATGATCTCTTAATCTTATAGATAATGGATTTTAATTCTTGGTCAAATGGACAGTATTGAGGTTAGGTGCTGGGAAGGGGAAAGGGGCCACATATACAGTGCCTTGCGAAAGTATTCGGCCCCCTTGAACCTTTCAACATTTCACCACATTTCAGGCTTCAAACATAAAGATATAAAAAATATTTTTTTTGTCAAGAATCAACAAGTGGGACACAATCGTGAAGTGGAACAAAACATTTTTTAAATTATTCAATAAATTAACAAATAAAAAACTGAAAAGTGGGGCGCTAATACTTTGTAGCGCCACCTTTTGCTGCAATTAAAGCTGCAAGTCGCTTGGGGTATGTCTCTATCAGTTTTGCACATCGAGAGACTGGAATTCTTGCCCATTCTTCCTTGCAAAACAGCTCGAGCTCAGTGAGGTTTGATGGAGAGCGTTTGTGAACAGCAGTCTTCAGCTCTTTCCACAGATTCTCGATGGGATTCAGGTCTGGACTTTGACTCGGCCATTCTAACACCTGGATACGTCTATTTGTGAACCTACAAATACTTTCGCAAGGCACTGTAAACATGAATTGGGCTGCATGTGGCTCTGTATGTCAGTTACAACAGTGTCTCCCAAAGTGGGGTCCACAGGGTATAGGGCTGGAAAGTCTCGTCCCAGAAGCACTTCCGGTTCATTGCTCGGATACAAACAAATCGTCAGCTGTTCGAAGAGGCGGTTTAAATGAATGCTGCAAAATGCTCTGCTTTGTTTTCGGCTGTTATCATCAAAGTTTACATGAAGCATGCTCATTTTTTAGGTTTCCCAAAGACCAACTGAAGCTGTGTAAAAAGCTACGCAGTTGTGATAAAACCTTTTGTCTGATTTTACAGATGGTTAACCTGAATATGTATTCAAGCTAACTTGTAGCTAATACTAACCTGTAGTGCGCTGCCGAGCCTTTCATTGTGGCTTGTATTTTAAGATAAGATTAACTTTATTGTTGTCACACAGGGTAAATGTATTTATTTATTTGAGAGATAAAGGAGGAACATATTAGCACATATTAAATAACATTTAACAAATGTTCAAATATAAACAGAAAACGGACAATCATAATATTAGTTAGTAGTAAATGAATAGGTAACCCAACTACATCATGTTATTTTTGACAGCACAGCAAAAAGAAAAAAGGCCCAATGTGAAGCTGCAGTGAGTGTGAAGTGGAGATGGAGCTAATGTACAGATAGAAAACTGATCATTCATATCATTCATAAACATTGGCTCATAACCAACGCAGCAAAGATAGCTGTAAGGGACATCAATGTATTTGCATGGGAATAGTGTTCTATATTGTCTTTCTGATGCATAATAGTGGATTAAAAAACAATAAGTTTGAACACGGCCCTGCACCTTTCTCATCTCCCCGTCATAGAAACTTCAGGACATGGTCAGTTCGCAGCTAATTCCGACCGCTCACTCAGTTTTTCTGTCCCAGAGACGAAATGTGTCTGTTGTGGAATTTCTAAGGAGTGAAATGCACAATATTAAATATAAAATAAACAACAAGAGCTGTAATTCAAATCAAAGTGTGGTTTATTATCTCAGTAAATGTATACATATACAGGAAATACAACCGTGTAACCGCGTGGCAGGTCCTGGGTAGATCTGCTGAATAGTGCTCATTCTCTCTCATATTTATAGGATGAAACAAACAGAAGAGTCTATCTATGGCGTCTCTGAGTCCGAGATTAAGTGGAAGCTATTGCCCAAACCCCCCTCTCTTCTGACGTCTTACTCTGATAGACTCTGATATTACTCTGATATCAGGAAGAATGGTCAATCTGACCGGTGAGCCCGCTCTTCTTGCCCCTGATATCAAGCTAGTATCTGCCTCCACCCCGTCATTGGCCTCGTGTCCCTACAGAACAACAGTTTAGTTAGTTTCAACAGATTTACTAGCTTTGAACTTTGTCCCAGATATCCCATTTCATCATTAGATTCATTCTTAACTCATTGTGTCCCATTGACGCACAAATACGTCAAAGCAAATAGTAACGTCGTGTGCCATTGACGCATTAATACGTCAATTGCTTTTTTCGCTATTTTCACGTTCCCAGATGTCTATTGTATCTAATATGTATGGGGATGACTTGAGACCATATTTTATCGAGCCAGCAGGTGGCAGCATTGCTCTCTGAATGGTTTGAAAACATGTAGGTGCACATGTTGTGCCTGTTTTTTCTCAACTTTCTGGTGATTTCTGGTGATTTCAGTAAAACTTCCCTCTACTCAACGGAGGATTACAGGGGAACGAAAAAAGCTATAAACAAAATTCTTTTTGCTGAGGAATGTAGACAGTCCATTCTTTTAGAATGTGGTGTCATAGTAGTCATAGTACACAATATTCTGTGGGTCTTGAAAAATCAGTAAAAATCATCAGAAATGGCTGGCACTATGGGAGTACCTGTTCTGAAATAGGCTGGCATTCAATGAGTTAAGTTAAATTGATTTATAATCCCAGTAAGATTTCTATAACATGTCCAAAATAACACAGGAAAGTCCTTTTTAAGGAGGAAGAAGTCGGCGATCTCAGCACCATACAAGTGGCACGTGTGGTTTGTTTGTATCCACGGGTGGAAATCTCGCAAAATCTCGCACTTCCGCTTTCCAGCCCTATTGCAGGGGGGGGGCCGCAAGAGGTCATAAAAAAGTTTTATATACATTATTGTATGTTAAATTTATAATATTTTGTTTGTAAAATTAAAATATTTGTGTTCATTATTTGACTTGAATAATCAAATTGTAATCATTTTTGTATTACAAAATGGGGTGCGTGATTTACATGTTTGTAGCAGAGGCAGTTTCCCCCAAATAAAATAAAGAGAACAGCCTATTTTTAACGTCTTCTTGGTTAGTATTTTGGGGGGCCGCTCAGACCCAACCAATTTTTAAGGGGCCCGCAGTGTTACTGACTTTGGGAATGGCTGAGTTACAAAAATAAATAAAGCACATCTTATCTTATCTCACAGATGAGAAATTTACATGTCACATTTGGCATGGATAGAGACACTCATAATCCTATACAAACAATACAATCTTAAATTATGATTAAAAAACATTTGAGAAGACGATAAAAATGCACATTCAAAAACAAATCAATTAGACACATTAAAAAGCTTGGAACAAATGAAAACCATGATAATCAATAGAATCCAATGACGTTCGTGTCTGAGTGCTGGTGTTTGTGGCTACAGAACTGTCAGCTGGTGATGTCCATGGTGCAGCCCCGCCTCCTCGCCATCCTCTCGGAGCATCTGTACTACGACGAGATCGCCATCCCCTTCACCCGGATGCAGACGGAGTGCAAACAGCTCATCGCTCTGCTCGCCGACGCCCAGATCGACATCCAGGACCGGATCAACTGCAGCGTCTTCACCATCGACCAAGCCAGCGAACTGGTGAGACTGGGATTTTTACACTATACGCTACAGTGCCTTGCAAAAGTATTCGGCCCCCTTGAACCTTTCAACATTTCGCCACATTTCAGGCTTCAAACATAAAGATATAACATTTTAATTTTTTTGTCATGAATCAACAAGTGGGAGACAATCGTGAAGTGGAACAAAATTTATTGGATAATTTAAAAAAAATTAACAAATAAAAAACTGAAATGTGGGGCGCGCAATATTATTCGGCCCCTTTACTTTCAGTGCAGCAAACTCACTCCAGAAGTTCAGTGAGGATCTTTGAATGATCCAATGTTGTCCTAAATGACTGACGATAAATAGAATGCACCTGTGTGTAATCAAGTCTCCGTATAAATGCACCTGCTCTTTGATAGTCTCAGGGTTCTGTTTAAAGCGCAGAGAGAACCATGAAGACAAAGGAACACACCAGGCAGGTCCGAGATACTGTTGTGGAGAAGTTTAAAGCCGGATTTGGATACAAAAAGATTTCCCAAGCTTTAAACATCTCAAGGAACACTGTGCAAGCAATTATATTGAAATGGAAGGAGTATCAGACCACTGCAAATCTACCAAGACCCGGCCGTCCCTCCAAACTTTCATCTCAAACAAGGAGAAGACTGATCAGAGATGCAGCCAAGAGGCCCATGATCACTCTGGATGAACTGCAGATAACTACAGCTGAGGTGGGAGAGTCTGTCCATAAGACAACAATCAGTCGTGCACTGCACAAATCTGGCCTTTATGGAAGAGTGACAACAAGAAAGCCATTTCTCAAAGATATCCATAAAAAGTATCGTTTAAAGTTTGCCACAAGCCACCTGGGAGACACACCAAACATGTGGAAGAAGGTGCTCTGGTCAGATGAAACCAAAATCGAACTTTTTGGCCACAATGCAAAACGATGTTTGGCGTAAAAGCAACACAGCTCATCACCCTGAACACACCATCCCCACTGTCAAACATGGTGGTGGCAGCATCATGCTTTGGGCCTGCTTTTCTTCAGCAGGGACAGGGAAGATGGCTAAAATTGATGGGAAGATGGATGGAGCCAAATACAGGACCATTCTGGAAGAATAATTTTTCATTTGTTAAAGTTTAAATTATCCAATAAATTCCGTTCCACTTCACGATTGTGTCCCACTTGTTGTTGATTCTTGACAAAAAATTAAAATGTTATATCTTTATGTTTGACGCCTGAAATGTGGCAAAATGTTGAAAGACATTTGCGAAAGAATACTTTCGCAAGGCACTGTAAAGCAATTTTTTTTTACCTATACTTTTTTAAGATAAAATTCTAGCAACCACTTGTGTTCATTCCTTCATTTTCATCGCCTTTATTAACCCACTGGTTGGGGGTGGCTATAGAGTAGAGTGAGGTTAAGTGTCTTGCCCAGGGACATATGGAATTGGTTATAAATTAATCATAGAATCAATATTAATATAGAGTCCACATTGTCAATATTCCCAATATGTGTCTATCTTTTATATTTCTCTGTATATTCATTTAAATTCCAATCAGTTTGTGTAAAAGTCAAAGCTAATACACCCCAAATTGACCATAAAAGGTGATTTTTCTGGCAGCAAAACTTCTTCAAACCAGAGCTCTAAAGGTGGTGAGAGTGCAGAGTGATTGTCCTATTCAGAGGGTTTTCCTATTCTGAAGCAAAACCATCTTTACCATGCAAATTATTGGGATAGATCTGATCTCATCGTTCAATTTTGTTTGGTTTTAAAGTTGAGTACTCCAGCTTTAATAACATGGGATAAGAGTGGTTATATGTAGTTGTTTTTTTATTTATAGGATTGATGCACTTTACTTGAACTTTGCAGTGTTGTTGATTTCTCTAAACGTTTGTTGATTGCTCTTTGTGACAAACTAATCCCGATAGTTAAGTCACCCTAGTTACGGCCCTAGTTCTAGTCTCTAATCAGGCTGTAAGTCATACCAGAGTCACAGTTGTTCCCTCTTCTCGTCTGCAGGTGTCTTCCATCTTCAGCGAGAGCACGTCTGCGCTAAGCCCCAAACACAAACAGTGGCAGTGTCTGGACAGTAAGCGGCAGCAGGCCCAGGCCACGGTCACAGAGACTCACGCCATGTGGCACGAGCTACACCTGCGCGTGCACATGTTCACGGCCTGCGCGGTCATCAACCTGCAGGCGCTGCCCGACAAGCTCAACCCGGTGGTGCGGCCGCTCATGGAGGTCATCAAGTACGAGGAGAACGCTCTGATCCAGGGCTACGCCGCCTCGTTCATCGCCAAACTGCTCCAACAGTGCGCCGGCCGCTCCCCCTGCCCCAACTCCAAGATCATCAAGAACCTGTGCAGCTCGGTCTGCGTGGACTCTCGCTGCACGCCCTTCTCCGATACGCCCGTGTCTCCGCCCAAGGGTAAGAGGCACACACGTGTAAGAATGAACACGAATCACATTAAAAACATTATACTATAGGCTGTATATAGATGGACAATGCTAACACACTAGCTCAATGAATCCCAATTGGGCAGTATCGTGGTGGAACTTTTGCTCCAACTCCTATTGACTTATTGTATTTTTTGATTATAAGCCGCAACCTTTCTGCATTGTGTGTTGCACCTTATAGTGAAATGTGTCTTAATTTTTATTTTTTTGTTTCTGTCGCGCCAAAAACATTTTTGCCCTGTAGCTGTAGACCAACAGAATGGATGAGCAGTTCACAGGTCCATCTAAATTGTAAGATTGGTCGATCAAGCAGATTAAATTAAGTTTAAAAGGCCTTGCTTATAGTATCTATGCGTAAATATTTCCAATGTCTTTTTTAATCATATTCATTTAAAAAACAGAAGTTAAAAGAGAGCAGTAGATGTTGCTCCGTCTCTTTCTGCTTCACACTGGAAGATTAAGAACAGTCAGTGACTCTTACTCTCATTACTCATTCTAAAAAGAAGTCATGATTAATGTTTTTGAGCTACATTTTTCAGTATTACAACGTTGGACAGGTGTGGTTTATAATCCAGTGTGGCATGTACAAGTAGAAAAATTCAATTTCTTTCAAACAATTTGAGCGTGCGGCTTATAGTCCCGAAAGTACGTTACGTAGAAAATTTGAGAAATCTGTGGTTTAGGGCTCACTGTGAACCTGATGTTTATATTAAAGTCTTTTAGTAAATCCAGATATGAGCCATATAAGGATGGATGATCACATGCTGTAATTTGCGGGTTATCCTCAAGCTCGCCTTAGCAACAGTCTTGGCAACATGTCTGCCCCTGTCACGGCGCAAAGCTAACCCAGTCAGAACAAATACCCATTTAAGGAAATTGGCTCCAGCTAGTTTATGTTCAAATTATCTTCTTCCTCAATAAGGCAACTTGGTTCACCTTAAATAAAGTTTGTCTTGTTTTTATATTATTTTGCTTGAAGCTGGACAAAACAGGACAGAAAAATGTTATTTTGTAAGAAAGAAAAAATAATCAAAGCAAGAAAATTTGTCAGGATGAGTCTTTCATGTGAGTATTTAATCAATCTTTTTCTCTGATGCTGCTTTGTTGCAGGTAATTTCTTAGAAAAAGACGTCATGAATCACACGGTGACCAAAACTCACGGCATCATCACTTTGTACAGACACCAAAAAGCCGCGTTCGCCATCACCAGCAAAAGAGGCCCGGTCCCCAAGTCCCAGAGGCCCCAAAGCTCTGAGCTCCCCTCGGGCAGCAGCCTCAGCCCCGACACCGACGAAGTGAGTTAGCCCCTCCCCCCCTCCCCTAGTTCGTCCCTGCTGGACAGTCCTTGGTTCATAAACAGACTTGGAGTGGTTCTGTACCTAGAGCTCCAGCCAAGAGCTCCATTCAACTATTGTTAGTTACTTACTTGAAACTTTTAGAATTATGTACTTCAGGCCCGGTCCAGCCACCCTATGTGCTTAAATGCTAACCTTTTAAAATCAGTTCTGGAGATTTATTCCGTCAAGTAATATTCTTTAGACCAGGCCCATGTTTATTTAGAAATCATCAATCAATCAATCAAAGTTTATTTGTAGAGCGCCTTTCATGCACAGGGCAACACAAAGCGCTTCACAGTCCACATCACAAATCATCACATAAAACAAACACCAGAATCACAATTAAAACATTAAAATCACACAAAAGATTAAAACACAATAAAAACAATAAAATCACACAAAAGAATAAAACCATTAACACTTTCAAAGTTACACAAGAAATTTAAAAAAAAAAAAATAAATAAATGACAGCAGTGCATTACAAATGGAGATAAAATCCTTCAGTTGTATGCACAGGCAAACAGAACAGTCTTTAACCTGGATTTAAACATTGACAGAGTAGACGCCTCCCTCACATTTTCAGGGAGATTGTTCCAGATCTTAGCTGCATAGATCTGAAACGCAGCCTCCCCATGTTTGGTTCTCACTCTGGGCACCAGCAGGAGGCCAGTCCCTGTGCTCCTCAGAGTCCGGGCTGGTTCATATGACACCAACATGTCACTAATGTATTCTGGTGCAAGGCCATGGAGAGACTTGTACACAAGCAGAGCTGTTTTAAAATCTATTCTTTGAGCCACAGGAAGCCAGTGCAGAGACCTGAGGACCGGACTAATATGGTCATACTTCCTGGTTCCTGTCAGGACTCTAGCTGCTGCATTTTGGATGTACTGCAGCTGCTTACAGGTCTGTTTGGACAGACCTGTAAGCAGGCCATTGCAGTAGTCTAGCCTGCTGGAGACAAATGCGTGGACAAGAATCTCCAAGTCTGCCCTGGACACTATATTTCTGACTTTGGCAATGTTCTTCAGATGGTAAAAAGCTGTTGATGTTATTGATTTTATGTGGCTATTGAACATTCATATGTAATGTATTTTCACACTTCTGCCACTAGATGGGAGTGTTGTCGGAATCTGAGTCATCATGGTTTTTTGTTTTTTTGCCATTGTAAATCACAAACTAGGAATTTGCTTTGGTCTATGGTGCAAACAAGTTCAAACAAAAAGTAAAACATAGATATAAAGGCATAAGATTTTCTAATGTGCAAAAACAGATTTTTATTTTTCTCCATGTTGACCTGGAGTTTACATGCGTCCACGCTAATATCAAGAACTACTATCACTAATACATAATTATAGTAGTCTTCCCGCTCTCTATGGGCAGTGGCTCCTATGTGTTTGTTATTACTGCATTTCCTGAGCTCTCTCTAGCCCCCGCCCTGATCTTTTATTGACTCTTACTCTGACTTCTCTCCCGTTTGCAGAGCAGTAAATCGTGTCTCATTCAGCGAAGAGGAGCAGAGTTCTCACTGACCACCATCTCCAAACACTTCGGGGCCAATCTCACAAAGTCTCTGCCATATCTGTGGGAAAACACTGTCGGACCTCTCCGGAACGTCGCCAAGGACAACCACCAGATTAGTACGGGACTTTAAAACATCTGACCCAATTTGGTTTATACAGCGGCTTATTCTTCTGTCTGCATCTTTGTCTGGGTGCAATTTGCAATTATCACTACTACAGTAACTTTGGAATACAATGGAAAACTAAAGGAATACTCTGTTCCAATGTGTTGTGACTGTTTTTTTCCAGACCGAGTTGTCGAGTTGGAAAAAGGAGATGAAGCCGCTCAAGAACTGGTGAACTCTCTTCAGGTGCTGGAGGTTCTGGCACCAGCGATGTCTGCAGAATTCAAAGCTTTGGTAAATAATGAATACTTTTGACATGAGGGATTTGGCAGACTGTGGTATTGGATGATGCCCCAGGATCGTGAAGGGACACTCATAAGATTTCCCTCGACTTGCACAGGTCCATGTGGTCTGCAATGGGAGAGGCCTTTTCTACCTCAGATCTGTTGTTAAGCTTTTATCATGAAAACGTCGCTCAATTTAATACGTTGGTTTGGACTTTCACAAAAGGAATTCATATTTGTTTGTAGTTGAGAATTTCACAAACTAGGAATTTTCTTTGGCATTATGGTTCAGTAAGTTGGGAAGTAAATATTTGCAAATTTCAGGGTTTTAAATGAGGACTAAAAGTTTTTTTGTTTTTTAGTTCATAGACAAGGCATCTCAAAATCATAAATCACAGTACATTAACACTAGTGTAGGTAAAATCCCTCAGTTTTATGCACAGACAAATTGAAAATGTTTAGATCCAGGTTAAAAACAGTTCAGAGAAAGCCTGTCTCACATTTTCAGGAAGACTATTCCAGATTTTAGCAGCATAAATCTGAAACGCTGCCTCCTCCGTGTTTAGTCCTGAGTCCGGGCACCAGCAGGAGGCCCGTCCCTGCTCCTCCGAGATAAAGTTGCTTTATTTTCGTGTTGCAAATTGAAAAATATAAATTAGAAAAAAACATTCTTAGTCGGACAACCACATAGATTTGTTTACCGTCTCATGCAAATGGCTGATGTTCAAGCATAGAAGGATGGATAGACTTAGATACTTTGATCCCAATAAATAAATGCATAAGTCTAAGTTCATAGGCATTGTCAACTCCTCCTATGGACCAATACCTAATGTGTTATGATTCTCTGATCTGTGTTAGAGGACTTAACAAAACTGTTAATCTCCAAGATAACTACTGTTGATTTAAGAGATTATTCGTCCCACAGTGAGGACATTTCAGTTTGGGATCAAAGTATCTATCCATCTGTCTGTGTCTGAACTTGTGTGTCTTCCATCACCTCTTTTCACATTCATGGGCAAGACACACACTTTATTACAGAGAATTAGAGAGAGCTACCAGCATCACCAGGTTGATTTTGGGGCTAAACAAGAATAAATTAAATTACAGAAGTTTCCCCTAACAGCTTTGGAAAATGTCTCTTGCAGGGCACAGAGCAGGGCACAGAGCAGGGCACAGAGCAGGGCACAGAGCAGGGCACAGAGCAGGGCACAGAGCAGGGCACAGAGCAGGGCACAGAGCAGGGCACAGAGCAGGGCACAGAGCAGGGCACAGAGCAGGGCACAGAGCAGGGCACAGAGCAGGGCACAGAGCCAGGTTTAACGTTGCCTGTTGTTGCTCTTTTTGCTCCGTCAGCTCCTGGAGCAGCTGCAGCACCTGTTCACCTGCCTGCAGCACCCTTACACAGCCGTGCGCCACATGTCTGCACGTTGTGTGGGCGCGCTCTGTAAGATCTCCATGTTGGAGACCATGAACTGTTTCCTGGAGAGAGTCCTGCCCTGGCTCGCGGCCATCGAGGACTGCACCAAACAGGAGGGCGCCATCGAGGCTCTGGCCTGTATCCTTCACACTGCACTGTCACTATCGTCTCATTTAGAACATTTAGAATCACTTTAAACAATATTTCTGACCTACACAACACACTTTTAGGTTATATTGATTATATGGGGAAAAAACAGGTATGTGTTTAAAAAAGTCGTGGTGAAGAGAGAGCTGAGCCAAAAGGCAAAGCTCTCAATTTACCGGTCAATCTTCGTTCCCTCCCTCACCTATGGTCATGAGCTTTGGGTAATGACCTAAAGAATCATATGACGTATATGTGGCTGGGCGCTCCCTTAGAGATAGGGTGAGGAGCTCGGTCACACAGGAGGAGCTCGGAGTAGAGCCGCTGCTTCTCCACGTCGAGGGGAACCGGTTGAGGTGGCTCGGGCATCTCTTCCGGATGCCTGCTGGACGCCTCCCTCTGGAGGTGTTCCGGGCACGTCCCACCGGGAGGGACGTGCCTCAGCTGGCCTGGGAACGCTTTGGGGTCCCCCCCGGACAAGCTGGAGGAAGTGTGTGTGGATAGGGGAGTCTGGGCGTCTCTGCTTATGGGGCATTCAGACCGCCAACGCTGAAACGCTGAAGCCCCGCTCACCAGACGCGCATTCTCTAGTTTTCAGACGCAGAGGACTTCACACCAGAACGTCCTGACGCGAGCCGGAAGTACCGGAAGTAGCCGGCAGGCTATGATGCTAACAGAGTTTAGCTAGCGGCTTCTTGTGTACAGATCTTCTCCAATATGCAGCTTTGCAGCGTGTCTTTGCTCACAGACATTCCACGGGCTTTATACAACAGTAGTATGTGTTCATGGAGGTGCGGCATACGTTTTTTCATATTATTCAACGGTATTTTCGCATCGGCGAACACACTCGAAGCCGTTGCATAAAGTCACGGGAGCATGACAACTCATATGTTCACAAGCACAGAGTCCCCCATTGTCAACCCTGGTTTGAGTTCTGGTGAAGTCTGGTGTGGGTCCTGTTTTGGCTGTTTACGAGTATTTTCAGTCTGCTCTCTCAGTCCGCTAATGTCCCTGTGACCACTTTGCTGCTCTCTGATTGGTTGTCGCACGAACGTCCCAAGGAAAGGATGAGCAGAATCCATCTCCTGTGGGCGTTGATTTTTCGCTCCTGCTCCTCCCTTTTCACTTTCCCGCCAAGTCCGTGCGTCATTATTGAACAGTCCGTTCGTGCGAACCGAGAGGTCCGTGCGTTGTGACGCTCGAACGCGCGTCATCATAGACTTTGCATTGAAACCCGACGCAACGCATGATCCGGTCTGAAAGCACCATTAGACTGCTGCCCCCGCGACCCGGCAACCGATGAAGTGGAAGAAAATGGATGGATGGTTCAAAAAGGGGTTGGATAAATTAAAATGATTATTTGATTCCAGCCTCCATCACACACTTATACTCATAATAATAATAATAATTATAATGCATCAGTTTTATATAGCGCTTTTCAAGAACTCAAAGACGCTTCACAAATTCATGACACAAACACACACGTTTAGACAGACACACAAACTAAAAATCTAAGAGTGAGGAAGAAGGGTAGAGAGTTTAAACTAAGTCAAATGCTCGGAGGAAAAGGTGAGTTTTGAGCTGTTTTTTGAAGGAGTTTAGAGAGTCAGAGTTTCTGAGATGGAGGGGGAGGGAGTTCCAGAGAGTGGGAGCAGATACACACACCCTTCCATACATACATACAAATACATGCATTCACGCACATAAACAGACAAAAATACATACACACATGCACATATACACATGTACACACACCCATTCCTCACTTCCATCTCTGTGGGGTGTGAGAGACAAATGCCCATGGCAATTGTAAAGTGCTTCGTGACTGGTCTGTGTAAGGTGCTTTATACCGATAAATAATCATTACTTACTTGCTTACATACACACACACTCGTACACCCATACAAACACGCACACCTACACACGCAGATATATACACTCACAGATACACATAGATGCCAACAGATGTGGCGCCCCTGAAATGATATCAATGCTAAACTTTCATCAGAATAACTGAATAAGGGGTTGATTGGCTTCTACCATGGCACGCTACACCTCATAAAGCTCCTAACACACAGTCTCTGGTTCTGAGCTGTTGAATCGGCCTAAACGCCTCTCTAACTGCAGACAGTGTGTGTGTCGTGTCTTTCCTTTAGAGTTTTGTTCGGGCCTGAAAAATGAAGCCCGGCAATGAACCTGACACATCTGATTTCCCGTTGTACGCACTCACCTTCCAATTGCAAGTTTAGTCTCTACTTTTGAATTTGTTTTGTCTCCACTTGATCCATTTCTACTATTGTTCTTGTTCGCTGTTGACCACAGCAGCAGGAGACACGGGGATGATGCGTTCAGGGCTCGCTGCTGCTGTAGGACACGCTGGTTACGGTGTCATTAATATATTCACTTTTTTTAATAACTTGTTGTCAATCAACGGACATTGTTATTAATATATATATATATATGCAAATCATTATGTATAAAAATCATTTAAAAATAATTATGATAATAAAACATAAACATATATTTAAAAAAAGAAGCCCGAGCCCGGCACGAACCCGACAGCTGAGCGTCAAATGAGGCCCGAGCCCGGCCCGAACTCAGGTCGGGCCTCGGGCCTGCTCGGGCTCGGGCTGAAAAGCGAAACTCTACTTTCCTTCACCTCCTCTCAGGTGTGATGGAGCAGCTGGACGTGGACATTGTGCCGTACATCGTGCTGCTGGTCGTCCCGGTGCTCGGCCGCATGAGCGATCCCACCGACAGCATCCGCTTCATGGCCACGCAGTGTTTCGCCACGCTCATCCGCCTGCTGCCTCTGGAGGTGACCTGCTCTGCCATATCACACACACGCATCAGCAACATTCAATTATTAATAAATCAGAAAAAACTATTCCTATAAATCTGACTGGTAAATAATGAGAATAGAACCCAAACATTCTTAAAGTCCATACAGTATAATCCCAATATTTTTTATGTGCTTGAACTCTCACGAAGCTTGCATTAGATACAGGTGTGGCTCATGGTCAGAATGCATGCACTCGTTCTTGTTAGTATTTGGCGCAAAGCATCATGGGAGGCCGATCACTGCCCAGAACCGGGAGGACCAGAGAAATGACCAGCGCTACTGAGCACAAGCCATTGATTTGAATAGGCTGCCATCTTGGATCACCGGGGCTAAAAAGAATGACTACTTCCTCCAGATAAATGCCTCTGTACCTGTATCTATAGACAAAATATCTTTCCATCTAGGGATGTAAATCGGTGACCGGTTAACCGGTGGTTGACCGTCACAGCGTTAACCGGTCAAAGCTGTCGGTTAAAAAAGAGAAAAGGGGGAGAGGGGAGGTCTCTTAATAACGCTATTTTAAGCCCTATTTGCACGATGTGACGAGCGGGTCCCTATCTAGCTGTGTGCGCCAATGTAACAGTAAACTCTGCCGTACGCGCCACATATGCACGCACACATGTACACGCACACACACACACACACACACACATTTCCCCCCCCTCCATTGACACGTAACATCCACACGCATCATCTCTCCCCTCTGTTACCGCCTGCTAGTTGCACACTGGTGCGGGTCAGAACTACATTGGAGCTTATATTTACACGCACATACATACATGTATTGCACACACACATAGCTTACATATACACACACAGACATATACACACATACATACATGTATTGTACACACACACATACCGGTCTGTCGCGCTCCTCTGTGTCACGGAGCCCAAAGCATTCTTGCAAATACACGGCTCCAGTCAAACCACATGGACCATGTTTGTGCTGCTGGTCCTTGGCATCAGCTCCACACTGATCACTTTTAAACTTTAGCGGAGACCTGCGAGACGCGGCTCGTCACTCGCTGCCCTGACCATGTGGACGAGCTGTCTTTTGCTTAAAAATGCTTTAAGCCGCAGCACAGAAGAATGGGAAGATTAAAACAGCAGTTCTCTGTGCGCAAAGGTGCCGAAGCTGTTGCGGGTTTTGGTGCCGCTGTCTCGGCTCTGATCCCGTAGAACGCAGAGCTGCACTTACGAAAAGTACGCGGCTCGAAATGGCTGTTATTTCAAAGAACGTGGACTATTTTAAACTACGCGGTTAACCGGTTTCAACCGGTTAATGAGGCTCGGTGGTCGGTCATGAAAATTCATAGTTTTTTACATCCCTATTTCCATCCAAAACACATATTATCATGTACGTACTTTAAAGCTGGGGTGCTGAAACTTGTATGATTTGTGTTTTTTCTCTTAATCAGACCACAAACATACTGCAATTATCTATTTAGGAAACATGTTATCATTCGCATACTTGTAAAAGAAAGCCTGTCAGTCACCATTTGAGGCTTTAGGCTGAGATCTGATGTGGTCCTCTTTTTAACTTTTCTGTCTGAAAAAGCTGATGTGATGAAAGCTGAAATACACATGCACAGAGTTCTTTTGTGGTTTGAAATGCAGGTACCTCAGCTTTAATCTATGCGTTTAAAAATGTATATGTACTCACTGAATATTCCTTGAACTATGTGGGAGGATTTGGGAAGGCGTCTCAAAACTGTGTAACAGTTTTTAACGTGTCTTTGCTCGTCAGGCCGGTATCCCAGACCCTCCCTCCATGTCGGACGACCTCATCCAGCAAAAGGCTCGAGAGAGAAACTTCCTGGAGCAGCTTCTGGACAGCAGGAAACTGGAAAACTACAAGATCCCAGTGCCCATTAAAGCCGAGCTGCGCAAGTACCAGCAGGTCAGTGTCGAGCCGAGGAAATATGGAGTCAATACTTTCATTATGTTAGACAGCCAAGTCATAAAGCACAATAGTTCGACGAGCCGAACAGAAAGTTGCTGATGCAGAGATACTAACCTCTAATATCACTTAAAGTAGCAATGTTCATGTTGGATTTTCATGTCAAGTCATCATTAAAGGGCCCTAATCTGTCAAAGGCATTGGGCGGCACGGAGTGGTTAGCACTTTTCAGCAAGAAGGTCCTGGGTTTGAATTCTGGTCAGGACGGGGCCTTTCTGAGTGGAGTTTGCATGTTCTCCCAGTGTCTGCGTAGGTTTCCTCCGGATACTCTGGTTTCTGCTACCACTAAAAAAAACATACAATAGGTCTGGCTTGTGCCTCCTGTACTGGCCCCGCTCAAAGCCCCGGTGATCCAAGATGGCGCTCTGTTCACGGAGACCAGGAGATCAGCAGAACTCCCCTATATTTGGGCATCGTCTGGTCCTCCCGGTTCTGCGCAGTGGATGATCTCCCATGATGCATTGCGCCAAATACGCGTGTGTGGCTCTCAAGCACGTGCACAGAGGGGCTCGGCGCGCTTTGACCAATCAGAGCTGTTCATCAGAGCAGTGGTTGAGTGGAGTCAGAGGGGGAAGGAAAGGAGCAGAGTTTGTGGCACTAAAGTGCGAATTTAAAGAAGACCGATGGATTTAAGAAGAAGAAAAGTTCAGGATGACAAGGGACACTAAAATCCCCACAAAATCCGATATTTCTTAAAGCTGTAGGTTCTCTGTCAGCTGAGGTCAAGCTGTTTTAGTTTACATTGAGTTCTATGAGACATGTTTCTGGGTAGACCACGTGAATTTAATTTGCAGTACCACAGCGCCCCCTGTGCCCGTGGGTGGGACAGCAGTAAGCTAGTAATACACTATCCAGTTATTATCATAGATCCATGCCCTGCTCCCATCTCTGTGGAGTGAGAGACAAATGCCAACGATTGAAATCCACTTTGTGACTCTGGTCTGTAAAAGGCGGTGTATGAATAAAGATTACTACTTAACAAAACATGTTCTTTTCCAATACTTCTTTAACTAATAACAGTAGTTCAGAGATATTTGAATTTCTAAATGAGTTTTCCAGCCCCTAAATCTTGTTATTGTTTTCATTTCGATTTCCCACCCTCCATCATTTCCCCCTAACAGTCTGTGATCCGGGCGCCAGAACTCACCGCGTGGAGCTACCACAAGTACCATGTGGCGTAGAACTAAAAATTGTCCTATTTTTCATTCTCAAATCATTAACGACAAAAATAACCAGAATTTCTATCTTTGTGAAAAAAGTGTTGGTTATTGATTTGTTGTTGACAAAACTCTATTGGGTGGATTTTCGTCTGCATATCTGGCAACCAGAGTCAAGGAGAATGGGAGAGGCTGCAGTACACATAATAGGCAAGGCAAAGAAAGTTTATTTGTATAGCACAATTCATACACAAGGCAATTCAAAGTGCAGAAGATCGAAACCAACACACAAGGTATTAACGTCATAAATAATCACTGTACATTAAAATGAGAATACAGATAAATAGATCTGTTTTTAACCTGGATATAATCATTCAGAGCAGAAGCCCGTCCGTCCGTCCGTTTTCCTTCGCTTCATCCGTTGCCGGGTCGCGGGGGCAGCAGTCTAAGCAGAGACGCCCAGACTTCCCTATCCACACACACTTCCTCCAGCTCGTCCGGGGGGACTCCAAGGCGTTCCCAGGCCAGCTGAGAGACATAGTCCCTCCAGCGTGTCCTAGGTCTTCCCCGGGGCCTCCTCCCAGTGGGACGTGCCTGGAACACCTCCCCAGGGAGGCGTCCAGGAGGCATCCGCAGCAGATGCCCGAGCCACCTCAACTGGTTCCTCTCAACGTGGAGTAGCAGCGGCTCTACTCCGAGCTCCTCCCGTGTGACCGAGCTCCTCACCCTATCTCTAAGGGAGCGCCCAGCCACTCTGCGGAGGAAGCTCATTTTGACCGCTTGTATCCGCGATCTCGTTCTTTCGGTCACTACCCAAAGCTCATGACCATAGGTGAGGGAGGGAACGAAGATAGACCGGTAAATCGAGAGCTTTGACTTTCGGCTCTGCTCCCTCTTCACCACGACGGTCCGATACAGCGACCGCATCACTGCGCACGCTGCACCGATCCGCCTGTCAATCTCACGCTCCATCCTTCCCTCACTCGTGAACAAGACCCCGAGATACTTGAACTCCTCCACTTGAGGAAGGACCTCTCCACCCACCTGTAGAGGGCAAGGCACCTTTTTCCGGTCGAGCACCATGGCCTCAGATTTGGAGGTGCTGATTCTCATCCCAGCCGCTTCACACTCTGCTGCAAACCGTCCCAGTGCATGTTGTAGGTCCTGGTTTGTTGGAGCCAACAGGACAACATCGTCCGCAAACAGCAGAGATGAAATCCTGTGGTCCCCGAACCGGACCCCCTCCGGCCCCTGGCTGCGCCTAGAAATTCTGTCCATGAATACAGTGAACAGAACCGGTGACAAAGGGCAGCCCTGGCGGAGGCCAACATGCACCGGGAACAGGTCTGACTTACTGCCGGCAATGCGAACACAGCTCTGGCTCCGGTCATACAGGGACCGAACGGCCCTCAGCAAAGGACCCCGGACCCCGTACTCCCGGAGAACCCCCCAAAGAACACCCCGGGAACACGGTCGAACGCCTTCTCCAAATCCACAAAGCACATGTGGACAGGTTGGGCGAACTCCCATGAACCCTCGAGTATCCGATGGAGAGTGTAGAGCTGGTCCAGTGTTCCGCGACCGGGACGAAAACCACACTGCTCCTCCTGAATCCGAGATTCGACCATCGACCATCGGCCGTAGCCTCCTCTCCAGTACCTTGGAGTAAACCTTGCCAGGGAGGCTGAGGAGTGTGATCCCACGATAATTGGAACACACCCTCCGGTCCCCCTTCTTGTAGAGAGGGACCACCACCCCGGTCTGCCACTCCATTGGCACCGCCCCTGATCGCCACGCGATGTTGCAGAGACGTGTCAGCCAAGACAGTCCTACAACATCCAGAGACTTTAGATAGTCAGGGCGGATCTCATCCACTCCCGGCGCCTTGCCACCATGGAGGCTGCCAACCACCTTGGTGACCTCTGCCAGGGAGATGGAAGTATCCGCCCCAACATCCTCAGCCTCTGCCTCCGGGGCGGAGGCAGAGGACGTGACAGGGGGGTTGAGGAGAACCTCGAAGTATTCCTTCCACCGCCCGACAATATCCCCAGTCGAGGTCAGCAGCTCTCCACCCCCACCATAAACGGTGTTGGCAAAGCACTGCTTCCCCCTCCTGAGGCGCCGGATGGTTTGCCAGAATCTCTTCGAGGCCGACCGATAGTCATGCTCCATGGACTCTCCGAACTCCTCCCAGACCCGGGTTTTTACATCTGCAACAGCCCGGGCCGCGGCAGGCTTGGCCTGCCGGTACTGGACAGCTGCCTCAGGAGTCCCCCGAACCATCATGGCTCGATAGGACTCCTTCTTCAGCCTGACGGCATCCCTTACTGCCGGTGTCCACCACCGGGTTCGGGGGTTGCCGCCGGGACCAGCACCAGAGACCTTGCGACCACAGCTACGAGCCGCCGCATCGGCGATAGAGGAAGAGAACATGGTCCACTCAGACTCAATATCCCCCTCCTCCGCCGGGACCTGGGAGAAGCTCTCCCGGAGGTGCGAGTTGAAAATCCGTCTGACAGGGGGCTCAGCGAGACGTTCCCAGCAGACCCTCACTATACGCTTGGGTCTGCCAGGTCTGACCGGCTTCTTCCCCTGCCAGCGGATCCAACTCACAACCAGGTGATGATCGGTTGACAGCTCCGCCCCTCTCTTTACCCGAGTGTCCGAGACACGCGGTCGAAGGTCAGATGATACGACAACAAAGTCGATCATCGACCTCCGGCCTAGGGTGTCCTGGTGCCACGTGCACTGGTGGACACCCTTGTGCTCAAACATGGTGTTCGTGATGGACAAACCGTGACTGGCACAGAAGTCCAACAACTGAACACCACTCGGGTTCAGATCAGGGGGGCCGTTCTTCCCTATCACCCCTCTCCAAGTGTCACTGGCGTTTCCCACATGGGCGTTGAAGTCCCCCAGGAGAATAACTGAGTCCCCGGTTGGTGCACTGTCAAGTACCCCTCCCAAGGACTCCAAGAAGGCCGGGTACTCTGCACTGCTCTTAGGCCCGTAGGCCGTCACAACAGTGAGAGACTTGTCCCTCACCCGAAGGCGGAGGGACGCGACCCTCTCATTCATCGGGGAGAACTCCAACACGTGGCGGCTGAGATGGGGGGCAATTAGTATGGCCACCCCAGCTCGCCGCCTCTCCCCGCGAGAAACACCAGAAAAGTGGAGCGTCCAACCCCTCTCAAGGAGTTGGGTTCCAGAGCCCAAGCTGTGTGTGGAGGTGAGGCCGACTATCTCTAGTCGGTATCACTCAACCTCCCCCACGAGCTCTGGCTCCTTCCCCCCCAGTGAGGTGACATTCCACGTCCCGTTGGGCGGCACGGTAGCTGAGTGGATAGCACTCTTGTCTCTCAGCAAGAAGGTCCTGGGTTCGAATCCCAGTCGGACCAGGGCCTTTCTGAGTGGAGTTTGCATGTTCTCCCCGTGTCTGCGTAGGTTTCCTCCGGGTACTCCGGTTTCCCCTACCATCTCTGTGTGGAGTGAGAGACAAATGCCCAAAAATTAACAATTGTAAACCGCTTTGAGACTCAGATCTGCAGTGAAAAGGCGGTATATAAATAAAGATCACTTACCAAGAGCCAGATGTTGTGTGTGTGGACTGGGTCGCCGAGGTCTCCGCCTTCGACTGCTGCCCAGTCCTCTTAGCACCGCGCCACCACGGACCCCTCTGCAGGTGGTGGGCCCACAGGAGGGACTGCCCACGTCGTCCCTTCGGGCTGAGCCCGGCCGGGCCCCGTGGGCTAAGGCCCGGCCACCAGGCGCTCACATACGAGCCCCGACCCCAGGCCTGGCTCCAGGGTGGGGCCCCGGCTGCGCCATGCCGGGCGACGTCACTGGTCTCATTTTAGTGCTGTCCATGGTGGTTTTTGGACCGCTCTTCGTCTGACTCGTCACCTGAGACCTGTTTGCCATGGGAGACCCTACCAGGGGCATGAAGCCCCAGACAGCATAGCTCCCGGGATCATCCGAGTACTCAAACTCCCCCACCACGTTAAGGTGGCAGTCCAGGGGGGAGTTAGCACGGTGGCCGAGTGGATAGCACTCTCGCCTCTCAGCAAGAAAGTCCTGCGTTCGAATCCCGGTTGGACCACGGCCTTTCTGAGTGGAGTTTGCATGTTCTCCCTGTGTCTGCGTAGGTTTCCTCCGGGTACTCCGGTTTCCCCTACCACTAAAAATATGTCCAATAGTTCTAGCATGCGCCTCCTGTACTGGCGACCCCGCTCCCATCTGTGTGGAGTGAGAGACAAATGCCCAAAATAAAAATTGTAAACCGCTTTGAGACTCAGATCTGCAGTGAAAAGGCGGTATATAAATAAAGATTACTTACTACTTGAATAGGATTTCTCTATAAAGAAGCCAAACCTTTCCAGCAGAATGATTGACAATGAGAATGATCCACCCAGAAGAGAATCTTCCTATACCCCTTTAAGTGCCCCATCCTGAAAAGCAAAATGAAAGCCTTTGCCTTTTAATTCCTCTTTTGTGTCCTGAAACTATTCCCCAACGTTCGGCTCCACCGCCTCCAGTCTATACGTCCTCAAGATGTGAAAAAGTCGACATTTTCAAACCACAGCTGCTTCAGACGAGTGCCCCGAGCCGCAGCCGCCACTGCGTCAAACCCTTTTCTGTCATTTCAATGATGAAGTTTCTGTGTTGGAAAAGTCTGGAGTCGCAAAAGTGTTTCTCTGGGGGCTTTATTTGAATTTAAAATCTCAAAATGTCAAACTCCTCTGGCATTTGGGAAGTTCCTAAGGGCGTCTCGTTATGTAAATGTTATGATGAAATGTTATTCTGTGGGAGTTTGATTCCTCTCATCCAGCCTTTCTTTCTAAATGCTCCCAAACTTGTCGTGCTACATTTGCAGTCTATGGCCGCACCTGCATGTGAATACCAAAACTAATTGGATCTCAGTGGCTAAGCAGGGCAAGGCCTGGTTAGTAGTGTGATGGGAGACCTCCGGGAAGGTCCTTCATTTGTCAGTTTGATGAATACACATGTACTCAAGGCATGCAGCCAATATTCCCCGCCTGCTCCGTATAGGCAAAGTGGGTTGTGTCTTGTCCAAGGACACAACGACAGCAGACCTTTAGAATCAAAGGCGTTAACCAACTAAGCCACCTCTAGGCCTTTCTGTGTGGAGTTTGCATATTCTCCCTGTGTCTGCGTAGGTTTCCTCTGGGCACTCCGGTTTCCCCTACCACTATAAACATGTCCAATAGGTAATGAGTGAGTGAATGGATGGTGTTTGATGCACCAGTGTGTATTGACGACGCTTCTGTCATCACCGTGTGCAGAGAATGAAGAAATATCTCAACTCTCAACAATTGTAAAGCTCTTTGGGGGTAGCCTGACTCTCGCCAGACTCTTGTAGATCGCTGAGCTTCTCACATGGCACTAGGACTCCTTCATAGCGAATACATTTCAGAAGGCGGGGCCTTGTAAAAAAAAAAAAAAAAAAAAAAAACTTGTATATGATTGGATAAACCACTTGTCAGTTATCTTGAATGACGTCTTCCTTCAACCACTCACATCGAAGCACATGACTCCCATAGGTTGCCAAATGCCGGCAAGATTTTCCAGCCCAAAACTCTCGAATGCCTCAAAAACAAATACCCAAAATCTTTTTTTGCTAAAAACTTGATTGATTGTCTTTCTGTTTATTTATTACCTACAAGTCTCTTGAAGAAACGTATGCGGGAAACCACCCAACCTGGCAACCCTGCTGCATAGTGTTGTAAACAGGAACACTTAAACTAGTATTTAAACCAAACTTTACACAAACATTTGACTCTTAAACAACATATAACCATCAACATAGAACCATCAACATCTCTCCTCATATCGCATTAAAAGTGACATCTGTGTCTTAATTCGTTCGTATTTAAACTTTTTTTTAAATTCATGGACTTCATGTCCGCCATCTTGGATTGCTTTTGCTGCTGCGTGAGACACGCTTGAGAAGGCGGTGCAGACCCAACGTAACACCGGCGATCCTGATTGGTCGATTATTTTCTGCTCTGCTGAAGGAGTTTGCTCTGCGCTCGATACCCGACCCTTGTGCGTGAAGCGAAACTCCTCTGGTGGCGCATGACGGAACTACAAGGGTCTGGCGAGAGCCAGGCTTCTTTGGGGGACCTTGGTCTGTAAAATGCGCTATATAAATAAACATTACTTACTAATACACATAAAGCAAATAACACACACTAATGTAACCATCTTCTTCCTTCAGGATGGAGTAAACTGGCTTTCCTTCCTCAACAAATACAAACTCCACGGGATCCTATGTGACGACATGGGTCTGGGCAAAACCCTGCAGTCCATCTGCATCCTGGCCGGAGACCACTACCTCAGGAACCAGGAGTACTCCAGGACCAAAGCCGCTGACAGCAGCCCCCTTCCCTCCATCGTGGTGTGCCCCCCCACACTCACGGGGCACTGGGTGGACGAGGTGGGGAAGTTCTGCTCTAAAGAGTTCCTCCATCCCCTGCACTACACCGGGCCGCCCACAGAGCGCATGAGGTGAGAGCTTTCAGTGTGTGTTTGGGAGATTTAAAGGGATAGTAGTATGGGAATTAAATGGCTATACAATTGATCTGGCCTTATATAGTGTCTTTAACCTCAAGGCCATGACAAATTATGGACGCAGACAACGAAATGGGATACTTGGATGGGTGTTTTATTTTAACAGAAGGTTTACCCAAGTATAACAAATAAAAGTAATAATGAGATGTGACAGCCTGTAGTATCAGTGGTGTAGGTGAGTGGATGGTTATGAGTTTGTATGGTGCGATGCTGATCAAAACCATAACGCTAACAGAAACAAAGTGGTGTGGCACAGGATGCAGGCTGGGAGAGAGTGAGACTGACAGCAGGCAGGTCCATAAATAGTCCATAAATGTAACAAGGCAGTCCTAGAGCAGACCAGAGGACGGCGAAGGGGTCGTGACAATAGCTATCACATCGACTGTGTATCAGGGTTCTTTCCATGTCTCTAGATATGGACACAAATGTTTTTCCATGTGGGACATAAGCGTTGACTATATAGAGCTTGTCCTGACTTTGTTCTGCCTGAAAAAAACCTGAAAAAAACTGAGAATATACTTCCAGGTGTCTCTGGTGCGTAAAGATCCCGTCTCTGTGAGGTTGATTTTCCCACAGAACATTCAATTTAATTCTATGTATTTGTGTATTGCCCTAAATCACAACCGTAGTTATCTCAGAGGACTTTACAAAACCTTTTGAAATCGCCAACACAGATCACAGAATCAGAGAGAATGGAGAACACATAGGTAATGGGTTTGAGCCCACTGCAAGACCTTCTCCATCAACTCTCACTGCTGTGTCCTTGGGCAAGACACTTTACACCACATTGCTTACAAGGAGCGCAGAAGTAACAGCATGGTAAATGTTTAACTGCTACAACTGAGGGATTTTATATTTTATACTTTTTATTGTACTGTGATTTTTTTATGATTTTGATGCTATCTGGTCTTGTTCAGCACTTTGAGTTGCTTTGCTTTGCCTAAATGTAAAATTCTCCAGTGTGAGCTCCATAAAGTCTATCTTAAGGTGCCTTGATGTGATGTGTGTATATGACTATTCATCAAACCCAATTTCCCCACTGTGAGATTAATAAAGTATATCATCTTCTTCTTCTATTTGTCTATTGGGAGTTGACCAATGTCCATAAGTTTTGGTTGTTGAACATGCGTCATCCAATTAATTTTAATAGCACATCTGATAAAACAACATTCCACATCACTGCTATTGACAATGCAACTAATTTTTATCAGTTGTCCTGGTGCTAGCAGACAGTTGAGTGCTTTGTATCGGTGCTTCTACCTTCTCTGAGACCTGACAACTGGACTAATGTGATCTAAATATGTGATATTATTTTCCAGGTTGCAGTATCTGGTGAAGAAGCACAACCTCGTGGTCGCCTCGTATGATGTCGTTCGAAACGACATCGACTTTTTCAAGTGAGTTTCTAATATATAAAATTATGAGAAATGCTAGGAGTATTAGCAGTAGTATTAGCTGTAATCGCAGTAGTAGTAGTAGCAGCGGCAGCAGCAGCAATGGTAGTAATAGCAGCAGTAGCGGTAATGGTAGTAGTAGTGTTGGGCCCCGACTCCACCGGGCGCGTAAAACGGACAACTGATCCGTCCAAACATGTCCGTTTCATCTCAGTCTCCGTTATCTCCATGAGGGTGAATGGAAGTGGCTCCACTGCCTCCAACATCCGTCGCGTCGGACGGATTCCGTCAACGGAGGGTGCAACGGACGCGGACGGACGAAATAGAAACAATCCTATTTGTTCCGTCGACGCATGTCGGGTCCGTTTTCCGTTGAAAATACAATGGAATAATTATATTTACCACATTATTAAACATGTATTGATATATGCTGTAGTCCTGGTTATAAGTACAGTTGTGTGCGAAAGTCAGGGCACCCCTTTAAAAACAGCATATTTTATATATTTTAAAAAATATATTCATATTTACTGTCTCTCTGGTATATGGGAAAAAAAGACTATTGTCAGGAAACATTAAAGTGATTGTCTGGAGTTTGTCATAAAGAGAGACAGAGAGGTACTTGATTGGAAAAAAAATCAATATACATTATTAATACACATGCACGGAGGTTTTCAGAATTATTTGTTAACGTTTTAATGAAAAAAAATGTTTTTATGCACAAACCAGGAAGTGCTATTATCATGAACTGCACATTACAGGACACATCTGCAGAGGATCTGATTATGGATATAGGTTCAGAATATACATAAGTACCTCAGCGCGGATGTTCAGAATTCTTTGTTCAGTTTTCATGTAGTTCCAGAGCCTAATAGAGGCTTGATTCGGAGGCTCCGCGAAAACAAACAACTGAGCATGAGCAGCTACGAGCATCAGCGCCGATGATTGACAGCCCTTGGCATGACTCGATTGGTTAACCTCGACGGCACCGTGGATTCTGAACTATAGCTAAGAGCAGGGAAGGCGGGACTTGCCCGCAATATTAGAATTAATAAAATGACTTATTTTATATCAACATTTAAGGCCAGGAGGTCAATTTAACACATTTCCTAAAATTTGTAATTCATTTAGAGTTACAGACTATCACTTTAATGCATAGTTACATTTTATTTTATAAATTGAACAAAATTACAAAAATTAAAAACATAATTTTGGCATGTGCAAAAGTCGGGGCACTCTACAGCATCAGTACCTTCAGTACTTAGTAACACCCCCTCTGGCAGATATCACAGCTTGTAAACGCTTTTTATAGCCAACAACAAGTTTCTGGATTCTATTATTATTTGGGATTTTTCCCCATTCTTCCTTGCAAAAGGCTTCCAGTTCTGCAATATTCTTAAGAGGGCTTGCATGCACAGCTCTTTTAAGATCTACCCACAGATTTTCGATGATGTTTAAGTCGGGAGACTGTGAAGGCCATTCCAAAACCTTCAGCTTGCGTTTCTTGAGGTAGTCCATGGTGGATTTGGAGGTATGTTTAGGATCATTATCCTGTTGTAGAAGCCATCCTCTTTTCAGCTTTAGCTTTTTTACAGATGCTGTGATATTTGCCTCCAGAATTTGCTGGTATTTAATTGAATCCATTCTTCCCTCCACCCGAGCAATGTTTCCTGTCCCACTGGCTGCAACACAACCCCAAAGCATGATGGATCCACCCCCATATTTAACAGTTGGCAAGGTGTTCTTTTCATGAAATGCTGCTCCTTTTTTTCTCCAAACATGCCTTTGCTTATTGTGGCCAAAGAGTTCTATTTTAACTTCATCAGTCCAAAGCACTTGTTTCCAAAAGTCATCAGGCTTCTGTAGATGTTCTGTTGCATATTTTTGACGTTTTATTTTATGATGAGGTCGTAGATAAGGTTTTTTTCTGCAGACTCTTCCATGAAGGTCTTGTTTGTGCAAGTATCGGCGCACAGTGGAAGGGTGCACCACCACTCCCGAGTCTGCTAAATCTTCCTGGAGGTCTTTTGAAGTCAAATGTGGGTTTTGGTTTACCTTTCTGACCAGACTACGAGCTGTTCTCTCCGAGAGTTTCCTTGGTCTTCCAGATCTCTTCTTGACCTCCACAGTTCCCCTCACCTGCCATCTCTTAATTATGCCTCGCACTGTGGAAACTGCAAGCTGAAAACGCTTTGCTATCTTCTTGTAGCCCTCCCCGGCATTGTGGGCATCAATTACTTTCATTTTTTCTGTCTTACACAGCTTCTTAGAGGAACCCATGGTTGCTGAGTGTTTGTACAAGGTTTGTGGAGTCTCCGTATTTAAGAAACCCTCAAATTGGCACCAGCTGGCACTCCCTAATGACAATTGTTGACACATGCTTCAGGACCAATGAGCTGGTACAGGTCTGAGCCCCGACTTTTGCACATGCCAAAATTATGTTTTTAATTTTTGTAATTTTTTTCAATTTATAAAATAAAATGTAACTACGCATTAATGTTTCCTGACAATATTGTCTATTTTTCACATATACCAGAGAGACAGTAAATATGAATATAAATTTTTAAATATATAAAATATGCTGTTTTTAAAGGGGTGCCCTGACTTTCGCACACAACTGTATTTGTTAATGACAATGATTATTAACAAACGTGTAATTTTTTCATGTATTAATTTAAATAATTGTTTCTTGATCGTACATGTGCTATTTATTTTTCGCGTAATGTTAATACGCTAAACTTTACATACACCTCGCTCTTTTTTTCTCTCGCTCTGTCCCGTCTACCTGCGAGGAGCTCTCTCCTCACCACACACACACACACACACACACACACACACATACACATACACATACACATACACATACACATACACATATATACACACACACACAGCTGCACTTATGAGAGACAGATCTCACAACACTGGATATGTTAGTTCTTTTCTCTCCCATTTTTCCAATTGCTTTCAATAAGTTTTGCCTCATCCATCGCGACGTCCTCGATGCTTCACTATGCTGTGCTTTGCATAGATCATAGCCACAGCTCATACACATCACACACCGCTTCTTCTATTTAAAACTATAGCGGTTGCCTGAAGCCGCGGAGAGGCGAGTTGGGTCCCATAAAAGTGTATGACGCGCTAAATAAGTATAGAAAACAAACGAAGAGGCTGGATCATAATAAACGCTGCGGTCACAGGCCCAAACACACATGCACGCACACGCCTCCCACCACACACACACACACACACATACACACACACAGGCGCTCTCACGCACACACACACACACGCCGACAACACATGACTCCTCCATCAGCCAAACATTCATTTATTCACACAATGCCCAAACGTGTCTCCTACAAAAACAAAGCAGGCTGATAAACGCACAGCCAGAGCTGCTGCTGCTGCAGCCGGTTTGGCCACTAGTCTTTTTTACGGACGTCCGACGGACAGCAGCCAGCGCGCGTCAACGGAGACGCGCCCGGTGGAGTCCAGGCCTTAGGGGTAGCGGTAGTGGTAGTAGTAATGGTAGTAGTAGTAGCAGTAGTACTTGTTTATAAGGGAGACTTTAGTGTGTAATATTGTTGGTGTGATCTTTTCAGGAATATAAAGTTTAATTACTGCATCCTGGACGAGGGCCATGTGATCAAAAACGGGAAAACCAAACTTTCCAAAGCGATCAAGCAGCTAGCGGCAAACTACAGACTGATTCTGTCCGGAACGCCGATCCAGGTACGTACCCATTCAACCCCGACGCTTGTGTAGATGCAGTATTGGTAAATATTTGTCTTCTTCTGTAGAATAATGTGCTGGAGCTTTGGTCGCTGTTTGACTTCCTGATGCCCGGTTTCCTCGGCACAGAGAGGCAGTTTGCGGCTCGGTACGGGAAGCCCATCCTGGCCAGTCGGGACGCCAAGAGCTCGTCTCGGGAGCAAGAGGCCGGTGGGTACAAGATTACTTTTCATGAGGATTCTATAGACTCATAGGTAACTATAGGTCAGCAAGAAGGTACTGGGTTCGACTCCACCTCCAGGCCTTTCTGTGTAGAGTGTGCATTTTCTAACCGCGCCTGCGAAAGTTTCCTCCAGGTGCTGCGGTTGCCCCTACAACTAAAAACATGTACAAAGGCTCCTGCTCTGTCTGGGGCCGGAACTACAGTGAAAGAGTATCTGAAATCTGTGGGACTTTAAGTAAATATCAATGTATGAATTATTTATTTTTTCTTGCCGTAGTCCATTATAGTGTAGTTGTCTCTGGTCCTGGTTGCAAGCTGGAGGTTTGGTTGGACAGTTTTATTTTGACGTCTTTCAGTCTTCCACCCCCAAGGTCAAACTCAGTCACTGATCTAAGCAACACCGCAACCTTTCCCAGTGTTTCAACCATAGACTGTAAATATTAATAGACGTAGTCACGCCCATCTCCGCCGTTCTAACCAATGTGCCGCAACTTCCGCAGTCTATGGGCAGTTTCAAAATAGACGCGGGGGCTGGAAAATGGGAAAAAAGTAAACGCATCTGCACTTGCGTCAGCTGCACGAGCCCCATTCATTTAACGAGTGACTTCAAAAATTCACAGCGACTAAACTAGACTGGGCCAAAACACCCCCCTCAGCATTGACACACATGTGGAACGGAGCTTTGGGCCAAGAGCCAACTTTTGGACCATCCTGTAAAGACCTTTTAGAGAGGTCAGCTAATGCTATATGTTAGCATTGGTTAATTCTTCTTCTGGGTCCACCCCCATTGGCCCGGGGTGGTATTGCAAGTATGTCAGCGCACATCATTTTGGCCACTTTTGGGCCGGGACCCGCCCCACTGGTTTCACTACATCTCAAAAAACACTTGTATCGATAGAAAACTGCTGTTCATCCGAGCCAGAATGCTGTGGCGGTGGATCTGCAGACTCTGAAATTGGGACATTCAAAGATGACTCAATGTGCTGGCAGAATGACACCAGCACAAAGCCACTGTTCTCTACTTTCTCCAGTGGGCATGAATCACTCTAACATAATTAAAATGTGGCACAGTATTAAATGTAAAACAGATCTGGAATAGTTTTTTTGCTCCAGACACAAAATCAAAAACTTAACCCTTTAAGCGCCAAAGTCGCAATATTGCGACAAGCAACATTGCTCACTTAAACAGGCTGTATGTAAAAATGTGGTGCAGAATCTTGTTAATACTTTTCACCAGGGGTTAGTGGACATGTGTGCCTGTAATATGAGCAACATTTGTGGGTGTGGTTATATTGAAAGTTTTTGAGTAAATTGAGTTCGTAAAACACCTGCGACGCTGCAGCGCGGAGGCGAAGCAGCAGCGGTAGAGCTGAGAGGAGTGAGAGCAGAGCAGAGGGAGAGAGTGTTTTTTCTTTTACTCACAATGTCTTCAGTACCAGAGAAGTACTTGGTCTGGTACTGGCTCACTCAGATTCAGAGGAGGAAGACACGCAGGTGTCCAGTGAAGCAGACACGGACATTATTGGTGACGGGGAGACCGCGCTCCATAGTCCACAATCAGCCCCTGTACAGCGGCTGCTTGTCCTCCGTGTGGCCGCGGTAGAAGCATTCTGTGAACGCCAAGCAGGGTCCGTGGTGGAGGGGACAGGGGCATCATAACACCAGGCATGTGGGAGAAAGTAGCGGGGGTAGACATCCACGGGGAACACGGGAGACGCGGGAGAAGTCGCGGGGGAGCCGCGGGAATAAAAACACATCGCTTTTCGCGTTCACTGCCTTTACCAACAGCGATGATGAGGATCAAGGCAGTTCTTGAGAGAAAATAATCCACAAAAGTGGATCAGAAGTGTTGAAGAGCCTGTTGTTTCTTGTTGAGATGATCTGACATGTTCTGAGCCCATTCATTTCATCTCTCTGTTTGTAAACGGTAAATCCTTGAGCCTCATTTCCACCGAGAAAAATAGTAAGCCCACCACTTCTTTGAAAGGGAAATATTGAAACCAAACTCCAGATTTCATGACTGTAAACTATAAAGAGAGCTGTCTTGATCACTGAAGGTCTTTGAAAATAATACAATTCCGTATGGCCGCGAACCAGTGCTAAAACATTATCTATAATCTGGATCAGGGAATTTATTTCTATCCCAAATTCATTTCATACTAAAGATATTTCACACTGACTGTTTATAGTATTCCCTGATCTAAAAAAAACTCCCAAACTACAGCTTTTTGAAGTTTTTATACAATAATTAACATTTTCCAAAATGGCCGCCACCTTGATGACGTCACAATATGCAAATTAGATGACGAATCAACTTCCATCCCAAAGTTTGGTTCAAACTGAAGATATTTCTAATTTACAGTATGCCTTTATCTCAAACCATTTTAAAGTTATAGCCTTTTGAAATCTTGAAATCAAAATTGTATATTTTCTTGAAAAAACTCTGGCGCCTAAAGGGTTAAGGTACGAATCTGGTCAGTTTCTCACTAGTCTCTGTATCTTTATTATCAAATATTTCACTTTCTACAACAAGAAACCTTAGATTTGATCTTTGGAATATTACATTTACAAGTATTGTTGTGTCTGTGCAGGTGTGCTGGCGATGGAGGCTCTGCACAGACAGGTACTGCCGTTTCTTCTGAGGAGGATGAAGGAGGACGTGCTCCAGGACCTGCCCCCGAAGATCATCCAGGATTATTACTGCAACCTGAGTCCACTGCAGGTTCGTCACAACCAGCGCTGAACTCACCAAACACACATCTGTCCTCCTGCCTTCTCCTTCAGTCTCCTTCTCCCTCCTTCTCCCTCTTTCTCTGTCTTCTAGAGTCTCCTTCTGTTTCTCCTTCTCCTGGAGTCTTGCCTTAAGTCTCTCTCTCTCGCTCGCTCGCTCGCTCGCTTGCCCCTTGGGTCTGCCTCGAGTCTCTCTCTCTCTCGCTCTCTCGCTCGCTCGCTCGCTTGCCCCTTGGGTCTGCCTCGAGTCTCTCTCTCTCGTGCGCCTTGGGTCTGCCTAGAGTCTCTCTCTCTTGCCTTGGGTCTGCCTCGAGTCTCTCTCTCTCGCGCGCGCCTTGGGTCTGCCTCGAGTCTCTCTCTCTTGCCTTGGGTCTGCCTCGAGTCTCTCTCTCTTGCCTTGGGTCTGCCTCGAGTCTCTCTCTCTCTTGCCTTGGGTCTGCCTCGAGTCTCTCTCTCTCTTGCCTTGGGTCTGCCTCGAGTCTCTCTCTCTCTTGCCTTGGGTCTGCCTCGAGTCTCTCTCTCTCTTGCCTTGGGTCTGCCTCGAGTCTCTCTCTCTCTTGCCTTGGGTCTGCCTCGAGTCTCTCTCTCTTGCCTTGGGTCTGCCTCGAGTCTCTCTCTCTCTTGCCTTGGGTCTGCCTCGAGTCTCTCTCTCTCTTGCCTTGGGTCTGCCTCGAGTCTCTCTCTCTCTTGCCTTGGGTCTGCCTCGAGTCTCTCTCTCTCTTGCCTTGGGTCTGCCTCGAGTCTCTCTCTCTCTTGCCTTGGGTCTGCCTCGAGTCTCTCTCTCTCTTGCCTTGGGTCTGCCTCGAGTCTCTCTCTCTTGCCTTGGGTCTGCCTCGAGTCTCTCTCTCTTGCCTTGGGTCTGCCTCGAGTCTCTCTCTCGCTCTTGCCTTGGGTCTGCCTCGAGTCTCTCTCTCGCGCGCGCCTTGGGTCTGCCTCGAGTCTCTCTCTCGCGCGCGCCTTGGGTCTGCCTCGAGTCTCTCTCTCTCTTGCCTTGGGTCTGCCTAGAGTCTCTCTCTCTCTTGCCTTGGGTCTGCCTAGAGTCTCTCTCTCTCTTGCCTTGGGTCTGCCTCGAGTCTCTCTCTCTCTTGCCTTGGGTCTGCCTAGAGTCTCTCTCTCTCTTGCCTTGGGTCTGCCTAGAGTCTCTCTCTCTCTTGCCTTGGGTCTGCCTAGAGTCTCTCTCTCTCTTGCCTTGGGTCTGCCTCAAGTCTCTCTCTAGCCTTGGGTCTGCCTCGAGTCTCTCTCTCGCGCGCCTTGGGTCTGCCTCGAGTCTCTCTCTCGCGCGCCTTGGGTCTGCCTCGAGTCTCTCTCTCGCGCGCGCCTTGGGTCTGCCTCGAGTCTCTCTCTCTTGCCTTGGGTCTGCCTCGAGTCTCTCTCTCGCGCGCGCCTTGGGTCTGCCTCGAGTCTCTCTCTCTCTTGCCTTGGGTCTGCCTCGAGTCTCTCTCTCTCTCGCCTTGGGTCTGCCTCGAGTCTCTGAAAAATGTTTGAGGAAAGTCTGTCTACTAACGCAAGAAAATATGAAAAATCTCATTTCTTGTGGACACTGTAAACTACTTATCAATGAATCAAAAGCTTTATTGGTGAATAGAAAAGTGAAATATTTTTGATGATTGCAGCCCTCAAACAACACATTTCATGAAGAAAAGTGACATGTTTTGACAGCAGCTTTGAAAGGAGATGTTTGAAAGCATTGGTTCTCCACAGGCTGTCCTTTGTGTTTTTTTTCCTGATTTTCCGCCTGCAGGGGTAAACAGTCAGCAGGTAATGGCTCTTTCTGTTTGTGGCGTCTCTCGCAGGTTCAGTTGTACGAGGACTTTGCTAAATCTCGAGCCAAAGCCAGTGTGGACGACAGCATTTCAGTGTCTGCGGCTGAAGACCAGGACAAACCCAAACTCAAGGCCACAGGACACGTGTTCCAGGTGAGATTAGCGTTACCATTTGTGTAGCTAAAGTTATTTAAGGATTGTACTCGGATGTGTGCGGAATGAATGAATGGACACTTGACAACATTGACAAAAAATATATTGCTTTCTTTAGCTTTAGCTACATGATATCAAGTTTATTTGTAGAGCACAGTTCATAAACAAAGTACTTCACAAAACAAGAAAAGAAACTAAAATCACGGCATTAAATCAAGGCATTAAAGTGATAAATTATACCTTCAGTTGCAACTAGAAGATGCCTGTCTCACATTTTCAGGAAGACTGCTCCCAATTTTAGCTGCATGAATCTAAAGCGCTGCCTCCTCATATTTAGTCCTGACTCTGGGAGCAGCAGGAGGCCAGTCCCTGTGCTCCTCAGAGTCCCAGCAGGAGGCTCCAGTCGATCCTGTGGCACAATAAACAGCACTGCTGAGCATAATCTTTAGTCCTTTTTAAATTCTATCGGCCATAATTTTAACGCGTAGGAAATGAGAGTTTAGGGACTTGGACTTGCAGGTCAGAGACTTGTGTGAATCTCTGTTTCTGACGAACCTGCCCATGCTGACCTTTGTTTTTAACTTCATTTTTTAAACCTCTTTCTCTCCCTCTCTCTCTCTCCCCCTCTCCCTCCCTCCCCTCTCTCTCTCTCCAGGCTCTGCAGTACCTGAGGAAGCTGTGTAACCACCCCAGCCTGGTGCTGACGCCCCAACACCCCGAGTACAGACGGATCACGGAGCAGCTGTCGTCGCAGAACTCTAACCTCAGAGACATCCAGCACGCGCCCAAACTCTCTGCCCTCAGACAGGTGTGCGCCCAAACTCTCTGCTCTCAGACAGGTGTGCGCCCAAACTCTCTGCTCTCAGACAGGTGTGCGCCCAAACTCTCTGCTCTCAGACAGGTGTGCGCCCAAACTCTCTGCTCTCAGACAGGTGTGGACTCAAACCTCACACGTCCAGGACCGACATGTGGAGAGTGTGGAGAGCGGAAACACTAATGTCCACGATAAGGACTTTATTCAAAAGCACAGGGTGTTAGCCTTAATGCGCAAGAGCCCGATTGGAACGCAAGCTAGCTGGAGCTGAATATCTAATATCGGCTTTTGTTTGGACCTCTCCTCTCTCCCACCTCCCTCCTCTCTTCTCTTACCTCCTCTCTCTCCCTCTTCCCTCCTCTCCTCTTTCTCCCGCCTCTCCCCTCTCCACTCCTCTCTTCTCTCTCTCCCTCTTCCCTCCTCTCTCCTTTCTCCTCTCTCTCTCCCATCTCTCCTCTCTCCTCCCTCTCCACTCCTCTCTCTCCCACCTCCCACCTCTAACCTCTCCCCTCTCTCCTCAGCTCCTTCTGGACTGTGGCCTGGGTGGAGGAGGCTCTGCAGAGGGAGGGACAGAGTCGGTGGTGGCCCAGCACCGGGTCCTGATCTTCTGTCAGCTCAAGAGCATGTTGGACATCGTGGAGCACGACCTGCTGAAGCCCAAACTGCCCTCGGTCACCTACATGAGGCTGGACGGGAGCGTTCCAGCCGGCCTCAGGCACTCCATCGTCTCCAGGTACCAGCACTACTCTATTCACACCGTCAACGCCCCATATCAACTGGAATCAAAGCAAACCCAGGCTTTCATGATGCTGCAAGAATAACAATTCATAATAATCCTGCAGCTCTTATTGTTGCTCAATTGTTTTAGCTGAATTTATTTATGCACATAATAATAATAATGATAATAATGCATTGGTTTTATACAGCGCTTTTTAGGACCAATGTCAATATTCTTTCACTCCAAACACGGTGGTGATAAACTGCTACTGTAGCCACAGCTGCCCTGGGGCACACTGAAAGAAGCGAGGCAACCAGTCTGTGCCATCAGCCCCTCCCACCACCATGAGCTACTTACTTATTTTGTATAAGTGAGTACAAAATAAGTAAGTAGCTGCTGTTTCTTAGCTAGCTGTAAATACTTCAATACCAGTCTTTCCAAAAAAAGTAGAAGTACAGAGGGGCAAAAAAGTATTTAGTCAGCCACCGATTGTGCAAGTTCTCCCACTTATAATAATGACAGAGGTCTGTAATTCTCATCATAGCTTCACTTCATCTGTTAGACAGAATGTGAAAAAAAATCCAGGAAATCACATTGTAGGATTTTTAAAGAATTGATTTGTAAATTATGGTGGAAAATAAGTATTTGGTCACTTCAAACAAGGAAGATCTCTGGCTCTGACAGACCTGTAACTTCTTCTTTAAGAAGGTCTTCTGTCCTCCACTCGTTACCTGTATTAATGGCACCCGTTTGAACTCGTTATCTGTATAAAAGACACCTGTCCACAGCCTCAAACAGTCAGACTCCAAACTCCACTATGGCCAAGACCAAAGAGCTGTCGAAGGACACCAGGAAAAGAATTGTAGACCTGCACCAGACTGGGAAGAGTGAATCTACAATAGGCAAGCAGCTTGGTGTGAACAAATCAACTGTGGGAGCAATTATCAGAAAATGAAAGACATACAAGACCACTGATCATCTCCCTCAATCTGGGGCTCCACGCAAGATCTCATCCCGTGGGGTCAAAATGATCATGAGAACCACACGGGGGGACCTGGTGAATGACCTGCAGAGAGCTGGCACCAAAGTAACAAAGGTTACCATCAGTAACACACTATGACGACAGGGAATCAAATCCTGCAGTGCCAGACGTGTCCCCTGCTGAAGCCAGTGCATGTCCAGGCCTGTCTGAAGTTTGCCAGAGAGCACATGGATGATACAGCAGAGGATTGGGAGAATGTCATGTGGTCAGATGAAACCAAAGTAGAACTGTTTGGTATAAACTCAACTCGTCGTGTTTGGAGGAAGAAGAATACTGAGTTGCATCCCAAGAACACCATACTGTGAAGCATGGGGGTGGAAACGTCATGCTTTGGGGCGGTTTTTCTGCTAAGGGGACAAGACGACTGATCCGTGTTCAGGAAAGAATGAATGGGGCCATGTATCGTGAGATACATGTCCATCCATCAGTGAGAGCTTTGAAGATGAAACGTGGCTGGGTCTTCCAGCATGACAATGATCCCAAACACACCGCCCAGGCAACGAAGGAGTGGCTCCGTAAGAAGCATTTGAAAGTCCTGGAGTGGCCTAGCCAGTCTCCAGACCTCAACCCCATTGAACATCTGTGGAGAGAGTTGAAAGTCTGTGTTCACTGCTTTCGAGAAGATCTGCATGGAGGAATGGACCAAAATACCAGCTACTGTGTGTGCAAACCAGGTAAAGACCTAATAGTAATCGTTTGACCTCTGTTATTGCCAACAAAGGTTATATTACCAAGTACTGAGTTGAATTTTTGTTAATGACCAAATACTTATTTTCCACCATAATTTACAAATAAATTCTTTACAAATCCTACAATGTGAATTCCTGGATTTTTTTTCACATTCTCTCTCTCTCAGTTGAAGTGAACCTATGATGAAAATTACAGACCTCTGTCATTATTTTAAGTGGGAGAACTTGCACAATCGGTGGCTGACTAAATACTTTTTTGCCCCACTGTATGTATATATATATATATATATATATATAGAGTATATATATGTAGCTGAGTTATATACTGTACACATAGTGCAGGGTGACATTGTGCAGTGCAATATTTCCTTATTTACAGATGAATGACATTTACAGGCTCAGCAGCTACTTATTTTGTATTTTCTGTGCCCCCTGTGTCTCTTACTACTGTCCTGTCTGTGCGCTGCAACACTGACATTTCCCTGAATAATCTTATCTCATCACCGTGTCTCCTCCGTCTCCTCAGATTTAACAACGACCCATCCATCGACGTGCTGCTGCTGACCACTCATGTTGGAGGTCTGGGCCTGAACCTGACCGGGGCCGACACCGTGGTCTTTGTGGAGCACGACTGGAACCCCATGAGAGACCTGCAGGCCATGGACCGGGCCCACCGCATCGGGCAGGTGAGGGCCGCCGCCACGTTCCCAGCTCCTCTCCATGTTACTCAGACCTGGAGTTGTGTTTAGATCCATCCACGCTAATGTGTAATGGTTAAAAACGTATCACTCCGCTCCCTGCTGTCCTGTGATAGCACCACGGTGACATCACACTTGGAGCACTTTTTGACCCATAAATGAGTTCAAATTACGTTCTGTTTTGAAAATTCAAGGTTGTGAAGAGAAATTACATTCTTTACAATCATAGGTCTGTGTTTGCAGCTGGTATCTTTCAAATTTGCCAAAAAAACCCCTGATTTTTTCGGTTTCTTTATCCTCACACTAGTCCCATGTATTGTCTATATTATTTCACATTATAAAACAATAAAAGGGCGTTGAGACGGACCCAGACAAGGCTTCTTCCTTGAAATCCTGGCCAGTTCCCTACAACCTGAAGACCTTGCGATCTTTCCTCGGCTTTGCTGGCTATTACCGCCGGTTCATCCAGGGATATGCCACCATTGCAAAACCACTCAACGACCTAACTCGAGGATACTTACCTGTACGAACACCCACTAAGAATAAACATTCCAAAGATCTGCATGATCCGAAACAGGCCTTTGGTGCCAGATGGACATCCCACTGTCGACAAGCTTTCACATTGCTTATTGAGAAGCTGACCACTGCTCCCGTGTTTGGATTTGCGAATCCAGCACTGCCCTATATACTTCACACAGATGCAAGCACCACTGGACTTGGCGCGCTCTGTATCAGGAACAGGAGGGGAAGCTGAGGCCCATTGCTTTTGCAAGCAGAGGGTTGTCTCAGTGCGAAAGTCGCTACCCTGCACACAAGCTTGAGTTCTTGTCTCTGAAGTGGAGTGTGACTGAGAAGTTCCAAGACTTCTTGTATGGCGCTGATTTCACTGTCATCACTGACAGTAATCCACTCACCTACATTCTGACCTCCGCTAAGCTCGATGCCACCAGCCATCGCTGGCTTGCTGCTCTCTCAACATTTTCCTTTAAATTGCAATACAGACTGGGAAAGCATAACTTGGATGCAGATGCTTTATCTCGCTGTCCACATGACAGTCCAATTGATGAGTGTCCTGTCCATGGAGCAACATCTACTGGATGAAGACAATGCTCAATTGCCGGCTGAAGTGGTGGATGCAGTTTGTCAGAGCAGTCTTTTGAGGACCCAGGCCGAAACTACTCTTGTCGAGTCCCTTTCCATCTGGACAGAGTCTCTTCCTGAGGCCTTCACCGACAACCTGCATGGGCTGCCTGTAGTCCCGGTGCTGACTCCTCTTGAACTCAAAGACAAACAAAGGGCAGATCCAAGCCTGCATGAGGTAATCCTTCAGCTTGAATCCGGTGAAAGTGTTCCACCAACTGCCAGAGAAGAGCTGCCAGTTGGGTCAGACCAAGTCAAATGCTAATGATTTGTTAGCATTTTTCAAAAGTTAGCATTCCCACAGTGGATTTTTGTCTGATCCGCTTGTTTCGGACCATGAATACTATTATTATTCTCAGGGAAAATCACTGAATCGTCCTCTGAACTTATAATAACATTGTCTTTTTAGAAACGTGTGGTGAACGTGTACCGGCTGATCACCCGCGGGACGCTGGAGGAGAAGATCATGGGGCTGCAGAAGTTCAAGATGAGCATCGCTAACACGGTCATCACGCAGGACAACTCCAGTCTGCAGAGCATGGGCACGGACCAGCTGCTCAACCTGTTCACGCTGGACCAGGTGAGAGCTCTGGACCGGGTGGGATCTCGGGGCAGGACTTTCAGAGGGAGAGACACTGGCCCAGGACTGGTGTGAAGGGTCAGAAATGGTTTAAATAAAGATAGATAAAGATACGTGTTTAAAGTCTGATTATCTTTATGAGACTATAGTGGAGAAGGAGGGAGAGAGAGAGGGAGTGTAGAGGGGGAGAGGGCGAGAGAGACTAGAAGGAGAGAGGGCGAGAGAGACTAGAAGGAGAGAGGGCGAGACTAGAAGGAGAGAGGGCAAGAGAGACTAGAAGGAGAGAGGGCGAGAGAGACTAGAAGGAGAGAGGGCGAGAGAGACTAGGAGAGAGGGCGAGAGAGACTAGAAGGAGAGAGGGCGAGAGAGACTAGAAGGAGAGAGGGCGAGAGAGACTAGAAGGAGAGAGGGCGAGAGAGACTAGAAGGAGAGAGGGCGAGAGAGACTAGAAGGAGAGAGGGCGAGACTAGAAGGAGAGAGGGCAAGAGAGACTAGAAGGAGAGAGGGCGAGAGAGACTAGAAGGAGAGAGGGCGAGAGAGACTAGGAGAGAGGGCGAGAGAGACTAGAAGGAGAGAGGGCGAGAGAGACTAGAAGGAGAGAGGGCGAGAGAGACTAGAAGGAGAGAGGGCGAGAGAGACTAGAAGGAGAGAGGGCGAGAGACTAGGAGAGAGGGGAGAGAGACTAGAAGGAGAGAGGGCGAGAGACTAGAAGGAGAGAGGGCGAGAGAGACTAGAAGGAGAGAGGGCGAGAGAGACTAGAAGGAGAGAGGGCGAGAGAGACTAGAAGGAGAGAGGGCGAGAGAGACTAGAAGGAGAGAGGGCGAGAGAGACTAGAAGAGAGAGGGCGAGAGAGACTAGAAGGAGAGAGGGGAGAGAGACTAGAAGGAGAGAGGGCGAGAGAGACTAGAAGGAGAGAGGGCGAGAGAGACTAGAAGGAGAGAGGGCGAGAGAGACTAGAAGGAGAGAGGGCGAGAGAGACTAGGAGAGAGGGCGAGAGAGACTAGGAGAGAGGGCGAGAGAGACTAGGAGAGAGGGCGAGAGAGACTAGGAGAGAGGGCGAGAGAGACTAGGAGAGAGGGCGAGAGAGACTAGGAGAGAGGGCGAGAGAGACTAGGAGAGAGGGCGAGAGAGACTAGGAGAGAGGGCGAGAGAGACTAGGAGAGAGGGCGAGAGAGACTAGGAGAGAGGGCGAGAGAGACTAGGAGAGAGGGCGAGAGAGACTAGGAGAGAGGGCGAGAGAGACTAGGAGAGAGGGCGAGAGAGACTAGGAGAGAGGGCGAGAGAGACTAGGAGAGAGGGCGAGAGAGACTAGGAGAGAGGGCGAGAGAGACTAGGAGAGAGGGCGAGAGAGACTAGGAGGAGGGCGAGAGAGACTAGGAGAGAGGGCGAGAGAGACTAGGAGAGAGGGCGAGAGAGACTAGGAGAGAGGGCGAGAGAGACTAGGAGAGAGGGCGAGAGAGACTAGGAGAGAGGGCGAGAGAGACTAGGAGAGAGGGCGAGAGAGAGGAAGGAGAGAGGGCGAGAGAGACTAGGAGAGAGCGGAGAGACTGGAGGCGAGAGAGACTAGGAGAGAGGGCGAGAGAGACTAGGAGAGAGGGCGAGAGAGACTAGGAGAGAGGGCGAGAGAGACTAGGAGAGAGGGCGAGAGAGACTAGGAGAGAGGGCGAGAGAGACTAGGAGAGAGGGCGAGAGAGACTAGAAGGAGAGAGGGTGAGACTAGAAGGAGAGAGGGCGAGACTAGAAGGAGAGAGGGCGAGAGAGACTAGAAGGAGAGAGGGCGAGAGAGACTAGGAGAGAGGGCGAGAGAGACTAGAGAGAGACGGGGCTAGAGAGAGACTAGAGAGAGACGGGGCTAGAGAGAGACTAGAGAGAGACGGGGCTAGAGAGAGACTAGAGAGAGACGGGGCTAGAGAGAGACTAGAGAGAGACGGGGCTGAGAGAGAGACTAGAGAGAGAGACTAGAGAGAGACGGGGCTAGAGAGAGACTAGAGAGAGACGGGGCTAGAGAGAGACTAGAGAGAGACGGGGCTAGAGAGAGACTAGAGAGAGACGGGGCTAGAGAGAGACTAGAGAGAGACTAGAGAGAGACGGGGCTAGAGAGAGACTAGAGAGAGACGGGGCTAGAGAGAGACTAGAGAGAGACTAGAGAGAGACGGGGCTAGAGAGAGACTAGAGAGAGACGGGGCTAGAGAGAGACTAGAAGGAGACGGGGCTAGAGAGAGACGGGGCTAGAGAGAGACTAGAGTTGATTTGTTCTGCCGAAGATGATGCAGAAAAGTCCTTCGTGTCTTGCTCCAGAGATTCCGGAAATTCTCTCTAATCCAAGACTGAGAATCTTGACTTTTGACCATAGTCACAGGAAACACAACGGAACCTTGTGATGTCTCATGAACAGAACCTTGTGATGTCTCATGATCAGAACCTTGTGATGTCTCATGATCAGAACCTTGTGATGTCTCATGATCAGAACCTTGTGATGTCTCATGATCAGAACCTTGTGATGTCTCATGATCAGAACCTTGTGATGTCTCATGAACAGACCCTTGTGATGTCTCATGAACAGAACCTTGTGATGTCGCATGAACAGAACCTTGTGATGTCTCATGATCAGAACCTTGTGATGTCTCATGAACAGACCCTTGTGATGTCTCATGAACAGAACCTTGTGATGTCTCATGAACAGAACCTTGTGATGTCTCATGAACAGAACCTTGTGATGTCTCATGAACAGAACCTTGTGATGTCGCATGAACAGAACCTTGTGATGTCTCATGAACAGAACCTTGTGATGTCGCATGAACAGAACCTTGTGATGTCTCATGATCAGAACCTTGTGATGTCTCATGATCAGAACCTTGTGATGTCTCATGAACAGAACCTTGTGATGTCTCATGAACAGAACCTTGTGATGTCTCATGAACAGAACCTTGTGATGTCTCATGAACAGACCCTTGTGATGTCTCATGATCAGAACCTTGTGATGTCTCATGATCAGAACCTTGTGATGTCTCATGAACAGAACCTTGTGATGTCTCATGAACAGAACCTTGTGATGTCTCATGAACAGAACCTTGTGATGTCTCATGATCAGAACCTTGTGATGTCTCATGAACAGAACCTTGTGATGTCTCATGAACAGAACCTTGTGATGTCTCATGAACAGAACCTTGTGATGTCTCATGAACAGACCCTTGTGATGTCTCATGATCAGAACCTTGTGATGTCTCATGATCAGAACCTTGTGATGTCTCATGAACAGAACCTTGTGATGTCTCATGAACAGAACCTTGTGATGTCTCATGAACAGAACCTTGTGATGTCTCATGAACAGACCCTTGTGATGTCTCATGATCAGAACCTTGTGATGTCTCATGATCAGAACCTTGTGATGTCTCATGATCAGAACCTTGTGATGTCGCATGAACAGAACCTTGTGATGTCGCATGAACAGAACCTTGTGATGTCGCATGAACAGAACCTTGTGATGTCTCATGAACAGAACCTTGTGATGTCGCATGATCAGAACCTTGTGATGTCTCATGAACAGAACCTTGTGATGTCTCATGATCAGAACCTTGTGATGTCTCATGATCAGAACCTTGTGATGTCTCATGATCAGAACCTTGTGATGTCGCATGAACAGAACCTTGTGATGTCTCATGAACAGAACCTTGTGATGTCTCATGATCAGAACCTTGTGATGTCTCATGATCAGAACCTTGTGATGTCTCATGATCAGAACCTTGTGATGTCTCATGATCAGAACCTTGTGATGTCTCATGATCAGAACCTTGTGATGTCTCATGATCAGAACCTTGTGATGTCTCATGATCAGAACCTTGTGATGTCTCATGATCAGAACCTTGTGATGTCTCATGATCAGAACCTTTGTGATGTCTCATGATCAGAACCTTGTGATGTCTCATGAACAGAACCTTGTGATGTCTCATGATCAGAACCTTGTGATGTCTCATGAACAGACCCTTGTGATGTCTCATGAACAGAACCTTGTGATGTCTCATGAACAGAACCTTGTGATGTCTCATGAACAGAACCTTGTGATGTCGCATGATCAGAACCTTGTGATGTCGCATGATCAGAACCTTGTGATGTCTCATGAACAGAACCTTGTGATGTCTCATGAACAGAACCTTGTGATGTCTCATGATCAGAACCTTGTGATGTCTCATGATCAGAACCTTGTGATGTCTCATGAACAGAACCTTGTGATGTCTCATGATCAGAACCTTGTGATGTCTCATGATCAGAACCTTGTGATGTCGCATGAACAGAACCTTGTGATGTCTCATGATCAGAACCTTGTGATGTCTCATGATCAGAACCTTGTGATGTCTCATGAACAGAACCTTGTGATGTCTCATGAACAGAACCTTGTGATGTCGCATGAACAGAACCTTGTGATGTCGCATGAACAGAACCTTGTGATGTCTCATGAACAGAACCTTGTGATGTCTCATGATCAGAACCTTGTGATGTCTCATGATCAGAACCTTGTGATGTCGCATGAACAGAACCTTGTGATGTCTCATGATCAGAACCTTGTGATGTCTCATGATCAGAACCTTGTGATGTCGCATGAACAGAACCTTGTGATGTCGCATGAACAGAACCTTGTGATGTCGCATGAACGGAACCAACTCACATTTTGCAAATTTTTTTTCTCAGGACGAAATAGGCGACAAGAGCGACTCCTCTTCCTCCAAGTCCTCCATGAAGTCGGTTCTGGACGGTCTGGGGGAACTCTGGGACCAGCAGCAGTACGACCACGAGTACAACCTGGACAGCTTCATGCACTCCTTAAAATAACCCATGTCCCCCTATCACCTAGCCCCTCCCACTCCCCCCTACCCCTCCCATTGTTACAAAATGGACCAAGCCGGACCTGGTCGCTCTGTGTTCTACTCCACTGCTGCTACTTTTTACTATATTTCCTATGGATGGATTTTGCCCCACTGGACACGTTAATGGCATCTTACTCTGTATTTCTTGACCCGATGGAAAACTTTAAACCAATATTATCGCCGCACAGTGTTATATGTGTCTTTCCAAACGATTTTCCCTCACGATAAAAGTCTTAATGAATTGCTATAGACGTCTGTGCTCGCTCTAAAAAAGTCAGAAAGGAAATGGAGGACGGTATAAAGTAGGACAAAGGCGCTCGGATTAGCACTAGCTTGTGGATTAGCACTAGCTTGTGGATCTAGTGCGGCCTCGAGACTTCCTTTGGATGTAGTTGTGGAGATGGAGGTTTTTTGGGAGCGGATCTGCACTTAAAGCAGCGTTACAGACTGAAAAGTGTTTTAAAAAATATGTAAAACGTAATATGTAAATGCGATTAGACGCATTTGTACATATTTCTGTAGCTGCTGCTTTTGTTTAAGGAATTATGTGGAATTGGAATAAATTCTGCGCAACTTTCAATGAGTGTGTCTTTCTCTGTCTCACTGTCTCTGAGGGTGTATCTCTCGGTCTCTGTGTCTCCCTCTCTGTCTCTCTCTCTCTGTCTCTGTGTGGACGTTTCTCTCTCGATCTCTGCCTCACGGCCTCTCTCTCGTCGAGGTCTCTCTAGGTCTCTCCCTATCTGTCTCTCTAGGTCTCTGTCTCTCGGTCTCTCCCTCTCTGTCGCTGTGTGGATGTATATCTCAGTTTCTCTGTCGGTCTCTGCCTCATGGCCTCTCTCTCGTCTCGATCTCTCCCTCTCTGTCTCACGGTCTCTCTCGGTCTCTCCCTCTCTGTCTCACGGTCTCTCTCGGTCTCTCCCTCTCTGTCTCACGGTCTCTCTCGGTCTCTCCCTCTCTGTCTCACGGTCTCTCTCGGTCTCTCCCTCTCTGTCTCACGGTCTCTCTCGGTCTCTCCCTCTCTGTCTCACGGTCTCTCTCGGTCTCTCCCTCTCTGTCTCACGGTCTCTCTCGGTCTCTCCCTCTCTGTCTCACGGTCTCTCTCGGTCTCTCCCTCTCTGTCTCACGGTCTCTCTCGGTCTCTCCCTCTCTGTCTCACGGTCTCTCTCGGTCTCTCCCTCTCTGTCTCACGGTCTCTCTCGGTCTCTCCCTCTCTGTCTCACGGTCTCTCTCGGTCTCTCGCTCTCTGTCTCACGGTCTCTCTCGGTCTCTCCCTCTCTGTCTCACGGTCTCTCTCGGTCTCTCCCTCTCTGTCTCACGGTCTCTCTCGGTCTCTCCCTCTCTGTCTCACGGTCTCTCTCGGTCTCTCCCTCTCTGTCTCACGGTCTCTCTCGGTCTCTCCCTCTCTGTCTCACGGTCTCTCTCGGTCTCTCCCTCTCTGTCTCACGGTCTCTCTAGGTCTCTCCCTCTCTGTCTCACGGTCTCTCTCGGTCTCTCCCTCTCTGTCTCACGGTCTCTCTAGGTCTCTCCCTCTCTGTCTCACGGTCTCTCTCGGTCTCTCCCTCTCTGTCTCACGGTCTCTCTAGGTCTCTCCCTCTCTGTCTCACGGTCTCTCTCGGTCTCTCCCTCTCTGTCTCACGGTCTCTCTCGGTCTCTCCCTCTCTGTCTCACGGTCTCTCTCGGTCTCTCCCTCTCTGTCTCACGGTCTCTCTCGGTCTCTCCCTCTCTGTCTCACGGTCTCTCTCGGTCTCTCCCTCTCTGTCTCACGGTCTCTCTCGGTCTCTCCCTCTCTGTCTCACGGTCTCTCTCGGTCTCTCCCTCTCTGTCTCACGGTCTCTCTAGGTCTCTCCCTCTCTGTCGCTGTGTGGATGTATATCTCAGTTTCTCTGTCGGTCTCTCCTTCTGTCTCTCAGGCTCTCTCTGTCTCTGTATGGATGCTTCTCTCTCTCTGTCTCTGCCTTACGGCCTCTCTCTCGTCTAAGTCTCTGTCACACCCTCAGAGACTGAGAGGCTGTGAATCTCTCGGTCTGTCTCTCAGCCTCTCTCTCGCTCTCTGTCGGTGTATCGGTCTCTGTGGATGTTTCTCTCTCGGTCTCTGCCTCAGGCCTCTCTCTCGTCTAGGTCTCTCACTCTGTCTCGATCTTCGCTCTCTTTCTTGGCCTCTCTCTGTGTGCGTGTCTCTTTTTGTCTCTCTCTTCTCTGTATGTGTTTTCTCAATACTGGCCAGTAGAGGGGGTGTTTTTGTCACAATGACTGCATCTAAGTTCTATTTTAAAGCTGGGGTACCTTTCCTGTCCTGAAACAATCCTGTAAAAGTCTGTTTAAACTGTCAAAGCAAGATGAAGACTGGACTGGACTGGACTCGAGGGCTGCACCGCCTGGCAGCCTCCTCGGTCCTGGATCTACAGCCTCGGTCCTGGGTCTACAGCCTCGGTCCTGGATCTACAGCATCGGTCCTGGATCTACAGCCTCGGTCCTGGATCTACAGCCTCGGTCCTGGATCTACAGCCTCGGTCCTGGGTCTACAGCATCGGTCCTGGATCTACAGCATCGGTCCTGGATCTACAGCCTCGGTCCTGGGTCTACAGCCTCGGTCCTGGATCTACAGCCTCGGTCTGTGGGAGTAGGTCTCTCTATATTAGGCTCCCTGAGGATTCTCACTGTCTTTCCACTGGGTTTTTGGGTACAATGGAAAGAAGGGGATGAAACCAAAAACCAGAGAAACTTTGGACTTAATGTATAAATTATTGTCTAAAAATACAGTCCATGAACTTGAGATTTGTGATCTTTCTGGGCTTCCATATTGTTGTAAATTGCAGCGTTTTAAGTGTGGGGCCTGAACCTGGACTTCTCATGATACAATATAATTATAAAAATCCCTCAGTTTAAAAAAAATAAATTTCAAAACATCATAAAACATGTGATCAAAAATTAATCAATTGGTTAAATGTATTTTATTTAGTTGATTGGGACAGTACATGTTCATGAACACATCACTCCGGATTGTACCTTGGGCTAATTTGCATCCGTTGTCCCACATTCACACTCACACATTCACCCTGAACTACTGCACACGTGTTTAGTGGTAGAGGAAACCAGAGGAAGACAAGGAAAGAACATGCAAACTCCACTCAAACGCACTGTTCCGACCGGGATTCGAACCAAGAACCGTCTTCTGTCTTGCTGAGAAGTGAAAGTGCTATCCACCGCCCGGGCTCTCAATCATTAAATTACAATATGTAAATTTCCTCATTTGAATACATTTTGAAGAAGCGGTTTTGTTTTTATCAGAGACTAAGATCTCATTCAGGAATTTTAGGAGAAATCAAACTGCCAGCCATTTTTGGTGATGTCACTGATTTTTCAAGACCCACAGAATATTATGTGCTAAGACTATGTGAAATATGAAACCAGATTCTGAAAGACTGGACTGTCTACTTCTATCAGCAAAAATAAGTTTGTTTCTAGCTAGTTTTGTTGTTCTGTAATCCCCTGTCGAAAAGAGGGAAGTTTGACAGAAATCACCAGTTTCAGACAAACACCTCAATGGCAGCCAATGAAACAAGTGGCTCCTGTGTGTGTGTGTGTGTGTGTGTCTGTGTGTGTGTCTCTCTGTGTGTGTGTAAGAAGCCATGAACCAAGAGCAAAAATTTACCTGAAGTTTTGTCAATTTTAGATCCGCTTTTTCACTGACGGGAAACGAGCCGCTGTGATTTATGACGACACAGACATTGAATAAACCACAGACGCCTCTCGTTGCTCCAGTCGCCATTTATTTCGTTGCCCATTCATTAGTTTTTACATGTTTGAGTCTGTAGGTTCCACACCGACGTCAGCAGATACAACACACAGAAGCTTTGCCTTTTTGTTTTTTTGAATCCAGGATCAAAACACTTAAAACGAAAACACAAAGACTTATTTTCACCAAACATCAACAAATAAATAATCAAGCCTGGTCTTAAACTGCGTATCACGATCGGACTGGACTCTATACCAGGAGGAGTCTGAAAAATGGGTTTAGTTAGCATGATTCTAGGACATGGGACAGTAGAAAGAGTGGACAGGAGCGTTAGCTAGCGGCTACTCGGCTAATCCGGCACCAGACGCCATGTTTGTAGTTCCATGTGCTGTAGTTCCATGTGTTGTGTCAGCCAATCAGGAGAGAGCGGCGTGGAAACTTTTAAACTTTGATTCATGTGTATTTGAAAGCCAGATCCTTTCAGAACTCTGAAGCTAAGCAGGGAAGGGCCTGGTTAGTGATGTGATGGGAGACCTCTGGGAACACCTGGTGTCACAGTGGGGCGGCTGTAAAGTGCCCAGACTGTGGTTGTGTCCTTAGGCAAGACACTTCACCCACATGGCCTAGAATGAGTCTGGTGTGTGTGTGTGGTGTTCAGAGGGGCCAATGACAGACTGGTTGCCTCACTACTGTCAGTGTGCCCCAGGGCAGCTGTGGCTACAGTATCACCACAGTGTACGGAGAGACAAATGAGATGAGAAGCGTTTTTGAGTAAATAATCAGTTTTATAAAGATGTTATATTTGCTTCTGCTAAAGTGACAGATTTAATACTATAGTTCAGTAAATTCTATTCTAAACTCATCAATGCTTGGTCCACTCTGTCTACTTCAGAGATATCAAACCGATCCTTAACCCTTGTGCTACCCTCAAGTCAAAAATACCCACCCCACGGATTGAAAGTAACTATTTTAAACCCAAAAATAGGATCTGAAAAGGTCTGGGAATAAAATCAGCACAAAAAAAACATTTAGGGTACTTTTTAATCAATCAATAGCACAAGGATTAATGAGCCGGTGTTGCTACGGGTTTTCTCTCCAACCAAGCAGGAGCAAACCCGACCCAGTCCAAGTGAGTGCTCCTGCTTGGTTGGAATGAAAACCAGCAGCCACAATGACCCTTTGAGAATCGGTCCGACACCTGGTCCGATACCTGGTCCGATACCTGGTCC